GAAGCTGGTTTTTGCCTGGCACTCGGAGAACAAAGGGTGCAGGGGCCACCCGCTCTGCTCTCTCCGGGACAGGCCTGTGAACTCTCTTTCTCTTTGTTCTTGTCAGAGATGACGATGGACGAAGTGCGCCAGTATGAGAGGGAAACTCAGGAAGCCACCAACGAGATAATCGGCAGGGTAACGCCCTCCATTTCCATCAGTGAGGTGGGGCAGCCCTCGGCCACTCACAGCGCTCCTGCCAGTGCCCCCTCCACGCCACTGAGCGGCGACCCCCCAGAATTCCTCAGCGCCCCCAAGGACAGGGCCCGGAAGAAATCCGCTCCGGAAATGCTGACGCTGCCAGCACTGAGGGAGCGTGCCAATGCTGAGTAATAGCTACCCTTGGGCCAATCCCATCGGATGGACGCAGAGCCCCAATTCCTTCCCCCACGACTTGGGGACAACGCAACCCACCTAACCTGCCTTGAGACACCTGAACTCTACCGTTGTCCTTCAGAATGTTGGTCCCTCCCTCCCCAATAAAAGAGACCCCAGATCGGTTCGAGAGCTGGACGGCGGAAGCCCCGTTGTGAGGTTGCAGACTTCCCTGCTGCCACAGACGGCCTGAGACTGCCGTCTCCCTATTACCCTGTGGTCGTCTCTCTCTTCTCAGCATTCCAGCACGGGCTCTGCTTTTCCAGCCATCAACTCAGGGAGGGATCCTGGTCCAGCCAGCACATGGGTGCCGCTTCCTGGGGGAGATGCGCTGCACCGGACTGCGTTGGCGGCGCTGCTCAGCCACCCCTCATCTGTCCTGGTGGGTGATGCTCCTCCAAGCACCCTCCACTGGAGCCAGGCTGGGGAAGGAGGCCGACATGCCAACCTCTCCCTACGGAAGTCAGAAGCACCTTAGAAATGACAGTGGATTCTGCTGATTAGCAACCTCTTGGTTGCCATTATCTCAAGTTACCAGTGAGCAGGAGGCAGGTGCATGGGGCTGCTGCTAGGGAAAGAAGTGTTGGGATATGTTGGCGGGGTCCTTGGTGCCAGGGCAGGACACAGCCTGGAGAGTGCAGGGAAAGGTACCTTGCAACCCCAGCGCTTCCTTCCTGTGCAGCCCTGCAAACCTCCCTGCAGCCGTGGCCAAGCTGTCAGTAAGCAGCAGGCCACTGGCAGTGTGCGAATGCCATTAACATTACAGTCAAGGGGGCAGGATCAGCTGGCCAAACACTACTATTAACCAGAAGTTGTTAGCATCAGGATTACTCGTAAGTGGAATCTACGATATCCATAAAAACTGCCAGGCATTGGCTGCCCCTCGTCCCCACGGGAGCCTGCCAGGACTGTTAGCTGATGTCCCTGCCTCCTCCTCCTGTGATTTCTGGCTGCATGCCTGGCTTCCATATAAAACAGTGGCCCCGACCATCCACCTAACCTCACTGTAGTCTCCTCCCAGCTGCAAAGCAACAGTGAGGTCGCCTGCTTCCTTCCCATGCTAATAGGAGAGCCAGGTATTAGATTGAAGGGAGGCACTGCCGACAGCCCTGTCCAGACTGCTTTGGGGACAATCCCCTGTGGCCAGATGAGATTCCTCAGGGCACTGGTGAAAAGCCAGGCCGGGGTCTTATCTATGCTAGGGACAGTTTACTACCCATCAGTAGCTCTGGTTCTCTGGCACTAGCTGTGTTAGGAGCCCCCGTGTAGAAAAGGCCCCACCAGATTGTGCAGTCGCTCTGAGTAGGGGGTTATGCGACATGGGCCTGATTGTCATTTACACTCAGGGCCCCGTCCTGCCCTGCCAGTAGCGCAAAGCAGCTGAGGTGTGTATTGGCGCTGGCAGACAGCAAGACGGATTTGCCAGACCCCAGTGTTGCTAAGCGGTGGGTATGTCTCAGTGTTAGGAATGGGGGAGGGGGCGGCAGCTTCAGCCATTGTCTCTAGTGTAGACAGGTCCCTGAAGCCTGAATTGCTGCTTCTGCTGTCCCAGCTGAGCTGCCCCGTGTCCATGAGCCCTGCCAGGGGAAGGTGTGGGAGGGCCCTGCCTGGTGCCCTTTTGTTTCACGAGTCCCCTCTGGTGACACTGGCAAGAATGGAGCCCATCACGCCTGACCACCCCGCCCTTCAGCCAACCAGCGCTCTCTCCATTGGTGCCTTCAGGAGCAGGACTATCACCATGCATGCTTCCTAGTGCCCTTGTGGGCCCTTGGTGAGGCTGGCATGCACTGCTCCCTCTCCCCCCATGCACCTTGTTACCACCTGTTCCAACTGCGCCTCGGACTTCAGCAGCCTTGAAACTGCCTCTTGCTAATCCAGCTCCCCGCTGCAGCGGGGTCTTATTGCCAGCAGGACCCCAGCCCCTGCAGAGGGGATGCTGGAAATGTGCAGACTCTGGGACCAGGGGTGTCAACCACCATCCGTAACAGCCATAACGCTGGTTTTGAACCGCCCATACTAAGCACAAGTTGAATTGCACTTATTCCTAAACAGGAATCTCCCCAACTCCCCTCTGCTAGGGCCTCCTGGCTGGGCTCTGTTTGTCTGGGTTGTAATTATCCATGTTACAGATTGTGTCCCAGACCAGCAGAAATGAAATAGTCAGCGTTTGCTTCAGGAAAGTGCATGGGCCTGCTGCAGGAATAGGGATGGTCTAAGCCAGTGGTCCCCAACCTTGTGGGAATAGCAATATGCAGAAGACTGTGGCGGGCGCCAGACACCCCGCCACCGAGAAGCAGCAGTAAGTGCCGCCGCCGAAATGCCGCCAAGAAACGGCAACACATTTTGGCGGCGGGATGTCCTGCGGGTGCAGAAAAATGCCCCGGCAGGCGCCATGGTGCTCATGGGCACCGTGTTGGGGACCCCTGGTCTAAGCCAAGGTGAACCTGAGGAACAAGGCCCTGATCCTGTGAGGAGCCGAGAACCTCTTCCGTAGCTCTGTGTGCCTTCCCTTGAGGTTTAGGGGCCTCAGCAGCGAGCAGGGTCAAGCTTGTCGTGTGTTACATGAGGCCACTGGAAGAGTAGATTGGCCGCTGCTTGGGATTCGTAGCTGCCAGCTGAGAAGCACTGGGGCGTGACAGGAGGCTGGGTTTGGAGATGCACCCAGATTTGGATGTTTTTCCCAACCTTTTACAAACTATCCCAAACCCTTGAATCTGCAAAGCTGGACTGGGATTTGATGAGACAGGCTCTCGTGGCATTTTGTCACCCCTGGAGGCCACGTGAAAATGGGGAACATTAACCAAGTGTTTTGGACAAGTTGAGTTTTAGCTGAAGGTTTGGGTTTATTTTTAATTTGATCTAGGCTGGTTTGTCTGCCCCAGGGCCAGTTCAAAGGGCTGATGCAGTTGTGTAGAAAATCCATTCACTCCCTGGCAGTGCTGAATGTGCAATGGAAGGAAGTGTTTTTATATGTGCTATAGAAGGTTGGATATTAGAGATGGGCTAGACCCAGAGACTCCAATTCAAACCCTTCCCAAGAGTGAGGAGTTGGATTTGAATCCTCCGAGCGTGGTTCAGGTTCTGGATCAAATCCAGAATTGGGAGGGATCTATTTTCTGCTTCCAGGATACAGCTGAAATCTCACAAAGCCACATGGCAAGATTTTGCACCCTCGGATTTACACTGAAGACCAGAATTCCAAGTCAGAGCCTTGCCCCGGAGGATCTGAGCCTATCTCTGGGGTAGATCATTGTCCCTGGTTGGATGAATTTTACAAAGCCCCCTCTGGTGTCACTGAGTTTTATGTACCTCACTTAAATTTTGGGCAGCATGGACTAAGCTTTTTAATGTGTCTGGTGCTTCCTGGGTCTCAGGGCCTTGCGCGGCTGGGATTTGGTCTGTGTTCTGCCCGGATGCAACATTCCAGTCTGGACTTCTCTGCTTTGTGTCTTTAATTGTGAGCCCTCACGGGTTCGCGCTTTGTGCCCGTGGAAAATGTGTGTGTGAGCATGTGGGTGTGCAGACCACTAGCCTCACATGGCCAGGAGCATGTGTTCCCGCTGCAGCCAACGTGGAGGTGTTTGGGTTGCTTCAGTTTTGGTCCCCAGAGGCCCTGAACTGGGGTTCTGTCTCTCGTGGGTGTCCCGGGCCTTGGCTTCCTGAGGTGCCACCTGGGTGAGTGTGCAGTAGCTGGCAATGGCAGGGACTCTGCAGGGAGCACACAGGAGACTGGCTCTTGATTTATGCCCTGTGAGTGAGTGCCGACCACCATGTATAGCGGTTGGAGGCAAGTTCTGGAACTGAAGGACCATTCTCTTATAAATAGCACCTGGCCATACGTGTGTGTCCAAGAGCCACTCCCCTCTTCCTCCACCCCATTCCCATTCCGAGTCCATGGGTGTGTTTGTGCAGAGCCCATGTCCCCCGTGCTTTGAATGGGGCCAGGGCTGCCGCTGCCAGCCTGTAAATAGGGATTTGCTGAAGACAAAACCCAAATGTGAGACGGGAGGGTCTGCATCACAGTGGGATCTGGAGGATCGGTGGGAATGTATCTCACATGCAGGTGTCATGATGTAGCCCTCCCCGCTCAGCTCCCAATTGCTCTCACCCCCTTCCCTCCCTGTCCTGTGCTCTGTCCTCCTCTCACACCTTCAATAATTTCTTTATTTCTCTTCCACCCCGCTCCCCTCACAGGCAACCAGGGCACTGTGTGTTTGTGACCTGCAGGCTGAGGGAGTCCCTGGGTGCAGGTTGCCAGATGTGCACTGAGCTGGTAGCTGTGGGCGCTCCCTTTCAGCAGATCCTGGGGGGACAGGGGAAAGGGGAGCATAGACCTTCCCTGTTGAGAGGCTTAGATCAGCTCCTGAAGGATGGGGACACCCCAACCCCACACTCCCTTCAGGGCGCCAGGGACACCCCTTGGATACACAGGGGGCTCAGCCTGGGCCGAGGGAAGCAGGGTTGTCCTGGTGACACCAGCACCCCCTTCTGTCTGTTCCAGGCAGGCAAAGTGAAACGTTTTTCTCTTTTGAATTTGTTCCTGCGGCTCCGTGCTCCTCGCATGTGAGAGGCTATTTCGGTGTAGGCCAGCTAAAGAGGGGGCAGGGGCTGGCTTCCTTTCTTACAATGAAGCCCTTTTCAGAAATAAAGCTGTTGCTCCTGGCTTCTCTCAGGTGTTCTTTAATCTCTGCTGCTTCTCCCGTCCCTTCTCTGTGCCCCTCCTGGGTGTGTGAGTCACCTGCAGGGAAAGGGGCGGCAGAGAGGGGTGTCTGGCCATGAGCCTGCTCCTGGGTGCAGCCCCTGCCCTTTCTCCACGATGCACCATTAGCTCAGGAGCGTGGCCATCACTGGCCCTGGAAGGCGACCACCACAGAGGAAGGCAAACGGCTCTTTAGTGGACAGAAAGGATCCTTCTCCAGTGCTGCACACAGCACCTAGCTGCAACAGCAATTGGGCCCATGCGAGAGAGTGAGCTGCATTCGCTGAGGCAGGCACCGCCGTGACGAGAGCCTGTCTGTGTATTGAGGTCACCAGCATCTCCCATGGCTGTGGCCCTCCGGGGTCACCAAGGCAGAGGGCAACATAAGAGTAGCAGGCTCACTGGGGGTGGATCTAACTGTGCTCAAGGAGGATTGCAGGCTGGGTCTAATGAAAAGCCTGCCTTTCAGTGATGCACAAGCCAGGGTCACAAATATCACTCCAGGGTTTCCCTCCCCGCAAACTCCTAATCCAGATGTGTTCACTGCATGGCAATACCATCTCCGGTCTCATTCCAGTTGTACTCAGTACCCCAGCCCGGGGGAGATAACTGCCTGCCCTTCCACACTCCAGATGTTCTGGCCTAAGGGGACAACACCTTCCCCATGCATCAAGTGGAGCTGCTGTAGCCCTGGAAATGAATGGGTAGAATAAACATGGTGGGGCTGTAACTTGGGCCCGGGTCCCAGAGACAGTGGCTCTTGGCTGGTTGCCCTGCCCTTGGTTGAGTGGGAGCAAGTGCCCGTTCGGACGTTGGGTGCCGGGGCAGGTTGGGAACCTTTCCCCAGAGCCTCCCGCTGAGCTGAGATAGGCGTTCTCACCTGTGGGCTAAGGTAGCCGCTGGGGAGCTGACACCAGGCACGCAGACCCCCAAACGCTGGCACCGGCAGTCTGGAGCAGCCACCCTGGATGCTGCCCTAGTGACTATATACTTTATGATCCCGGCTTCCTCTGAGACCTGCTACTAGCTAGTGCTATAGGAGAGCAAGGCCTTGGTGATATTTATTAACTGTAAAGATCCTCTTCCATGATGCTGATGTGTCACTGTAACACACAGGCCTGCCCAGCAGAGGGCACTAGCTGAAGTATGCTTTACAGCCCCCCAGAAAAGGCCCACCCACCTCCCAGGTCCCCAGCACTGCACAGCCCAAGCAAGCAGCTCTCCCGCCTGGGCTCGAGGAAGAGCCACTAGGCATGGAGAGTCCCTGTCCAGCTCAGGCTGGGAGCCTGGGGAGGAGGAGCTCAGGAGGAGCCCTGCACTCTGGCTGGGGAGGTGGCAGTAGCTGACAACGCATATAGCGACGGTGTCTCCTCTCTACTCCCCTCTGTCCTCAGCCCCGTCTAGCCCCCCCATGTCTGGCTCATCCGGGGTGCCGGCCAGCCCGTGGCACATGATGTAATAGGCATTGCAGTAGACGGGTGACTTGTTGGGGTTGGAATAGACCTGCTCCGGCTTGAGGGAGGAGAAGGGATTGGCTCCGTAGCCTGTGATCTGAGTCTCCAGCTCCATCAGGATTTTCAGGGAGTACTTCAGCTCCTGCTCGCTGTTGGGAGGGGATGGGGCATGGTTACCACACTGCCAACCTCACCCCACCCCTGCACCTCCAGACACCGCCTGGGACTTGACCCCTGCCAGAGTAAAACACCAGGGCCCTGACACTGCTCCAGGAGACTTGCAGCGTGAGCTTCCCCACAGCGGTGCCACGTCCGTGCCAGCTGGGACTCCAGCACCGTGAGCGCCCCCACAGCAGTGCCCTGACGCTGCGTGCCAGGGCTCCAGCAGCACCACCTTCACTGCAGTGCTCTGATAGTGGCCGCTGCCGAAACGCTCCCTTGGCAGTCAGGCGCTAATAGCCAAAAACACCCTGTGGTTACAAGGTGACTGGTTCAGAGAGCAGCCGTCTCATACAAATGACTGGCTGGCGGACTCTGGGGCACAGGACAGCGGAGCCCCACACGTACTCAGCCCCGCAAGGGAAAGCACGGGGCAGGGGGAAGGGCCTTTCTTACCTGTAGATGGTGAAGAGGGTGGGGATCTTGTAGTCCCGCAGCAGCAGCAGTGTGGGGAGCCAGCCATCCATCACATCCAGGCAGGCATGTAATCCTGCAGAGGGAAGGACACCAGAAAGCATTGGAGCCTGATCCCCTGCCCAGTGAGGCCAACAGCAGTCCTGCCTCTGGTGTCACCGGGAGCAAGTTGAGACCCTTGCTGTGGTAGGCGCCGAAGCTGCATGTGCACTAACGGGCAGGCACACACGCACTGCCTGCCCATTGTCCCATGCCCTGCATAGCATCATGTTTCCAGGAGGCCCTTTTCTCCCTGCCTTGCAAACAAGTAGCTCGCATGACTTCAATGTCTCCCATGAGGAGGGTCAGGCGCAACAAGCCCCTGGAGTTTTCCCAGAAGGGAGGGGTGACAAGGAATGCTGTTTATGCAGCTGCCTCGCCTGCCCCCAGCTAGGGCACCCTGGCTGGAATGAGCTGACTGGCGCGTGTAGTGTTTTGGGAGTGGGGGCTTGAGAAGCATTCCCAGCTAGCGAGCCATTGGGGATTTCACGGGCTCCCTCTGGCTCTACCAGGCCAGCCCTCTGCTTGCAATGTTATTGTCCTAGTGCTAGCATATGTCCAGCAAAATGCCGTCATGGCACACCGACATGCTGACTGTCTTCCTCCTCCAGGAACGCTGGATCCCAACAAGTTGGTCCTGGAAGACACGGCGGGTCAGTCAATCCACAGTACCCTCAAACTGCTGGCAAAGGGCTAATAAGCCTTTGCACTGATATACTTTTCCTTGCAGGGCCCCAAAGCACATTACAAATGTTAAACAACACCTGTGAGGTAGGCAAGTAGCATTATCCCCATTTTACAGCTGGGGAAGCTGAGGCACAGAGCCATGGACCTTGCCCAGAGCCAAGACTAAAAGCCTGGGCTCTTGACTCCCAGTTCTCTGTTCCAGCCAATAGCAATGATCTACATAAGTGAAAACAGAGAAAACCACAGGTATTTTTCATTGCTTGCAACTGATGCTTTTGTGTTTTGGTATTATTGTTGAGTCTGTTTATTAACAACACTAGGTGCCTGCTTGATGCTTTGCGGACAGGTAGAATATGGCAGTTCGCTGCTCCATGGAGTTTACAGTCTAGCTCAGGCATGAGGCTCAGTCCACCCTGAAACATTATATTGGCATAACTCCATCGGTCAGGGGTGTGAAAATCACACCCCTGACTGACATAGCTATGCTGACAAAACCCCCAGTGGAGATGCAGCTGTGTCGACCATAGAAGGCTTCTGTTGACAGAGCTGACTTCATTTGGGGAGGTGGTATTCCTAGATTGACAGAATCTCCTTCTGTCAGTGGAGGCTGCATCTACACCAGGAAGCTAGACCAACATAGCTATCGTCTCTGTAGTGTAGACATACCAGCAAGGGATGACCATGAACAGAGGGCCATAGGCCCAGATCCTCAAAGGTACTTAGGCACCTTTGATTTCAGTCAGGTGCTTAAATACCTTTGAGGCTCTGGGCCTTAATACTGAGAAACCAAGGGCTACAACAGAATAACGTGCATGTGTGGGCGCGCACGCATGCGCATGTGTGTGTGCACACACACATGCCACCAAACCAGAATCTTTGGTAAAAGCCACCAGAGGTTGCCTAAATCCACAGCCTATAAACACAACCCCGAAACCCAGAAGCACACCAGTTATATTCTCACCCAACCTTTGTAACCTACATCTAGGATTTTCCCCTTCCTCCACCTTACGACAGCCACACCCACCTCCCATAACACACGTCTCTGCCCTCCACAAAGCACACCCCAGTCAGAAATGGCTGATTTGGATTGTTCTGAGTGTTGACCCAGTGCCATGTTGAAGAAGAGCGTGCTTGTGCAGTGCGGGTTCTTTAGTGGATGGTTTGAATGGGTAACACTGGACACTCTTTGTTTTCTTAGCAATCTAGAGCAGTGTTGATCATTCTGGACAGTTATCGATCACAGTCTTGTTATTTAGGTGTGGTAACGGGGGAGCTCCGAGATTGTGTTTTGTTCTTCCAGCAGTTGATGTTTGAGTTAAGGATGGTTCAGTGGTTAGGGCGCTAGTCTGGGACTCGGAAGATCTGAATTCAGTTCCCTGCTCTTCCACATACTCCCTGTGTGACCTTGGGACACCTTGCTTAGTCTATACTAGAAAGGCTTTGTCAATACAGCTATACCAGTCAATCCTTCTAGTGAAAGACACAGCTTCCACTGACAAAAGAGTGCTTTTGCCAGTATAGCTAATCCTGGTTCCGCAAATGAAATAAGCTACAACTATGTTTGCACTAGGGTTTTTGCCACCCTAGGAAGACCATAAATAAAATCGCACCCCTAACCAACATTATTATACCAGCTAAATTTCTAGTCTAGACCTGGCCTCATTCTCTCTGTGCCTCAGTTCCCCTCTATAAAATGGGGATAATAGCACTTCCCTGCCTCACAGGGTGTGGGGCACATAAAGCCATCCAGATACCATGGCAATAGGGGCTGCATAACTAGATGGTTACGGTTGCATGTTTTGGGCTGAGGTACAGAGAAGAGGTTTCTGGCTGGTGGACATGGTTGTAGATGGCAAAAGCAGAGAGAGGACTTCACTAAAGTTTCCCTGGCTTGTTTTGGTTGGATTGGTGATAGATCCAACTGAGCAACACAGTTCTTTGGTGGAACATGTAAGAGAGTTGTTTAGGTCTGGTGTGATGGGGCATCTACCCTACACTCACCCTGCAGGGTTTAATGCAGGCCAGATGGGCCAATTAACCAATTAGGCAGTTAATTAAGGAGGTTCAACTGGGCAGGAATAGGCGGGACCTATAAAGCCCAGGAGCTGGAAGGAGAAGAGGCTGCTGGGAAAAGGCAGAGACACTGCCAGAAGAATGGGAGAAGCCAGTGTGGTGGGCAGGCTTCAGTCACTCCCTGGGAAAAGGGGAGGAGGTGGCTTTGGGAACTGGTAGGCCCAGGAATAAAAGGGGAACCAGTAGTTGGAAGCAGCCCAGGGACAGAGCAGTGAGGCCAGGAAGAGAAAGCCCAGACTGCTGAGCTGAGGGTCTCTGGGCTGGAACCCACAGTAGATGGTGGGCCTGGGTTCCCCTTCCAGCTACTGGGTTAGTGGCACTACGGTAGTGACTATTGAGTAGCTTTCTCTTTCTTTTAAAAAAAAGTGCTGATATGTTACAAACCCTTGTAATTCTCTGGCCATTTCTACATGCTTGCTGCAAGTATTTCTTGCCCTTTCTAGCTGCGATGGGCCAGTGCAGTGATGCAGGCCTCAGCTAGGCTTTGCCTACTGTGAGGAGAGAACCTTAAACTTTGAAAAGGAAACCCCTGAAATTAGGCAAGAACATAAATACTATGAAGTAACATCTACTTGGTGAGGAAAGTAATAAACTGTAAATAATCATTGCAAGGAAAGAAACTTTGCCAACATGCTGTGTCACCCCCAGTAAGGACTCAACTCTTCCTCCCTCGAGCTGCAAAGTCTAGTTTCACCCCGGCTGTCCTGACTTCTCCTCTCCCTCTGGCTTGCGATGCTCCTTTGATCTGCTACGACCGACCGTACCACTTGCAATCTCCTTTGATCTGCTACGACCGTACCACTTTCCAGCAGGTTCGCCCACAAGTGATTGTGCCTCACCCAGAGAGCCATGCCCGTTCCCCAGGTGCCTATACTGTATTCCCTCTATCAGTGACCCAGTGGTCAATCTCATCAGTCACACGGTCTGTGCCCCGCCTGGCCCTTCATATCCAGTTTCCTTGGCAAATCTCCTTTTTACCCCAGTGCTGCTGCCTTCTTTAATCACCTTCCAACGGCCGGAATCCGAGCCCGCTCCGCAGCTCGAGCTGCCCTCTCTCCGGGGTCTCTTTCCCCACCCAGGACAGCATTCTGTGCTGCTGCATCGCAGGGGCAGCAGGCTCTAACGCTATGCCCAACTGCAGCAGGATCTAGTGCTTGGGCCAGGGTAACTACACCCACAAACTTCCTAACCACTTGCAAACTTCCCCCTTGGGCTGCGTTCTCAGTTCAGAGGCTGGGCTGATCCACAGGGTTCAGAGCGGGATGCGCCAGGCAGGAAAAGAGTCCCAATCTGGTGATCTGATTCAGGTCTGTCTCCGCTTCCCAATAGACGGGGCTCTTGGTGACTTCCCAAGGTATCTAAAAAGCACACAGTGGGTCTGGCATAAGCAGTGGGGGAAAGCACACACCATTTTTGGCTGTGCTTGCTAGGGGGCAGCAGACACCCGGACTGAAATCTTGACAGCCTGTCTGAGCTGTGATATTAGGCCTATGGGACCCTGGCTATGTAGCACTTCCTCTGGCAGCCGGTCCCTAATGGCATATGGCAACCAGGTTGAAAAGCAATCTGATTAGGAGCTAACAAAGTACCTGGGTTTGACTCCTCCTTTCCCAGGATATAGGCTACCACAGCCAGTGTCTGCAGTGTTGCTGAGCTCTTGGTTCATGTCATTGTCCCAGCAGAAGGCATATGCAAGTCACAAAGAACTTGGTTGATGATAAGAGAGCACTGGCTCTCAAAAATCATATACTGTGGCATACATGAGTCAGCAATATCTAGTGGTTAGGGCAGGGCAATGGGAGTCAGGACTCCAGGTTTCCATTCCCAATTCTGCCACTGACTTGCTGTGTGCCCTTGGGAAAGTCAGTTAATGGGGAAGGGGGGGAAAAAAAAATCACGTTGTGCCTCAGTTTCCCCATCTATACAATTCCTGCATTTTTAAGTGCTTTGACGTCATCAGATCCAAGTCTCTCTATACGTGTAAGCCATTATAAAGGTGTTGTGATGAAATCTTCCGATCCTGGTTAAACACACGAAGGATCCAGCGAGTATGGTGCATTAAATACTAAAGGCTGGGGCACGATGCTTAGGAGGAGAGACAAGAAAAAGCAAGCCACAGTCCAGGAGGAATATACCCTAAGCAAGGCCATCATTTCCTGGCATTGTCCTCTGGTATAAAAATGCTCCCAGCACATTGACATCTTGATGCTGAGTCACCATGTTGCCACATGAGCCACAATATCTCATTGACAATGGGTCAGTGCAACGACATCATGTTGTGTAAACCCAGGAGTCTCTAACTGTCCTGCTAAGCTGGGGTTGCAGGATGCAAGCTGACCCATGCAAAGCTGGACTATGCCATCAATTCCCAGCCCACAAAGCCTGGTGGGAATTCATGCATGGCAGAAAGGCACAGTTGAAATCTTGTCAGCCTTTCTGGCCTTTAACTCCCAGAGCCTCCTTGGTATTACCATTGATAAGATGTTGTCTCGGTGCCTCTCCCTTCTTTTTGCTTTATGTTGTCTCCAGTCCTTGTCACCCTGAGTGTCCCCTGCCCTCCGGAAGTGGAGAAGGTACAGCAGGAGGAAACCCAACTGTGGGGTGGGGTGATAACAGAGGGTGCAGAAACAAGCCTCAGGAGAGGAGATTGAGGGGGGAGGGTTGTCAGGGAGGAGCAGGAAATCTGAAGGGTACCATTAGTTGGGCCTGGAAGGAGGGACCCGAGGAGCACTGCCCCAGATGGGCAGTATCAGAGGGGAGGGCAGCACCATTTGAGACAGTGGTTAGCCTCTGTCTGTGCACTCACCTGGATGAAAGCCCACCACAAGGTCTGGGCGGGCAGCCTGATGAGTCTCCACCTGGGATTCCCAGAAGTCAGGATACAGGGCCTTGTAGCTGCTGAGATAGACTCTTCCTCTGGGCCCGAATGCTGTCAGCGGAGGCCTCATGATGGGTCCATCTACCACATTGACTCCCACCATTACTACCTCAATGCCCTGGTGCCTAGGAAACACCCGCGTCAGCTCATCATAATCGGTCACCCGGGTGTTGAGGGTCTCGATATGGGAAGCCCCTACGATATGCACTGTGACAGGCTTGGTATAGAGATCAATGGCGAAAGCATGCAGTGCCATGGCGATGGTGATTGGCCTGGACTGGAAGTCTGTGGTCAGCCGTTTGACAGACTCCAGCAGCTCTCCCTCCTCTGGCTTTGGCTTCCGCACGTTGGCCCAGAGGATGTTCATATAACGCCCAGTCAGTATAGAGCTCAGCTTTTCTTCCAGGAGCTCCTGCATGGAGAACCAGTCTTCCCAGCTTTTCACCTCCTGTATACGCTTTGTCCAGGTCGCCGTGGGGAATGGGATGTCACCTAGAAGGAGAACCCCAGAATTCTCAGCTCATACTGTGCTGATCTTTTCCCTGGATAAGGAGCTCTGCCATTCAGCTCAACGGGAGATGCTGAGCCCAGAGCAGCCCTGCCAGTGAACAAGGATATGTTGTGTGGTAATGAAGGGGAAACAATAGGGAGATGGAGGAGCTGACTATATAACAGAAGTCTGAGCCATTAACTCTGTGAAGGACGTTGGAACCCCAGATACCCCAGGAGTCTGCAAGCCAAACTAGGAGAGCAGCTGCAGGTATCCATGACTCCACAAATCCCCTGAACAGTTGAGTGTATGAGGCCTAATGAGGAAACTGGAAGCCCTTGCAGGGGCGGGGGTGGGGTGTGTGCGTGCGTGCGTGTGCGTGTGTGTGTGCGTACGCGCAATTCCTGGATTTCCCCTAGCTAACACTCAGTGGTATCCAGACACCGCCTTGTTTGGCTTCACAGCATGAGAGGGCTCTGTCAGGCTTCAAAGACAGCCCTCAGTGCTTGTCACTGATATCATGGAAACCCAGGCAGGCCACGAAGGTCTGGGAGCTGGGGAGGGAACGTGAGCAGGTCTGGATAGGATCCACCATGAGACCCCTGCCCAATTCCCTTCTTGGTACAATCTTCTTACTGTCTGCTTGGAGCCTTGCTTCCTGCATGAGGCAGCAGATAGATGAATCTACACGAAGGCAGCCAAATGGCCTCTGGCTGCAGATGGCCCAGCCAGCTTTGACCCAGTCAAAGAGGAGCCCTTGTCCCCTTCTGTTGGATGTAGGCTGCAAACCTACCTGTGAAGACGAGCCATTCTACCAGCCGGTCAAGAGCTACCAACTTCAGCTTCTTACACAACTTCTTGTGCATAGGCCAGTTGGCCCGTTGGCACTCTGAGTTGCAGTAATACACATTCTGGCACCTAGAGGGAGCAGGACAGAGGAGAAAGAATATGGTGCTCCACCAAGCAGCAAATTCAAGATACATCCTAGCACCTGATGGGACAGGACCATCAGGAGTGAGCTTGAGAGAGCTGCCCCAAGGAAACCAAACTCAGTGCATCAGTTGATGGGCCCCCTCTGGACTGCATGGCATTCTTGCCCTCATCTATCCCTGCATGTGAACATGAGACATAAACACATGAATTCGTTCCTGGGGTAACTTCACTGATCCATTGGGATTACACCAGGGATTAGTTTGGCCTTGGTGCTGTTGCAGTGTCTATCAAAGGGGCTGGTCAGAACAGAGAGCTCCTCACTTAGCAGGTGTCACCCACTGCGTTGGTACTGCCGCCTTCATGCAGAAGGCAGCCAGGCAGCATTGTTGGGATGTACAAGCTACTCACCAAGGGGCAGCTATGCCCCTGTCCTCAGTTATACCCCCTGCAACATGTCATCCTCCATTCATGATAGCCAGAGAGCGCAGAGGTTTAGACACTGAGGGCCTGTTCTCACTGAAGTTAATGGAATGACTCCCATTGACTTTGGATCAGGTTCTGAGGAATTACAAGAAAACAGATGCACACTGCCGCTATTCAGAAGAGTAACCTCTATTATGGGGCCCCATTCAGAAGCCTAGCTAAGCCTCTGTATGTTAGAGGGAATTGTCCTCCTGTTCCATAGACATTCTGGGAATGTTTCCACTGGGAACAAGGGAAGGATCTTGCCTTGTGCTATGGCTCAGTCCTTTATAGCTGTCCTCAGCCACACACTAGGCGCTATTGAGTACCTTTTGCATCGCCGGAGGCTTCTGGGGTCAGGGAGGGCATCAGGGAGTTTCTTGCACTCAGCACAGAATTTGAAGGTGTCCTCCATTTTTTGAAACATGTCGAAATAAGTCCGGATCCCGAAATCTATCCCCAGCTTCTTTCCGTCCATCGCAGACCTGAAGGAAAACAGCCAAAGTAGCAAAGTTGATGAGAGGCGAGCAGGGCACAACCCAAACTTGCCCTCCTTTCATAGCCACAAGAAGGGCCCAAAGATGCTGTGTAATGGGAGATGTTAGCATCAGCTCAGCTTGCACAGGGGTACTGTGTGCTGCTTCCTCACTGCTGCAGTATGAATTCATTACCACCACTTTGATGAGGGATTCTGTAGGGGCCAGCCCGAATGTTATCAATAACCTGATGGCAGCTAACAAAGACTGTCCTGAGCGGATGCCTTTGTGCATGCTTGTTATAATCAGGGACTGTTCTGAACTGAAGGGAAGTTATAGCCACATGTTGATGTGAAATGGCAGGGCCAGGCCTCATCTGAGGACCCCTTAGGAGAGAGAACTTTATCCCTACTAGGGTCTGAACCAACAGGGCATGATGTTCTGATCCTTTGAGAACAAGGGAGTTTAACTTTCTTTTCACTGGAAGTGGCCCTATCAGTCCAGCAAGCTCACTTCTAGCCCAGGGGGACATAGCGTTTGTTTTGCTCTTTTCCCCCAGGCCATCCAGAAGTCTAATGCTCCCAGTGACTAGTGGAGACAGAGTCCTAGAGGTATCTGAGGTCGTGTGCCATGCAGGTGTTCAGATGGCAGCACACACCTTGTGCAGAAGCCACTGGGCACTCTGGCATTACTCACTTGTATTCATCATAGCTCTTCATGTTGAGCTTCTTCAGGATGACCTGCGACAGACCAGGGACGTTGCTATCCACAGCCTGGAAGCCCAGGGAGTCCATGTTGAGGCTTGTAATTACTGACTCCTCTGCAGGCTTCTTCTTGGAGTGGCTGGACTTGAAAGTCACGCCCTTGTTTCTGTGGGCCATCTCTGTCAGTGCTGGAAATTAGGCAGGCTGGAAATAAGGAAAACGAATAAAGGAGAATAACTGCGGCGGTCTTGAACAGGCTCCCCCCCATCTATCCCAGGCCTGAGACGCCTTCTCTTAGTATGCTGGAAACGTCCTCCCCACTAACAACCTGCAGGGAAAGTAGCAGGGTCTAGCATGCACATGGCTGGGAGCCTAGTAATCTGGGATCCAGTGCCTGTTCTGCTCTGTGTGAACTGGGGCAAGTCACTTCACGTCTCTGTTCCTCCGTTTCCCTGACTAAAACGGAGAAGTACTAATATCTCCTCACTTCCCCAGCAAGTTGAGGCTGAATTAATTCACGTACGCAAAGTCGTTTTAGATCCCACCTGGTATGGAAGTTTGGAGAAACCTGAGATGCAAAATATAGATCTGGATGCTGAATATGGGAGGCTCTGACTCACACCCATGTCTAAATGGAATGTGCATAATATTAGAAGATGCTTCTACTGGGTGGTTTTCAACACTCCTCTCTACAATAGCTGTCTACCTCCCCTCTCTCTCCCCCTGCCCACCTCTGACTTCCATCAGCTCCCCTTCCCACTAGTGATTTGGATCCAGTTTGTTTCTGTTATCCTGGCTGAGTCTGGAACGTTCCCATGGCACAGCAGGAATGTCCAAGACTGGCCACAACCCCATTGTTCTCCGCCTGCAAATGAACTTTCCCTGCCCTCTTGGCTTGTGTACCTGATCAGAGGAATCATTTGATTATGTAGCACGTTAGGGGGGGGTCTCTCTGGGAGGCACCGGGCATCAGAGAATGTGGCTTCGTTCACAGGTAAAAACACCCCAGTGGGCTAAGTAATATTGTGTATTGGGTCTTTCACCCCTAGGTGTGTTGCAGACAGGTGAGGGAGGCTGGTTTTGCTGGCTTGCAGATGCATGAGACCTCCACAAGGGGGCGTGTTGGTGCTCTGCTCTGTGCATATTCTCAGACCACAGGCTTTTTGAGTCCATCCACTCCCTCAGGCGTTTGCCCTGACTGGCATTATACACTAGTATCGCTACCTACCCCTCCAACAATGACTCAGTCACGTTCTCGTTTGTGAAGGGAGCTGCTGTCCTCCCTCCTTTGCCATGTTGCCCATCTATTCTCTTGCCCCCTTGACAGACGGTGGTGTGTTTTTACTTCTAGATCAAAGGTTCAAATTTGGCACAGCTCAGTAGTACAAAAGTTACCACCAGTTTCATACAGACCACTCATCAGATGGTAGTGTCCGTGGAAAGGTGCTCCTAGCACCCAAGACACCACCATAATTGGCTCTTACAGTATTTGCCCCCTTCTGTGCAGTCCCAGCAGAGAAGACAAAGATTGAATGGATAGAGTGAGCTCTCCTTGTTGGAACAGGTCCCTGCAGAGCAACACTGGGAAGTGAGCCTCCACTCTCCCTGCCTGTGTTGTACCTCCTCTGTTAGTAGAGAGAGGACTCCAGCTCCAGGGCTGGCAATCCGGCACATTTTCCCAGCACTGAACTTGCATAGACTAAGAAAAGGTGATCTGTACAGCGGGCTGGTTTCTCTTTATGATAAGCAAGTTCATTGCTGTTTCTCAGCAGGGCCTGGAGACGCATGAGGAGGTCTGGCCTAGGGGAATAACTGCTAACAGGTGGACAGTGCCTGCCTCGCTTGCAAAGCTGGTTGAAACCCAGGAAAACGCTTTCAGCCCAGCCAGCTGACCTGGTTGGCAAAGAGCTGAGCCCTGCTGTCAGCCTTACAAGGGCCTGATCATGGTTCCTTCTCTGGCTGCGGACAAGTCTGGTACCCCCTGGTCTCCATTTGATGAGTATTAAATTCTAGCCTATTGTTATTGCGGCTTTATGCTCTACCCCTAACCATGGCCTCTGAGCACCTACCACGTTGCTCTTACAAAGTCAATTGCCTAATTAGGAAATGCAAAGGGAAAACATTGATGCCACCATCAGCGAGTCCATGTTTGGTTTGTCTCCGGAAGGGATAGATCATACTTGAACTCCATGGGCACATGGGTGTTGGTGGTGCTAGACACTGCGAAGGGAAGGGTGTTGGTGATGGGCATGGTCTCACCCCTTTTCCACACTAGCGGCAGCTAGCCCATGAAGGAGCATATGTTGAACCTGCAAAAAGGAGGTCTAGCTGCTGCCTCTGAGCATGCTCTCCCCCCCGCCCCACGTACATACATATACCAGCAGTGACATTCTCTCTACCTGTGTGCTCCACAGACAGAATTCCTCCTGCATGTGTGTGTGTACCAATGCGCAAGTTGCCAGGGTTTTTAAAATAATAGTTTTCTGTGCCAGCTCCAGGGACCTGAACCTTGTGGCATATAATAACCCAGGCTCAACAGAAGCCAGTGGCTGTGGAATGGTAAAAATCACTCACCCAAGGCAGCAGGGCATGGATTCTATGTGAGAGCTGGGTGCGGGGGGCAGAAGGATTTTGCCAGCTGGATCACTCTGACTGCCTTCCACACCACCTGACAGATGCTTGATCTATTCTTGTCCCAGTATGATTCCTTTTCCAAGCCCGAGTAAGAAAAGGCACTGCTGGAGCTATGGAGATAGGTTGATGAGGAATAAAGGAGGAAAAGCAAAGGCAGACATGCTCAAATATCATGGGGCATGAAGATAGACCCAGGAGAAAAAACAACCACTACCAACACAAATCTGATAGCAGTGCTATTCTGGTCCTGGGTCACCATGTGGAGCCAGCCAGTTGTCTATAGCACAGGCTAGAAACCTCCTAGGAATCAAGCCAAAAGCAATTATAATGGCATGAGTGATTTCCATTAACTGTTTGCCCTGGAACTTTTCAGATCATTTCAGTCCCTATTCTGCTCCCCAACCATCCAAATATAGCTCCTCGAGCTAGCCACAGCTGGTCCCAAGATCCTGTTCCCCCCAGGAAACCAGTAGGTACATTAATACTCAAAGCATTCTTCCAACCCAGATCAACGAAATGGTTAAAAATGTTTATTTCACTGAAACCCTCCTCACCTGGTCCTCAGCCCCATGCCAGCCAGGAGTTTGAGGTGTCCAAGCAGAGAAAAAATTGTGCTCAGCCCCTGAATATAGGGACCAGAGAAGGTTATTTCCCCTGCCGTTTGAATCCTCTTAGCCTGTTTCTTGATACATCTGTAGCTCCATTTGTCAGAAGGGACAAACAGGGAGAGATTTAATGTGTCTAAAAACTGCTTCAGCATGGGGAATGTAAGAGAATACTAAATGGAGATGATGACAGGGGAGGAAGAAAACAGTGCAGGGAGGGAATCTAAGGACCAGAGTAAACTTTGAGAAGTTAAACCATCCATTCCCTGAAACGATAACCGTTTACAAGACAGACTAACCTTCTAGGTGCTCTTTCTTTCTTTCCCCCTCTGTTGCTCTCTTCTTTGCTGTGGATTTGTCTCAGTGCTGCAGCTGCCTGCCTTCTCCTGGATCGTTTTCTGCTTCTAACTGCAGAAATGTTTGGCAGAACTTTGTGGTCTAAGAATATCCTGCCCACTCAGACCCTGTGAGGAATTACTTCTCATTGGGTAGAGTGACTGAGAGGCTGGGGCTTGGCTCCTAGGAGGCACACGTGCAAAACTCTTATCAAGTCCTGACTACAGGAGCTCCAGGATCCTATGTCTCACCTGCCACCTGCTGGAAAATATGGTGGTATCCACTAACCCCATGCCAGGCGATACTGTGAATCACCCACTTCCCCCCTATGCTGGATGATAGTATCACCTATCTGATCCCATCACTTCCCCGTGCCTGGAGTGTGTGTCTCCCACCTCACCTCTCTGGAAGAGGATAGCGCATATCATATACCCCATCCCACCCTTTCCCCATGGCCAAGGATACTGTGCATCACTCGCACCCCCACATCCCTCCATGCCTGAGGATGAGACCTGTAGGGCACCTGTGGCTCAGGAACTGCGTGTGCCTGTTAATTTGTTACTGTGTTTCCAGTGCAATATGGACACTAAAAATATTGTAGATGAGGAGGACATTCAGAGCCATGGATTTCCTTCTCCCCTGCTTTGGGATACTGCCCCTATAAGATACTATCCACTCTGCTTTTAAGGATTCTTGTTTCTCACAGCTGTGTCACATGTCCTGCAAGTCAGGTAGGGTGATCACCTATGTGTCATGGAAATAAAAGATTATCATCTATCTATCAATCTAAATGCCAATAGTTCCATTCCTGGACCAAAGCCCTACATTTGTATGGCACTGTTTAATACTTCATGTAATTGTTGCTGAAATGGGGAACAAAATGCATTCTACTGTTGTAATAAATATAGAGGGAAGGATAGCATAAAATCCCTGATTGGCAGACATACTGAATCACCTTACCTGTAAGGGGTTAGGCAGTTCAAATAACCTAGTTGGTACCTGACCAGAAGGACCAATGAGGAAAGAAGATACTTTCAAATTGGGGGAGGGAGGGAAGGATTTGGTTTTTGCTCTTTTGTTGTTCCCTCTCTGGACAGAGGGAGAAGTCAACCAGGTACAAGGGATAGCTCAGTGGTTTGAACATTGGCCTGCTAAACCCAGGGTTGTAAGCTCAATCCTTGAGGGGGCCATTTAGGGATCTGGGGCAAAAATTGGGGATTGGTCCTGCTTTGAGCAGGGGTTGGACTAGATGATCTCTTGAGGTCCCTTCCAACCCTGGTGATCTGTGAACATCTCCTGAAAATATACCTGGAATAATCCATCTAAAACCACAGAAATTGTAAGTAGGGTAAGGAAATGCATTAGGTTATCTTTTGTTTTGGCTCGTGAATTTTTCTATGCTACAGAGGTAGTTTTATTCCTATTTTTGTAACTGTGAAGCTGAGCCCAGAGGGGAATCCTCTGTGTTTTAGATCTTTTCATTAGGTGTGATTCTTGAACTTTATTATAAAGAAAAAAGTAATTCTTTTAAGAACCTGATTGATTTCAGTGTCCTGAAGACAAAGGGTCTGGTCTGTGCTCACATTGCTCAGGCAATTAGTTGGTATATTATTCTCAAGCCTCCCCAGGAAAGGGCGTGAAGGGGCTTGGGGGGGTAGGGATTCCAAGTGACCTTTCCCTGAATTTTTGAGTAAATCACTTGGTGGTGGCAGCAATACCGCCCAAGGACAAGGAAAGGAATTTGTGCCTTGGGGAAGTTTTAACCTAAGCTGGTAGACAATAAGCTTAGAGGGTCTTTCATGCGGGTCCTCACACCTGTACTCCAGAGTTCAGAGTGTGTGTGTGTGTGTCGGGGAACCCTGACAACTGTGTTACAAACTCTCATGAGTCTTGCAATAGTTGATATTTTTCTTAAGCTGCAACTCATGGGGTCATTTCATTATGTGAGCATCTCAGCTTTCTTTCTTTCTTTCTTTCTTTCTTTCTTTCAATTAAGCTTTAAACCCTCATGGTTGAAGAGAAAAGCTTGAAAGTGTGACCCTAAAGATCAAATAAAAAGAATCCCAAATGTATTATTTTTTAAAATCTTGTGACTTTTAAGGCAATCTCATGATTTTCAGGGCCGAATGAGGTTTGAATGCCTGGGGCAGGCTATAACACTCTCAATGGTGACTTGATATGGGATACAGCGCATTGGACCCAACGTAAGGGAATTCCTTAGAATCATAGAATATCAGGGTTGGAAGGGACCTCAGGAGGTCATCGAGTCCACCCCCCATCCAAAGCAGGACCAATCCCCAACAAAATCGTCCAAAAGAACATGTGCTCCAAGTGAGGCACAAACTCACAACTTCAGCATTATAAGTCCTTAAACAATAGGGTCCATGGCAGTGAAAGAGCCCCAGATTGACTGGGAGCATTGCAGACCCATGTGTTGATAGGCGAGGCTGCATGCCAAGCAAGGTCCCAGAGCATTCCCACGGCACAGCCATGCGACCTCATACCTGTTCCCACACTGTCACTGTGTGAGGTCACAGCATGTTCCCATGGCACTGCCAGGTGAGGACACAGGCATGTCAGAGGGGTTATGTCCCTGGCACCCTAGGCTGCATGAGGTTATACCCCTCGGGGCCCCACGCAGCTGGAACCAAGGTCCTGTTCTGCGCCAATGAAAGCACTGGCCAGTCAGTCCAGGGCTCTGGTGCCCGCCTGCGCCAGCAACCAAAATGGCCGCCTGGGCCTCAGCCCCAGCTCAGGAGAGAGGCTCCCCGCCCCCTGCTGCCCACAACAAGCGTGGCGGCTGGAGAGTGGACGAGAGAACACCGTCACGTGCCCTACGGGTCGGGAAAGGGGCGAAGCAAGCGCGGGAGTAGGGACGGTTGCTACGGTTACGGAGGACGCGCCCCTGAAAGGCATCGTGTCACTGACTCGCTCCTCCCCGTCCCAGCCGTACGCGGTGAGCACCCCCCGCTCACGTCCCCGTACACCCGGGACCAGGGGTGGCCCCTTACCCTGCCCTGGGGTCTGCCTCCTTCATGTGCACCCGGCGGGGACCCCCCGGGAACTGCCCCCTCTGGGTATCCCCCTGCCCCGGGAACCGGCCTCCATCGGGTATCCCCGCCCCCACCCCGCCTATCCCCTGCCCTGGGAACTGCCCCCCGTAGCTGTCCCCCGCCCCCTCCTCCCGGGAACTGCCCCCTCTGGGTATCCCCCTGCCCCGGGAACCGGCCTCCACCGGGTATCCCCGCCCCCACCCCGCCTATCCCCTGCCCTAGGAACAGCCCCCCCAGCTGTCCCCTGCCCCCTCCTCCCAGGAACTGCCCCCTCTGGGTATCCCCCTGCCCCGGGAACCGGCCTCCACCGGATATCCCCGCCTCCACCCCGCCTATCCCCTGCCCTGGGAACTGCCCCCCCCGTAGCTGTCCCCCGCCCCCTCCTCCCGGGAACTGCCCCCTCTGGATATCCCCCTGCCCTGGGAACTGGCCTCTACTGGGTATCCCCACCCCCACCCCGCCTATCCCCTGCCCTGGGAACTGCCCCGCCCCAGCTGTCCCCTGCCCCCTCCTCCCGGGAACTGCCGCCTCTGGGTATCCCCTGACCTGGGAACTGCTCCCCCCCCGCAGCTGTCCCCCACCCCTCTCCTCCTGGGAACTGCCCTCTCTGGGTATCCTCACCCCTCTATCCCCTGCCCTGGGAACTGCGGCCCCCACCAGGTATCCACTCCGCTCCTCCCCTTCCCCCGGGAACTCCCCCCCCCCCCCGCTATCCCCATCCCTGGGAACTGCCGCCTTCTTCCCCCCCTCCCTCCGCGGCTGTCCCCTCTCCCCCCCACCCCAGGCCCTGGGAACTGCCTCTGGGTACCCCGTCCCCCCCTGCCTCACTGGCTATCCCCTGCCACAGGAACTTACCCTCCAACACACTCTGGGTATCCCTTTCCCGGGGAACTGCCCTTCTTTGGGGATCCCTTTATCCCACTCTCCCTCCATAGCTAGATCCATCACACAAACGTTTGACATGCTCCCCGTCCTGTACCATACTGGGTTTATGCTTTCCATAAGATGTTTTTCACTTTGAGCTTCACTGAAGGAAACTGAACTGTAAAAAGTGTTTGTGTGATCAGTAAAACTCTGTGCATTTTGTGATGTTTCAACATCCAGGTCTTGAATCTTGTTCGAACGTGTTGCTTCTGTGTATCATTTACATTATTTTGAATTTGATTAGCTGGGAGAGGGGGTACTTTTAGAGAAAGTAGAAGAGCTCACAACACAAGGAATAGTGCCTCTGAGAGCATAGCAAGAGGCTGTGCTGAATTACTGCAAAACAAAGCCCAGAAGAAAGAGTATTGGTATGTTTAATTTTTTTCATTCCTTATTTCTGCAGAGACATGGCTCTTCTTTCTGGACAGGCTAGTAAAAGAGGATCCCTTATACTGGCTCCACCTTTTGCCACTGAGGCATCTCTGTCCCCAATCAAACCGGTACAGATCACAGTGTTCGAGGGATGTGACCTGGTAAAGGCTTTTGAAATGTCTCAGCTTGTTTGTCATTAAATATATCTGCTTTAGTAAATGGGGCAGGCATGAATTTTTATACTGTAAACCCTTCAAAAACTTGGTATGAGAACACAACACTGAGCAATCTGTAATGACACCAGGACCTCAGCATAACCCATAGTTACACAGCATACCTCTCTGTTCCCCTGTAGTGGCTAGTCCATATGTAGAGTAAAGGAGCTTGTTTTTTGGTCCAAAAATCTTGGGTTCAATCCCCATCGACAGCCCATCCAGGAATATTGCATTGCGTGAACATTAATTTGAAACGTGGCCTGCCAAGCCTCCTCCTGTATTACTATCAGTATCTTTACAACAGAGTTTTCTAAGCAATGCACGATTGCTAACATGTTCTTTTCTTTTTTGAGTTCCACACCCTTTTTTGAATTCCACACCCTCACCAACAAAATACAGAGACAAATACTTATAAAAAAAATTTTTTTTAAATCCCCTCCATTGTTTCCTGATATGTGGGAAGATTCTGATCTCAGTTACAGTAATGTAAATCTCAAATAACTCAATTGAAATTTGTGCCAGTTTACTAAAATCAAAATCTGACCATTAGTGAACTCTGTGTCACATTACATTCCTGGCTGTCCTTACTCTCGGGTTCTCACAGCGTATTTTTTGGTGGCCTCAGAGTGCAGCCACCAACTCTTGCTGGTGGCAGTACTGACACCTTTTCCTAACCTTATTTATTTTTCCTAAAGTTAGTGAAGTAATATGCACAAATATACATCCAAATCTTTGTAATTTATTTATGTAAGGTTTTGGGGTTTTGTTTTCAGACGCAATAATAAAAATAATGCAGTTATCTCTATTCTTTATTGGACCTAACAGAATAGAAACATAAATAAGGTGCTTTGCACGTTCTTGTCTTTTTATTATTGTTTCTTTTGCTTTTTTGGTAAAAGTGGTTGTCTGTATAACAATTCTGAAGTGAATTTAAAAATGCTTTGACATAATAGAAGTCCAAATAATAATGAAAAACATCTTTGCGTGGCTTGGGTCTGAGAAGGGGAGGGAAGGCATGGCTGCGGCTGGCCGGAGCTCCTCTGGGCAGGTGGGGGGACTCGGGGCTTTGGCCAGCCTGGAGCGCCTCTGGATGAGGGGTACTCTGGGCAGGTGGGGGGGGGAAGACACTCAGGGCTTCTCCGGGTGGGGGCTTGTGGCTCCAGCTGCAGGGGGCGCAGGGAGTCTTGGGGTTCTGGCTGCCGTGGGGTGGGGGCGCGGTGGAAGGGGTGCAGTCGGCAGCTAGCCTCCACAAAGGGGGGGCTCCACCCGCTGCCCATGCACCCGCCGCTTTCCTCCTCACCCCCCCGCTTGCCGCTTGCCTCCTGTGTCCCTCCTCAGTCCCCCACCCGCCACTCACCTCCTCTCACCCCCACACCCGCCACTCACCTCCTTTCTCCCCTGCCACAGACACCCCTCTGCCCGCCGTGAGAATGCCCCACTCACTCATGGCTCATTGCTCACCTCCTCCCTCCACCGCTCGCAGCCAGATTCTCCCCCACACACACCTGCCTCCTCACCCTGCTGCTGGCTTGCCACTCGCCTCTTTACTCCTCCGCCAGGATCTCCGCAGGCCCGCAGCTCACCTCCTTCCCCCCCCCCCCCGCCTGCCTCTTGCCTCCTCATTTCCCCCACTCGCAGCCAGCCCCCTCTTCCCCCCTCCGCTGCCCACCTCCTCACCCTGCTGCTGGCTCACCGCTCACCTTCGCACCCCCACCCCTTGCCTCCTCTGCTAGCTCCTTAAGCCTTGTGTGTCCCACCTGTGTCTCTAGAGAGGCGGTGCATGCAGGAGCAACAGGGAGGAAGGGGATGGGGCTGATGCTCTCCCCCTCTCCCCCGAAACTGCCATTGCCACAGGGAAACCCCCCCTAGTGGCCACATGAGGCCATGGTGGCCACAGTTGAGAAACAGTGGTCTAGAGTAATTGTAGGTTTCAGAGTAACAGCCGTGTTAGTCTGTATTCGCAAAAAGAAAAGGAGTACTTGTGGCACCTTAGAGACTAACCAATTTATTTGAGCATAAGCTTTCGTGAGCTACAGCTCACTTCATCGGATGCATACCGTGGAAACTGCAGCAGACTTATAACAACTCAAGAAAAAGACCTGGGTGCCACAGTGAACAGAACAATGAAAATCTCTGCTCATTATGTAGCAGCAGTTAGAAAAGCAAATAAAATGTTGGAATGCATCTAGCTATCTGTCTAAGCATTTATACCATAGTATCAAAATACCTCTCACGCATTCATTGATTTATCCTTGCTAAGTCTTTGTGCAGTAGGGAAGTATAAAAAGGAATGAGATGGGAAATAATACTGAAAATATTATAATGTTATTTTATAAATCAGTGGTACAACCTGAACTGGAATACTTCAGTTCTGGTCACCCCCTCTCAAAAAGAAAATAGCAAGTACAGAGAGGGCTAAGAGATGGACAAAAAAACCCAAAATGTTAAGAGATATGTAAAAACTTCCAGATGAAGGTACATAGAAGAAATTTGGGAATGTGTAATTAGAGAGGAGATGAATAAGAGAGGACATGAGAAAGGAATACAGAATAATGAATGGTATAGAAAAGGTAACTTCTATTTAGGCTTTCTCTTAATGGATTAATAGGGAGACATTTAAAGAAACTGAAAAACAGGAAATTTAAAACTGATAAAATGATATATTGATTACACAATACACAATAAAATCATGGAACTCATTACCACGAGGTATCATTAGGCAAAATTGCTTAGCAGGATTCAAATAAAGATTTGGCTTATATGGATAAGCATTAAAGAAAAGTTTGGCGAGGATATCAACTTTTGTGTTTTAGGGCATAAGCCAACCTCTATCTTGAGAGGGTTAGGAAATTTTTCCCCCTGTGTTGAGGTTATGTCATAATTGCCCACCTCATCATTTCTTGCACTGTCTTTGGAGGCATCTGCTCCTGGCCACTGTCAGAGAAAGGCTAGCAAGGTAGGTGGACTATTGGTCTGATATACTTTAGAATTTCCTATATTCCTGTGTTTAAGAACACTGGTAAACACATGCTAAAAACTGTACCCTTCTTGAAAGCTACTAAGGTAGAGTTAATGAATCCATAGAATCCAAATATTTCCAAAAAGCTTGCTAAAATTCTCACTAGATTTCAAGGAGTTCTTTAGCTATACAGTATTCTAGAATTTCATATTAACACAGCCATGCCATTTGTGAGCTACCTCCTCAGTTGTTTACAAAAATCAGAACCTTTCTTGAAATTATTATTATTATGTTGCCCCTTTGGATGAAAGTCAGTGTAGTTATGCTTATCTCTCTTCGTCCATGTTGATGAAGACTATTACTTCTAAATGCCCCTTCCACAGCTGGGTGCTAGTAACCTCTGGGGCGCTGCAGAGGGATAGAATGGAGAAAAGAGGGTGAAATCTCAGTGAGACTAGAACTTTTCCTCATAAACCCATTCTTGTATGTGGAGTAACTGAAAAAAAAAACCTTTCTTTCCCAAACAAGCATTCCTTAGCTCAACCACCTTCTGTGGACAGCTCTGGTTGTGAGCAGTTTGAAATCTGCCTTTTGCTTTAGAATAAAATAATTAACCTATTGTTGGTTTGTGTTTGACAGAAAGGTGTCAAAGGAGACACTCCAGTGACCTATGTGCGTGCAGAGTATAACGGTGTTATCCTGGGTGACTCCCTGAAAATTGATGTTTCTTCAGATGGGACAGTGAAATATAACTTCACCACTAGCTTTGAATACAACTCTGATGGGCCAAACTCTCTAGATGACATCGCACACAAACCCTTATTCTGTAAGTAACTGTCACTCTAACTATCCATTCATATTTTCCCAGAATGAATCACTAGAGAATTGAAAGGAGCTCTGGCCGTGGGGAGCTCTCACTATTCCATCCCATCTGCTCCTAGCAGGAGTCACTCATTAGAGAATGGAGTAGAAGCATTGCTGTGGGGAACTCTCAGCGACAGTACTCTATTCTCATCCTCGTCCAGCAGGACTTGCTTGAGAATGAAGTCTGAGCACTGGCTGTGGGAAACGCTCAGCTACTCTATCCCCGTCAGTCACTGGGGAATCAAGTAGGAGTTCTGGTTAAGAGCTAATACACTTTTTAAGCATCCTGAATGATCTCACTGTTTCCAGCTGCTGTTTTAAGGGTGATTGAGAAACATCTCCAGATTCTATGTTTTTTTCCCCCCCCAGTGACTGTGATTGAAGTTTTACCAAAGGAGAAGAAGCAGAAGGAGGAAAAGACTGTGGCTCTTGGTCAGGCTGTTGTGGACCTTCTACCTCTGCTGGAAGGTGCAATGTAGAATTCATACTGTGTCCACATCCACCTCTTGCTCTCATAAAGCTTCTTCATTGTAGCTTCACTTCTGTTGACAAATAATATCTAGTGCTGTCTTTAGAAAGTTGGATTATATGGGGGGCAGATAGCACAGTTTTTCCATTCAGGGAGTGATTTCACTACAGGAAGGCTTCAGACTTTATGCTGATTCTGTCTTTGTTTCTTCACAGGACAGTGTTCATTTAGAGCAACAGTTCCACTGCATCCAATTCCTGGCTCTCCACTGGAGAGCTTTCACCCAGATGCCAAGGTATTTGGAATTTCCCAGGGCCATTCACTCAATAATTCAACTATGCAGCTATATGGTGCAATTTAAATCAAAAGCTATGAATATTTCTGGAACTATGACTCAGCCATATTGCAAATTATGTATACATTATGGCAATACATATAAAAATTTGGGGCCCTGTCCTTCTCCCATTGATTACAATAGGAGCAGGATTGGGTCCATAAATCCTAATATATGCTGTACAAAAAACTACATTGAAAGAGCATTAATGTTGCAAAGTGAAGCACTGACAAATCAGAAAATGGCCTCATTTAAGATGCCTGCATAACCTTAACTCTGTCCCTTTGTGCAAACAAAATATTACATGGTCTTTTATTATTTTATCGTATACTATTTTTACTACAGGATCCCTGCCTTATTCAGCACACTGGTTGAACAGTGTTCAGTGAATGAAGCAATGATACATAGTGAATTAGGAAGTGTGTCTAATTTTAATCCAAATTCTGTTTACAATTACCAGTGTAAATTCATTGAAATCAATGGACTTTAAATTTACACTGGTGTATCTAAAAACATATTTCTGCCATCAGTAGACAGGTCAATTGGTATGTAATAAATGAGGCAAGTGCCAATCACACTGAACAGTGAAGATAACAAATATTCAAAAGTTACTTCATTCACTGAATGCCATCCATCCTATATGTGATCTTGTGATTAAATACTGTGTAATAATGTATATAGATAAAGGGCTCAGTTGAGGTTGCTTGTGTTAACTGTGGCATCTCCTGAATATTGAGTGATTCATTTTGCATCCTTAATGATCTTTCAACACAGCTAAGTTTTATTTAACTTTTCATTTGTTTATTAAGCAGTGACTGTGAGAGACATGGTCCCTGTCCTGAGAAGCTTACATTCTAAATAGAGAAACATTACAATTTGGACACAAATCATTTAATTGCCATAAGATTCATTTAGCACACAGTAATGCCCATTTTTTCTTCATTTGAATCAATGAATAAAATAATATTATAGATTTCTAGCTTAGGCAGACCTCTACTCATTTCCTCTGCAAAGACAGATGCATGTAACTGTTTAATAACTTCGCTGTTTCCAGTGGAATGTCACTTCAGTTTGCTCTTGTTTTGCAGTGTAGCCTTGAAGTGTCAGTGTCCATCCAAGAGCCCCTGCTTTCTGTATCGAAACTTTCAGGTGGCAACCTCCTCAGGGTTACATTGGAGGCTGCTTATTCTGTCCCTGAAGTGTTTGTTCCCACAGGACCCCAGCAAAACTACATGGTTTGCTTGCAAGTACCAACTGTTGGAGAGGTGGGGAACTGTCAATGAACTCTTTGTACATGTCCCAGATAGATCTTTGCTTCTGTGGTTGTGGTTTCTAAGATGTTAATCTGCATGAGTAATGAATGCCTATGCCTATTATGTGAGTATGTCCAACCGTTTCTGTGGCCACATAACTATATTGATATTTGTCAATGATTTTTCAGCTGTTTGTGTATGTATTTTTCTGTGACTTAGATCAAGCCCATTGCTGCCTGGTCTATGCGTCTCCATGGCAACTCCCATGTGCATGTGTGTTGAAATGGGTGGGATTTTCCTGTCTCTGTCAGTTCATGCAGTTTGATGCTTATACTTTGTAGCTTCTATACCTGTGTGGGCTGGAGCATGTTTTCCCAGCTGTGTTGCTATAATGCTGCTTTTTACTTGTTGGTCACACTTCACTATAGTGTTTACTTGCTTTTGCTCAGACCTCTGAATGAAAATCCTCTTCCTCTCTATCTCTCTAGAAAGAGTACCCCTTGATGTTCAAGAACGGTATCCTGAAGCTTGGTGGGGAAAAAGAGCCAATACCCCGGCCAAAAAAATGGCCCATTAGCAACATCCTGGCACCAGGAGCTCAAAACATTCCAGGCTCTTTTATTGTTGGTGGCCCCTATGAGGAGGAGGATGGAGAGCTCAACAAAACAGAGGTGAGGAAGAAATGACCTTGAAGCAGCCGGGAGAGAGCCAGAGTGCGTAGCAAAACTAATGACTGAAGACCTACTTTAAAAGATACAAAACAGGAGAAATGGGAAGCAAGATCTGGAGGAGGAGACCTGGTGCTTGTCCAAGCACCATCACAAGCCAGGCTGCTGGTGACACAAATAAATCTAACTTTAATTGGCCCCAGAACTGTAGTAACCGTTACTAACTCATTTTGTTCACCTGCTGATTGTTTCTGAGTGGAGTCGAATTCTGCAATAAGTTCTCCCCTTGGAGGAGATAAGCATTTCACTGCTAGGCTAGGCACTGCCCATCCGTTGGAACACAGTGTACTCTGTCAGGGTGTGATCTGAACATCTGACTCTTTCTCCTAGGACAGGGAATTTAGGATTCAGGCAGAGAGCATAAAAAAGAGAATTGTTTGGGACTTGGAAAGACGCTGTTACCTGGACCCTCCAGCAGTACTCAGGTAAGAAAACAAAGGAAAATTCCCTGGGCAAAAAGTGATGGGGATGGGGAAGAACATATGAATTTCCAGACTGTGTGAGCCCTATGATTCATCTATTTCAGTATCTGTCTCTGGCAGTGACCAGCACCAAGTGCTTTTGAGGAAGGCACAATAGACCCCACTATAGATGTGGGGTAATCTGCCTAATCCCTCATAGAGCTTGTTTTAAATCCTGAAGCATGAGGTTTTATATCCCTTTCAGTACTTATAATAGTGAATGCTAAAAAAATTAAAAGTCTGGATATTTCTGTTTATCCATATAAATATCCAGTCCCACTGAATCTTGCTAAGTTTTTGACCTCAGTGTCATACTGTCACAATGAGTTCCATAGTCCAGTTATACATTATGTGTAGAAGTATTTTCTTGTATCTGTTTTGAATTTGCTACTTTTCAATTTCATTGAATGTTCCCTTTGTTTTTGAGCTATAAGACAGGAAGAATGGACATGCTTACTCTACCTTCTCTATAATTCATTATTTTAAACTTTTGTCATGTCTGCTCTTATTAATCTATTTTCTAAAGTAAAGGGGAGAAAAGAAAGAAAAACTCCAACATGTTTCAGACTGATTTGACAGTTAATAATAGATCTATATCAAATGTGCCATAGATGCAGATGGCATTGTACAGTGAATAAAATGTGCCAAACAAATGAGAGTCACAGCCCCAAAATGCTTATTTTCTAAAGTCACAAAATGGTTTGTTCTGTCCAGTGCAAAGGGTCCCGAACAAACAGAGTGGAGTTTGGTCTTTATAGTTGGATGCTTTTCAGGAGGGGGAAGGTGGTTATATTCAGGAGTGTTTTGAAAGAGAGGGAGGACTTGGCTCACATTAAATGGAAGGCTATTCCAGGCATAACAAATAGCATTAAAGAAGAATGATCTGTTATAATGAACTTTCCTCTTTAAACCTGACTAGCTCTCTCCCTGCCCTAAGTGATCATCCTAGCTTATCAACAGAAAACTATCCTGATGCAAAGATAGGAGGAATAGTAAGAGGCCATCATGGCTGCATTGGGAGTTCTTTAATGACCTGAAAATCAAAAAGGAATCCTAAAAAGTGGAAACCTGGACCAATTGCTAAAGATGAGTGTAAAAGAATAGCAGAAGCATGTAGGGACAAAATCAGAAAGGCTAAGGCACAAATTGAGTTATGCCTAGCAAAGGTCACAAAAGGCAAGAAGAGGTTCTATAATACATTAGAGGCAAGAGAAAGGTGAAGGAAAGTGTAGGTCCACTACTTGGTGGGGAAGGAGAGCTAATGGACAACACAAAAAAAGCTGAGGTGTTTAATGTTTTTTTGCTTCAGTCTTCCCTAAAACATTAATTATGACCAGATGCTTAACACAGTTAATATTAACAACAAGGTGGAAGGAACACAAGACAGAATAGGGAAAGAACAGGTTAAAGAATATTTAGGTAAATTAGATCTATTCAAATCATCAGGGCCTGACAAAATGCACCCCTAGGGTACTCAAGGAACTAGGTGGAGCCATATGCACCGACTTCCCCTCTGCCCCGTGAGTGCTTGACACCCCCCCTCGCCTCAGCCCCATCCCTGCCGCCCCTGCACCACCCTTGCCCCGCCCCAATTCCACCCCCTTCCCCCAAGTCCCCACCCCTGCCCCACCTCTTTACCACTTCCTCCCCTGAGCATGCCACATCCCCACTTCTCCTCCTCCCTCCTGGAAAGTCCTAAGCGCCGCCAAACAACTGTTAAGTGGTGGGCGGGAAGTGCTGGGAGGGGAAGGGGGAAGGGTGGGGATGCGGCGCGCTTGGGGGAGGAAGAGGCGAGGAGAGGGTGGAGGCGGGGAGAGCTTGGCTGCCGGTGGGTACGGAGCCCCTGCTAATTTTTCCCCATGGGTGCTGCAGCCCCACAGCACCCATGGAGTCGGCGCGCCTATGGATGAAGCAGTCTCGGAACCATTAACAATTATCCTCAAGAACTCATGGAGAATGTGTGAGATCCCAGAGGAGTAGAGAAGAACAAACAAAGTACCGATCTTTAAAAAGAGGAAGAAAAAGGACCCAGGGAATTATAAACCAGTCAGCCTAACTTTGATACCAGGAAAGATACTGGAACAAATTATTAAATAATCCATTTGTAAGCACCTAGAATTTGTGGATGACACTAGGCTGGCAGGGGTTGCAAGCACTTTGGAGGACAGGACTAGACTTAAAAACAGTCTTGAGAATTGTTCAGAATCAACAAGATGAAATTCAGTAAAGACAAGTGCAAGGTGCTACACTTACACACAACTACAAAATGGGGAATAGCTGGCTAGGCAGTAGTGCTGCTGAAAAGGATCTGGGGGTTATACTGGGTCACATTGACTGTGAGCCAACTATAGATGCAGTTGTAAAAAAACTTAATATCATGCTGGGCTGTATTAACCAGAGTGTCATAAGTATGACCTGGGAAGTAACTGTTCTATTCTACTCAATGCTGGTGAGGCCTCTCTTGGAGTACTGTGGCCAATTCTGGGTGCCACACTTTAAGAAGGACATGGACAAGTTGGAGAAGGTCCAGAGGACAGTAACAAAAATGATAAAAGGTTTAGAAAACCTGACCTGTGAGGAACAGTTTAAAAAAACCTGGGCATGTTTAGTCTTAAGAAAAGAAGACTGAGAGGGAGCCTGATAACAGTCTTCAAGTATATTAAGGACTGGTGTAAAGAGGCCAGTGAGCAATTGTTCTCCATATCCATTTGAAGGTAGGACAAGAAGTAATGGGCTTAATCTGCAACAAAGGAGATTTAGATTAGATATTAGCAAAAACTTTCAACTATAAGGATAGTTAAGTACAAGAATAGGCTACCAAGAGAGTTTGTGGAATCCCTAGAAGTTAGACAAACACCTTTCAGGGATGGCTTAGGTATACTTGGTCCTGCCTCAGCTCGGGATGATGGACTAGGTGACCTCTCAAGGTCCCTTCCAGCCCTACATTTCTGCGATTCTATCCTGTGATTCTATTCTTTGTGATTTTTACAGCTGAATGCTGTGATATCACAGCCAAAGCACTGCAATTTACGATGGAGAATGAGCCATAAGAGCTGATGAACTCTTAAGGAATAACATTCCTGTTTTCATGCAGCTGTCCCTGCTAATAAAAACTGAAAGTTAGAATAGAACATTTCACTGGGGGCATTGGTAGATTTTTTTTTTTAAAGAAAAGTATTCTACCAGTTTTTCTTTCCATAGAGCTCACTGTAAATGTGTAGCCTCACTTTCCCTAAGTGGCACAAGCTAATCTCTGGACTGTTTTTCTATGTCTCAATTGTCTCCTTTGGTGTGGCAGCTTACAGAAGCGCATTGCAGAATGCCGGTACTGGCCAGTGGAGATTACCAGGGTCCCTATGGTTACTTCCACCAAAGGGAAATCTAGCAAATTAGACAAGGTAAATATGCCTAGAGATTTGTGTATGTGCGTATGATTGTATTTTGGTGCTATTTTCCATCAGAGGTTCTGCTAAGCTAAGAACAGTTTCCAAATGGCAGAGGTGAGTTAGGGAGGGCTAGAGGCTTTGGTAATGGAGTAATAAGCCTTACAGAGCTGTCAAACAAATAGCAAGGTTTCAAGTTACAACACAGAACTATCTTGTTAGTGCTCTTTAGTGACAGGTTTCAGAGTAGCAGCTGTGTTAGTCTGTATCCACAAAAAGAAAAGGAGTACTTGTGGCACCTTAGAGACTAACAAATTTAATTGAGCATAAGCTTTCATGAGCTACAGCTCACTTCATCAGATGCATTCACTGGAAAATACAGTGGGGAGATTTATATACATAGGGTATGTCTACACTACGGAATAAGGTCGAATTTATAGAAGTCGGTTTTTTAGAAATTGGTTTTATATATTCGAGTGTGTGTGTCCCCACAGAAAATGCTCTAAGTGCATTAAGTGCATTAACTCGGCGGAGCGCTTCCACAGTACCGAGGCTAGAGTCGACTTCCGGAGCGTTGCACTGTGGGTAGCTATCCCACAGTTCCCGCAGTCTCCGCTGCCCATTGGAATTCTGGGTTGAGATCCCAATGCCTGATGGGGCTAAAACATTGTCGCGGGTGGTTCTGGGTACATATCGTCAGGCCCCCGTTCCCTCCCTCCCTCCGTGAAAGCAAGGGCAGACAATCATTTCGCGCCTTTTTTCCTGAGTTACCTGTGCAGACACCATACCACGGCAAGCATGGAGCCCGCTCAGGTAATCGTCACCCTATGTCTCCTGGGTGCTGGCAGACGCAGTACGGCTTTGCTGCACAGTAGCAGCAACCCATTGCCTTCTGGCAGCAGACGGTGCAATACGACTGGTAGTCGTCCTCGTCCTGTCCGAGGTGCTCCTGGCCACGTCGGCTGGGAGCGCCTGGGCAGACATGGGCGCAGGGACTAAATTTGGAGTGACTTGACCAGGTCATTCTCTTTAGTCCTGCAGTCAGTCCTATTGAACCGTCTTATGGTGAGCGGGCAGGCGATACGGACTGCTAGCAGTCGTACTGTACCATCTTCTGCCAGGCAGGCAAGAGATGAGGATTGCTAGCAGTCGTATTGTACCATCTTCTGCCAGGCAGGCAAGGGATGAGGATGGCTAGCAGTCGTACTGTACCATCTTCTGCCGAGCAGCCATGAGATGTGGATGGCATGCAGTCCTTCTGCACCGTCTGCTGCCAGCCAAAGATGTAAAAGATAGATGGAGTGGGTCAAAACAAGAAATAGACCAGATTTGTTTTGTACTCATTTGCCTCCTCCCCTGTCTAGGGGACTCATTCCTCTAGGTCACACTGCAGTCACTCACAGAGAAGGTGCAGCGAGGTAAATCTAGCCATGTATCAATCAGAGGCCAGGCTAACCTCCTTGTTCCAATAAGAACGATAACTTAGGTGCACCATTTCTTATTGGAACCCTCCGTGCAGTCCTGCCTGAAATACTCCTTGATGTACAGGCACCCCCTTTGTTGATTTTAGCTCCCTGAAGCCAACCCTGTAAGCCGTGTCGTCAGTCGCCCCTCCCTCCGTCAGAGCAACGTCAGACAATCGTTCCGCGCCTTTTTTCTGTGCGGACGCCATACCAAGGCAAGCATGGAGGCCGCTCAGCTCACTTTGGCAATTAGGAGCACATTAAACACCACACGCATTATCCAGCAGTATATGCAGCACCAGAACCTGGCAAAGCGATACCGGGCGAGGAGGCGACGTCAGCGCGGTCACGTGAGTGATCAGGACATGGACACAGATTTCTCTGAAAGCATGGGCCCTGCCAATGCATGCATCATGGTGCTAATGGGGCAGGTTCATGCTGTGGAACGCCGATTCTGGGCTCGGGAAACAAGCACAGACTGGTGGGACCGCATAGTGTTGCAGGTCTGGGACGATTCCCAGTGGCTGCGAAACTTTCGCATGCGTAAGGGCACTTTCATGGAACTTTGTGACTTGCTTTCCCCTGCCCTGAGGCGCATGAATACCAAGATGAGAGCAGCCCTCACAGTTGAGAAGCGAGTGGCGATAGCCCTGTGGAAGCTTGCAACGCCAGACAGCTACCGGTCAGTTGGGAATCAATTTGGAGTGGGCAAATCTACTGTGGGGGCTGCTGTGATGCAAGTAGCCCACGCAATCAAAGATCTGCTGATATCAAGGGTAGTGACCCTGGGAAATGTGCAGGTCATAGTGGATGGCTTTGCTGCAATGGGATTCCCTAACTGTGGTGGGGCTATAGACGGAACCCATATCCCTATCTTGGCACCGGAGCACCAAGCCGCCGAGTACATAAACCGCAAGGGGTACTTTTCGATAGTGCTGCAAGCTCTGGTGGATCACAAGGGACGTTTCACCAACATCAACGTGGGATGGCCGGGAAAGGTGCATGATGCTCGCATCTTCAGGAACTCTGGTCTGTTTCAAAAGCTGCAGGAAGGGACTTTATTCCCAGACCAGAAAATAACTGTTGGGGATGTTGAAAAGGCCTATATGTATCCTTGGGGACCCAGCCTACTCCTTAATGCCATGGCTCATGAAGCCGCACACAGGCAGCCTGGACAGTAGTCAGGAGCTGTTCAACTACAGGCTGAGCAAGTGCAGAATGGTGGTAGAATGTGCATTTGGACGTTTAAAGGCGCGCTGGCGCAGTTTACTGACTCGCTTAGACCTCAGCGAAACCAATATTCCCACTGTTATTACTGCTTGCTGTGTGCTCCACAATATCTGTGAGAGTAAGGGGGAGACGTTTATGGCGGGGTGGGAGGTTGAGGCAAATCGCCTGTCTGCTGGTTACGCGCAGCCAGACACCAGGGCGGTTAGAAGAGCACAGGAGGGCGCGGTACGCATCAGAGAAGCTTTGAAAACCAGTTTCATGACTGGCCAGGCTACGGTGTGAAAGTTCTGTTTGTTTCTCCTTGATGAAACCCCCGCCCCTTGGTTCACTCTACTTCCCTGTAAGCTAACCACCCTCCCCTCCTCCCTTCAATCACCGCTTGCAGAGGCAATAAAGTCATTGTTGCTTCACATTCATGCATTCTTTATTCATTCATCACACAAATAGGGGGATGACTACCAAGGTATCCCAGGAGGGGTGGTGGAGGAGGGAAGGAAAATGCCACACAGCACTTTAAGCACAGCACTTTAAAAGTTTACAACTTTAAAATTTATTGAATGACAGCCTTCTTTTTTTTGGGCAATCCTCTGTGGTGGAGTGGCTGGTTGGCCGGAGGCCCCTCCACCGCGTTCTTGGGCGTCTGGGTGTGGAGGCTATGGAACTTGGGGAGGAGGGCGGTTGGTTACAGAGGGGCTGCAGTGGCAGTCTGTGCTCCAGCTGCCTTTGCTGCAGCTCAACCATACACTGGAGCATACTGGTTTGGTCCTGCAGCAGCCTCAGCATTGAATCCTGCCTCCTCTCATCACGCTGCCGCCACATTTGAGCTTCAGCCCTGTCTTCAGCCCGCCACTTACTCTCTTCAGCCCGCCACCTCTCGTCCCGGTCATTTTGTGCTTTCCTGCACTCTGACATTATTTGCCTCCACGCATTCGTCTGTGCTCTGTCAGTGTGGGAGGACAGCATGAGCTCGGAGAACATTTCATCGCGAGTGCGTTTTTTTTCTTTCTAAGCTTCACTAGCCTCTGGGAAGGAGAAGATCCTGTGATCATTGAAACACATGCAGCTGGTGGAGAAAAAAAAAGGGACAGCGATATTTAAAAAGACACATTTTATAAAACAGTGGCTACACTCTTTCAGGGTAAACCTTGCTGTTAACATTACATACATAGCACATGTGCTTTCGTTACAAGGTTGCATTTTGCCTCCTCCCACCGCGTGACTACCCCCTCAACCTTCCCCCTCCCTGTGGCTAACAGCGGGGAACATTTCTGTTTAGCCACAGGCAAACAGCCCAGCAGGAATGGGCTCCTCTGAGTGTCCCCTGAAGAAAAGCACTCTATTTCAACCAGGTGACCATGAATTAGATCTCACTCTCCTGAGGATAACACAGAGAGATAAAGAACGGATGTTGTTTGAATGCCAGCAAATATACACTGCAATGCTTTGTTCTACAATGATTCCCGAGTACGTGTTACTGGCCTGGAGTGGTAAAGTGTCCTACCATGAAGGACGCAATAAGGCTGCCCTCCCCAGAAACCTTTTGCAAAGGCTTTAGGACTACATCTAGGAGAACCGCAAATGCCAGGGCAAAGTAATCCTTTCACATGCTTGCTTTTAAACCTTGTATAGTATTTTAAAAGGTACACTCACCAGAGGTCCCTTCTCCGCCTGCTGGGTCCAGGAGGCAGCCTTGGGTGGGTTCGGGGGTACTGGCTCCAGGTCTAGGGTGAGAAACAGTTCCTGGCTGTCGGGAAAACCGGTTTCTCCGCTTGCTTGCTGTGAGCTATCTACAACCTCCTCCTCATCATCATCTTCTTCGTCCCCAAAACCTGCTTCCGTATTGCCTCCATCTCCATTGAAGGAGTCAAACAACACGGCTGGGGTAGTGGTGGCTGAACCCCCTAAAATGGCATGCAGCTCATCATAGAAGCGGCATGTTTGGGGCTCTGACCCAGAGCGGCTGTTCGCCTCTCTGGTTTTCTGGTAGGCTTGCCTCAGCTCCTTCAGTTTCACGCGGCACTGCTTCGGGTCCCTGTTATGGCCTCTGTCCTTCATGCCCTGGGAGATTTTCACAAAGGTTTTGGCATTTCGAAAACTGGAACGGAGTTCTGATAGCACGGATTCCTCTCCCCAAACAGCGATCAGATCCCGTACCTCCCGTTCGGTCCATGCTGGAGCTCTTTTGCGATTCTGGGACTCCATCATGGTCACCTGTGCTGATGAGCTCTGCATGGTCACCTGCAGCTTGCCACGCTGGCCAAACAGGAAATGAGATTCAAAAGTTCGCGGTTCTTTTCCTGTCTACCTGGCCAGTGCATCTGAGTTGAGAGTGCTGTCCAGAGCGGTCATAATGGAGCACTCTGGGATAGCTCCCGGAGGCCAATACCATCGAATTGTGTCCATAGTACCCCAAATTCGAGCCGGCAACGTCGATTTAAGCGCTAATCCACTTGTCCGGGGTGGAGTAAGGAAATCGATTTTAAGAGCCCTTTAAGTCGAAATAAAGGGCTTCATTGTGTGGACGGGTGCAGGTTTACATCGATTTAACGCAGCTAAATTCGACCTAAAGTCCTAGTGTAGACCAGGGCATAGAGAACATGAAACAATGGGTGTTACCATACACACTGTAACGAGAGTGATCAGGTAAGATGAGCTATTTTACCAGCAGGAGAGCGGGGGTGGGGGTGGGGGTGGGGAAGTAACCTTTTGTAGTGATAATCAAGATGGGCCATTTCCAGCAGTTGACAAGAACGCAGACGTCCTCCTTTTCTTTTTTTAGTACCATGGCAACTGAAGAGGGATTACTTGAGAAAGTAACTGCTTGGGAAAGTGATTAGCTGATCTTTCCTTTGGCCAAGATGTTCCTTGAGCACCTCTCAGATGTTCAGGATCCTAAACTGGCCATATGATTTTGCAGCAATGACTATGTTCTCCTTGCCCCATACAGGACACTAAGCTCCTCATAACTCTAGCAAGACATTCTGTTTCCTAATCAGATGGTGAGTGCCTTTAGAGGCTTATATTTTTGAGTGCCACGGTACAGCCCACCAGGAACAGAGCACTTGGCTTCACTAAGAAAATGTGTCCTTGACCTGCAGAGATTGGAATAATATTGGGTATGGAAGGACTACAGCATATTCTTTCAAGCTGACATAGCTTTATGCCAGCTGGGGAAACTTCATAGACAGGACACCATTGATATAACTTTATTTTATTAGCAATTGGTGCAGTACGCAGAAGCCTGCAGTGATGGCCTAAAAACCTTGCAAAGAACAGTCCTGATAAGTCATTTAGCTAACTCATGCCTGGTCTTGTTTGCCTTTCCAGGGAGATGATGATGGACAGATTTTCTTCCATGGCGTGGCATACGTCAACATGGTGCCTTTGCTGTACCCTGGTGTGAAGCGCATACGAGGAGCTTTCCGTGTATTTGCATATCAAGACAGTGAGGTGTTTGGGAAGGTGAGAATGGGCTTGTACTGTACACTGCAGTACAATCTCCTCGTCCATCTATGTTCATGCGTCACATGTTTGGCAGCAGTCAGGGCTATCTGAATGGTACTTTAGGTTTGCCTTTACAATAAAGCTGGCTCTGAGACTTCACTGGATTTCCAAGTGCTCCAGGGAGAAGTAATAAGACAAGCTTATTGGAGCAGTTTCCTAAAAGAGCAGATTTATTTCCTAAGCCATAGTATGAGGCAGACATCCTGAGCAATGGGTTTTGGGGATTGAAGGGACCCTTAGGACATGACTTTTCTGCGCTCCTTTCTCTGGCAGCAGCTAATCAGTGTTGTAAAAATCCTCCTTCCCCCTTATGGTAGGTGTTTTCCCACCACTTCCTAGTGAGGCAGGTCCTCCCTAGGAAAATATAGTGGTTACTGGATCAGTGTAGTTACCAATAGGGATGCTCAAAAGGTTTTAATTTAAATAAAAGGACCACATTGAGGTTGTAATTCATACAGTTTTTTCTGTTTTAGTTTCTCTTCTCCCCTTCACCCCAACCATGTTATTTAGGCAAATATTAACATTCATGTTTCCCACAGTAATAATAGAATGTTGAACTTGTTTCCATCTTTGTCCCAAGGCAGGAGAGACGCACACACACAGGAAAGTAATTTGGTTTTACTGGTCCCCTCGTTCACCTTAACTGTTGACTGAGGATCATAAATATCCCAGGTGCAGTCTAGTAGCTGGACCTGGATGAAAACACCAGCCCTTTCCTGTGTGAGTCACACAAACTTTGTCCTTCTAGGAGATGTATTATTGAAAAGCAGGTCCAGGCAGACAGCTTTCCTTTAGTCTCTGCTCTCCACAATATCCCAGCAGTGCTTTGGTGATGTCTTCTTTCCCATATGGTACTCCTCCCCGGGTCACAATTATAAAAATACATTGTAACTTGCAAATAAAACAACACATGCTCTCTCTGTCTCTCACATTCTCATTTCCTGGTCTCCTTAATGCCATGGGCTGGACCTTATGCTTGATGAGAGCTGTTGTCCAGATGATGTAGCTAATTCAAACCAACCTAAGTTATTGCACTAACCATAGCTTTTAAATAGGTGCTAAATTGCACGTGATGTAACCCTCCTATGCAGAGATAAAGTGTTATTTGAAAAGGCAACCTCTGAAAAATGTTTAGTGATAATTTAATGATTCATTGCTGTGCTCTAGCATGTGAAGGGTTGAGGCAAGAAAGGTGATGTCCAGTCCATCAATCTGCATTTCTTTTTTTGCCTCAATTTTATAATTTCCTTCTTTTTCAGACTAAGTGTCTATTCAGCATTTTACGTGATCTTGGGCATCAAGCCAATCTGAACAAATTAGGGCCAGTGATCGCAGCAGCCAGCTCCCCTCATTCAAAAGCTATTCCCAGTAGGAACCAGAAAGAGGATAAAATGACCAAAGAGAAGGATGTTCTAAGAAAGGTAAGTGTAAGTTCAGACCTCACTGAAAATGCCAAGGTCAGGGCAAGCTGCAAAAGGGAGAGCAAATACACCCAAAGCTGGTGTTTAACACTGAAGTTAAGCTCATCAACCAGTCACAAACTGTGCTTCTGATCCCCCGACACTGGTTATCAAGAAGCTAAAAAAGAAATCACACAGCCCCTTTAGTGCATTCCAGTTCTCTGGCTCCCAATCAGCACCTAAGTCCAGTATAGTGAGAAGTTATTTAAAAAACTCCACTCACGATATAAAATGTTCTTCTGACCCCAAAGGGTCAGCCACGTTACCAGGTCAGTATAGGTTTGGTTCTTAAGCGAAATACTACGCTGCCAGCCAACCCTTTAGTGTCTAAAACTAAAAGTTTGTCATAAAGAAAAAAAAAAGAACAAGAAGAGAGTTGTTAAATGGTAAAGCACTCAGATACATACAAAGACTTCAAAGTCCATATATCAGGTTCTTAGCAATATTGATGAGATTGCTGGCTTGAAAGTCCCTCTGGAACACATCCACAGCTGGATGGGTCATTCAGTCCTTTGTTCAGAGCTTCATTTGTAGAAAAGTTACTCGAGGGTAAGAAGCAGGAATGAAGACAAAATGGAGAAGATGCAGCTGCCTTTTATATTCTTTTGCCATGTGGCTTGTACTTCTTGTGTCCCAAACACAAGCTTCACAGCACATGGCATGGAAAAGCCTCAGAGTTTTCTGTCTACCGGCGTGCCCCTACATGCCTTGCTATCTCATAAGGTGTATCCCTTGCCTTCTTTCAATGAGTCAGTTGTATAGCTGATGACCCTTGATGGGCCATTGAACAAGCTGGGCAGTGCTGATGCCAATCTGTCTGGGGGTGTTACCCAGATACACAGCACAAGTTTGGAAATAACAGATATACCCTACATATCTATAACTCACCATACAAAGGTGATGCAAACATATAAACAAGATTATCTACTTGGCAAATTATAGTATTTTCACAGATACCTTTAATTGCATATCTGGTCAGATTCCTTGCAATTTTATAATATGGTATCAGTAATAATCAGTAATACATTAATCTTGAGCACTACACATTTGAGAATTATCAGATTCAAGATGCTTTGTCATTTCCAGTGTATGCAGCAGATAAATCTGCGGCAAAATATTACCACTTTTAAATCACATCTTTGTTCATTGTTTTTATATTCTGTGCTAAAAGTAAACCCTATGATGACTGTTACAGGGTAATCATTTTCGTGCATTTGGTAGCACATTGTGTAAAGTCAGTTTAATGGTTTTTCCCATTAAAAAGACGCTGCAAACTGTATGGTCTGCTGTGCTGGGTGCTGCTGAATCTAGGCTATCTGGCACAGTAGACCACTGAGTAAAGGGGTCAAGGTGGGAGGGGGACACCCTGACATAAGCCATCCTCTAGGTCTCTGCAGGCATTTTGTATGCTCTTGTGCTAGTCTTCAGAGAACTAAAATCTCAAAATATGTAAAGAATATGATTTTTTTTTCATGTATTGAGCCTAGCATATCGCAGGGACACTTGTCTTGCAGGCTGTTGTCTCCACCGCTGGGCAATGAAGTTAAAGCAAATTTCTCTTTCATCTCAGGCCACAAATACAGTGTTTGTTGTCAAAAATGTCCATTTGGGGTCTCTTGCTTGTCCATCTATAAACTCAATGTTTGACTAACAAATAAAAAAAACCCCAAATAAAAAAATTTGATTTAGTTGGGGATTGGTCCTGCTTTGAGCAAGGGGTTGGACTAGATGACCTGAGGTCCCTTCCAACCCTGATATTCTATGATTCTATGATATCACAAAGCGTCCCACATATTAGATGCTGCGTCACAGTTTGTATAAGAGAAAGCAGGTTTGCGGAGCTCAGAAACTTGGAAACGTTGCATGTTATAGGACAGAAGGGAGGCAGGGGGCCAGCTAGTATTCCTTCTTCCTGAATGAAAAATCGTCATCACTTTGAATTTCCTAATACATGATGCATGAACCAATTCTAACATTGAGAATGGCATGGCTATTTAATATTTATGGCTTTCAAAACTGTAGCATGGTAAGCAGGTAATAAACCTCTGTTTTACTGCTCTCTTGGTGTCACAGGGACTGGATTATTAGAGTTTGGGAAGTGTGAGGATCTTTGAATACTGAACAATATAGGCCTTCTTTCTCTTGCTAGATGTCCACTACGCTAAAATCTCAGACGTCAGAGAGTGCTATAGAAACTGAAGCAACAGTGTGTCAGAACCTGGAAGGACAGGTAAGTGTGTGCTTTAAACAGATGGAAAGAATATGTAGACTGTCATTGTGTAAGTTCCCATAGCCCAGATTCCAACATCATCTACATAATTGACTTCTGCTAGGAGAGCTGAGGACTGGGGACTTTCATCTATTTTGCAGCTACCACAGTGAGATCTCTCCAGTGACATCTGTGCACACATTATCGTTCAAGTGGGTCAAAAATATCGGGGACTGAATTTAGGAGGGTTCTTCAATAGCTTTCATATTTTGGCTTCCTTCTCAATAAATAAATAAATAAACTGGTTGCACACACTAAATCTCAGAGGAGATTTTCTCCAGACCTGTGCATTTCTCTAACTGGATTTTGCTGTGATATAAAATCTTGAGGGCAGATAAGAAAACGAGCTGTTACTCTATGATTCCAGCAGGGTCCTTGGTAAACATCTGATATTGAGCTAAGGGTTTAGTCATGGCAGCAGTGACACTGAAAAATGTGACACTGAGAGAGCAATGTCTGTCTTCACAGCAATATGTAGATGCAGGGACATTCCTGGTGATGGAAATAGAGCTGGCCAAGGCCTTGGTACCAAAACGATTGCCGGAGGAGCTCGCCAGCCGGTACGTAAAGGCGTGACTGTAACATTGGAGTCAGTGGTTTGACTGTAAGCTCCTCAGGCCAGGGACTGTTTTGTAATGTATCTGTTAAATGTCACGCACACTTGTGGTGCTGTGTAAATAATAATGGGCCTGATCCAAAGTCCACTGAAATCAACAGAAAGAATTGCCTTGACTTCATTGGGCTTTGGATCAGGCTCATTAAGAACAGGGAACTGGTGTAGGCTTGGAAGTCAGGAAGATAGATTCACATTTCACCCAGCCGCGTATGGTTCTTTTTAATGTATAATTTATTGAATAGGAAAGAGAGAATACTGAAAACAGATAAAATCCAACATGTGTGGAAGAAGAGTCTCACAAACTCTCTCGTTGCACAACTGAATCAACAGACCTAAGGGAACAGCACGGGGGGCAGAGAGATAGGAGAGGGTGTGAGAGGAGCCACTTAGACTTGGCTGAGGGGGTGGCAGCCCACTTCAGGCTGGGAAGGGTGGTCCCAGCAGTTCCTACCTACTCTCCAGGCCTCTGGGTCCCACTGTTGCTTCCACCGCTCTCACTTCCACCACCCCATGCCCCCTTGTCCCCCCATCTCCATGCACAAGGTTACATGGGGGCAGAGCCCATGCAATAATTCCTTTGCAGGGGCACTACGCCCCACTGCCCCTGGAACAACACAGGAATTGCCACAATTCAGTAGGTCATTGGCCTACATAAACTGGTATGCTGTAGCAATGGTCTATGTCTGGTGAATGAGAGGAAGTTGAAACCCCTTTTTAATAGTCTTCAGTGTAACTTTGTTTACACCAGTTCTACTTCTGGGCAATTTGCTGAATTTGGTGTAATTGGTCCTGATTTATACTGGGGTAAGAGAGATTGGAATTGGGCTGAGGAAGCGCAGCCAGTTGTATAATGCTGAATGTTGGGCAGGAGGTCAGACTAGGTGACCACAGTGGCCTTGGGATCTGGGAATCTGGATTTTGGGTTTGAAATCTGAATCTATTCTGGCCCTGGATGGTAATCAGGTTACACCCAGAAGCGTGCTCATCTAATTGCAAATGTTATTCCTGTGTATGTCAATACTGAATCCTTTCTGGACTCATGTTTAAAATACTGTGAGTTCCACAGTCAGCTTCTGTGGGCTGAGTTAAAGATTCTCTAGCAGTCTAAACTTGTATTTCCAGCTTTCTTTGCCTGATCGTTGACCCTTAACAATATTTTCACAATGTTCTCTAATAATAAAGTAGATAATGCTGTACAGTTTTCATTCCTGTCAGTAGTCATGGATTCCATGAGACTGGTATTGACAAACATACAAGATCTGACCTGTGGGGGTTTCATAGGACAGCAGGTGGGTAGGTAAGTGGGGTAGGGGATATACTTTGAATATTTGTACTGATGCTGAGCATTTTCAGAGACCAGCCCATGGCAATGCACAGAGGTGGGTGCTAGAGATCAGTTAACCCATTGCAGGAATAGAAAGGGCCAAGAACTAGACACTAGACTAGATAGTACAGGACAGTCAGGTTTGTGAAAAGAGCCTAGGGACTTTATTCGCATTCATACTAAGCCCCCTCTACACCCTTTAATGTAAATGAAAATCAGGCCTTGGGCCTTTAGTGAGGTGTGAGACAAGAACTAGTTAGCCAAGAAGTCATCATGAGCCACACACACTGAATGTAGAGATTTTTGTCTGCAGCAAGTTGTTCTTGGTCTATGGTATGTCTACCCGGCAGCTGGCAGGGTAATTTCCAATTCTACTTGAGCTGGCACACTGAAAATAGCAATGTGGCTGTGATGGCACGGCAGCAGCTCAGACTAGCTGTCCAAGAATTTACCCAGGAGGTCAGGCAGGATTGTACTTGGGCAATTAGCCCAAGCCACCACCCGTGCCATCACGGACACACTACTGCTTTTAGCATGATAGCTCAAGTGCATGTGTGTCTGGCTGAGTTGGGAATTGCCCTTCCAGCTGCTGTCTGGACATTTCCTGTGAGGCTTCATAATTTCTCCCATGATCTGATTGTTTCTGTGCCTTATCCCCATAACTGTAACAGGCCGATAACCCTAGAAATACTTGGGTCCAGGACAGATTGGGGCTGCTTTCTGCACATTGAATAGCTTCCTTCTGCTCTCTCTCACACAGAGTTAAGGAGATGATTCCTCCACGCCCTCAGCTACCACGCCGGAGTGCAGGAGCTAAGAAGGTAGGTCCTTTCTGTGACTGTTTTCCACTCCACAGGTGTCTAGTAACCCTCCATGATCCTCGTTTTCAGATCAACACTACCAAGAAGTCAGTAGTAGAATGAGCTAATAGGGCTATGTCTATACTACAGCCTGTGTCAACATAATGAATAAACCACCCCTCTGAGTGACATAGGTTACACCGACATAAGCGCTTTTGTGCACAGCGCTATCCGACATAGCTTTGGCTGTTCACAGAGGTGGTTTTATTATGCTGACGGGAGAGCTCTCTCCTGTTGGCATAGAGTGTCTTCACCAGATGTGCTGCTGCAGCAGCACTGTACATGTAGTCATGCCCTAAGATTTGCAGGGAACACGTTCCTTTCTAGAGGAGAAACAGAATGAAGAAAGCGTTTAGGGATGTATTTTGTATATGGTACTTGCATCACACCTTTAAGGAGCTCCTCCCCTAATCTGTGTTAGCTAGACTCATGGAAAATCAGAGAGGGAGGAAACAGCAGTAATTGGGTTTTAAGTGAATTTAATGCTGGTGAAAGGTGTCAAATTGACAGCTCTAGATACTGACACCTTCTGTTTATCCCCAGAACAGTCACAGCCTGGGAGAGGCAGGGCCAGCTTCACCTTTCCAACAAACCAGTGTGCCTCAGCTCAGACCTGGAGGGTCCCACTTCTACCAACAAGAACTGAGTTCAGTTTCACTAAACCCACTCAATCCATGGCCTCTCTGAGATTGCCAACGAGTCCAAGTTTTGTGGGGTTTTGTGTGAGATATGGCCACTTGTTTTCTGGAAACTGGACTGAGACCACTGACTCATTTCCCATAGGTCACCAAACAACCTTCAGAAAAAATGGCTTTTGATCATGGTTAGCTAGGATTGAGTTTGAACGTATGCCCTAGAAATGAAAGATGTAAGATAACTGATGCCAAGTGCTGCTATTGAATCGACTTGTACTATTGTGTCTGGTGTAGACAGAATGATATGTTTTGATAACAGCAGTAGTTGGAAGCTTCTGCCTTTTATATGCTAGAGATTACAGACTATGCTGCAGAGTCCATGACTTTAAAGTGGTCCTGACAAACAAAATATATTTTATGTAAAGCCTATTATACTACCATGGAAGAGATGATAATGTCTGATATACTAGATTATGCTGGAAAAATAAAACAGGAGGAATATCTAATTATAAAGGAGAAAGCTTCTATTTATACACAGACACCTTAGTAGTTATCAATCACTGATGGGAAGGATACGACAGGTTAATTGAGTCTGAGTCAGTCCTACTTAGCAGGAGGAGTGGTCTCTGTAACATAAGTCAATTTCAAGCTTTGTACTAGAAGTTACCTTTAAAGTCTGAATCCCAAGGCCGGATTCCTGTTTCAGCTCCAGCTTCTCTGTTTTCTAGGCCGTGGAAGATTACCACAATCAGATCACTAGTATTGCTGGAGCCATCCTGGATGAGTACCATGAGCTGTTTGGGAAGCAGATGGTTGATGGTGGTGTAATAGATCATCACACCCTGGAGGAACAGAAATGTCAACTGAACTATGAGCTCAACAGCTCAGGAAAATACTTTGCTTTTAAGGAACAGCTGAAGGCAAATCCTCCATTTGTATCTCTTTGATTGCCTTGTCATTTCCTTCCTGACTCTTTCTCTTCAGCAGAGAGCTTCTGTACTTCAATAGGAACTTTAAATGACAGGTGCCACCTTACTGCAACTGAGGAATCCCTTTCAAATAGTCAGTACCTGTTCCAGCAGGAGCATAAATTCTGAGGTTTCTGTTCTAATGGGGCAGGCAGTTGTCCAAACTTTGGCTGCATGTCAGGAGAATCTTTTCTGTCAGTGAGGTACAGCTCCAAGCCTGGACTCACAAAGGGCATGTGTTTGCACCACATTTCTAGGCAGGTTTAGTTTAGTTTCGAGCTAAAGAAAGGAATGGATAATCAGCTTTCCACATGCAGTAATCCTCTGTGTACAATTCTGGACCTGAACCATCCTACTAAGATGAAAAAAAGAGTTCACTTCTTTGATTTAGTTAGTCCTGGCCTATGCTTGTACCGCTCTGCCAACTGACCCCAGCTGTTGGAGGAACTGCCCTTTCTTGGGGTAAGAGCAGAATTCAGTCTCCATGTGTATTTATCCAATGCTCCACCATGGACTGCTCCACCAGTGGACTTGGGTCTGTCCAAGAGGGACCATAGTCTGGTAGGCTGAAAGTGGAATTCAGCTGCATCCCCTTAATCAGTGCTATACATGGCCTTCTTTCATTAAATATGTGTTATGGGTTCACGCTAAATGAACTTGGTGTTTTTTGGCTCTCTGCTGCTGCCACAGGGGAAAGTGGTAGGTTGAAGGGTGGGGCCCTATTGTTAAGTAGTTGTTTTATGTTCTCTGCAGCATGCAGTGGTGAAGATTGTGAGAGAGAAGTACTTGAGGACAACAGCATTCAACAACTTGGAGCAGCTACAAGCTTTCCTGAGTGAGCTGTATGTGTACCTGGTGGATCAGATGCACATTGCTCTAAACCAGGTAGGAAGACACCCCAGTCACATAGTAAGAACATTGTCAAGTGTGACTTGGAATGTATTTATTTCACTATGGAGCTGAGGCCTGACATGGCTTTCTTAGAAATCAGTGGGGGCAGGATCAAGCCCTGAATATGCAGCTACTACAATTAGCCTAACATGCAGACCCTGAGACATTTTTAATCTACATTATCTAGGTACTTCTATGGTCCCTGAAGGAACAAAATATGGACACCGTGTAGAATCAAGCACGTGGGTTTATTACGCACAGCGCTGGCAGAGTGTCACCTTGCTTATTAGGCTCAGAGACACTGCCAAACAATTGATTACAATGGATTATATGGATTTTCCATGGGCAGAGGGAAATGACGGGGTAGGCAGTCCCAAACCCCTGGATAGGTCTAGCAGCAAGACAAGATAAGCACAGTAGCCAATAGTCAAAGATTACATGATGTCTCCCCCCATGGTTTCAGGTTAACACATGACACATAATTAGTACACAGGTGTTTTCCTTTAAACAATGTATAGAGTGTGTTAGTATAATATATATGTTGAATTCTGATTTGGGGTCCATAGGAATGAAGTAGCTCCTCTGATTGTCCAACAGGTACATACCTAGGGGTTAAAGCAAAGAAACATTGAAAAGTATATGGCAATAGAAATTGTCTTTCAAGTTGCTCATTTGTGCTTCTAAGGCAGGGACTGGTATCTGGGGTGGGGAAGAGGATGCCATATCTCATACTGACATGTTTGAACCTTTTCCATAAACTCAAGGTTGGTATGTGGGGAGAGCATGGTTACCTCCTTGCAGAGGAGTATACACACAGATCCAGACATAGGGCCTCTTTCATTCCTTTGGTCTGTTTGCAGCTTTTAGATAAAGCCACCAATTTACAGCTCCCACCTGGCTTTTGCTGACCAAGCTTATTTTAGCAAAAAGCATGGTTGTCTTTCGTTTGTTCTGCTCTCTTAGCTAATATTGTCCACTATTTGCTAGGCCTCTGTCCTCTTGACCAAACTCTGGACTTTGGGCCTGTAAAAAGAACTGACACAGCCTATATCAGATTTTTACATAAACAGCATATGGATTTCGGCCCTTCAGTCCCATAGCCATAGAGTATGTATGCGTATGAGGTGTCTTTGGGTTGATGTATTTTAGGGGTGGATGAGGAGATGTCAGCTAGCAGACTCCTATATATGATACAGATCTTTCATTGTGTATCAAAGACCCACACTGGTGACATTACACAAATTACTAAAGTAGGAAGCTTGCAATATTCTTGGTCCATATGGAAGTCCTTAGATGTTTCTTCGGTTTTTAAGATTGTGACCTTCTGATACCACTAGACCACAGGTGTAAATAATGGGGAAGACACCTGGCTTATATGGTGAAGATAGCTTGAAGTCCGACATGATTTTACATACCTGATAGTGAGGTACAGATGAGAGAGATGCAGGAGTGAGTCCCATTTGCCATCAAAAGTCGGAATGATTTATAATTTGTCACCCCGCCTGTAATGTATTGCATTTTGTATCACACTGGATTTGTACAGTGATGCCACAGAGTGACCTAGTTCATCCTTGCCAAACTTCTGTGTGCTGATTTGACTTAATTTTATCTCCTGTGTCCTTGTCTCTTAACAGATACTGTCACAAGAGAGTACTGTCGTTGCCTCACCCACCTTCACAAGCTGTGAGCAGCTCCGACTCTTTGCTCATGAAGCCGAAGTCAATGAGGACTATGCTCTGGCATCTGTCTACTATCACGAGGTAAGGGAGCTTCTCCCTTCCCTTCCTTCTCTCCAGGCATATTGTTTGGCACACAGTGTGTTATAGGGATGACAGTGGGGCTGAAATCAATGAAGACCTCAAGTTTCTTACTGTAAATCCACTGTAGGCTGGGCACAGTGAAGGAAGAAAGATGCTGCTCAGTAGGCGTAGCACTTAGCATTGTGAGTTGTTTGTCAGGATAATGTTTATCTCAGGCTGAACCATAACAGAGGCTGACCATGTCATTGTGGGCTTTCATCCTGATGGGGAGGGGAAAAGAAAGGATCTGATGAGCTGTCACAAAAGGCAGCTAGAGTGAGAACTGGAAGATTATGTCATCTAACAAGAGGGGAAGGAGAGCTAGAAGGAAAAGCAACAAGACTGGCTAAAGATGGAGAAGTCTTTGCTCCTTACTGCCAGGTGAAGGAGGCAAAAAGACTGAAAGTGGGTAGACTGAAAATTGATACTGGTCATGATCCCTGCTTAGGAGAAACTCTAGCTCATAGCAAATAAAGGCTGACAGTTGGCAACCAAATGTTGGGGTGAAGGTACAGAAAGGGAAATTAGCATAAAACTGGAACCCCTCATTCTAAACTTCTTCTGCATCAGCTAAAACTCCAGGAATCCTAACTGTAGCAATGATATCTTATACCTAGAGGCTGGCTCGTGACCGCCAGATTGTCCAGCACTGGCTAGATTATGGGGCATTCTGCCTCCTGATGGAGGAAAATATCAAAGCCCAGGAGTGTTTTCGTGAAGCTCTTTCTCTGAACCCAAGTCACCTGCACAGGTACTGCTGGTTCCGGCTAGGAGGGATGGCAGGGAGAGGGGTCTGTTTAATGTCACTGATTTAATCAGTTGTGGATCTTTATGGATAACCTGTTTGACACCGTCTCTAGCTTGCTGCTGTGTGGTATCTTAGCTGTCATGATGGAGCACTATGAAGAGGCAGAAATCTTCTTTGAGGATGCCACCTGCTTGGAGCCATCCAGCATCGTGTCCTGGACTCTCTTAGGTATGAGATCAACTGAATATGTACTTTTGATAAACTCTGTAGACCTTATGTTTTGCTCCTTATTTTGGTCCTGATCCCCATTGCTAGCTCTGGTGCTGTAAGAGCAGGAGTATGGAACCCAGCAGAACAGAGGGAAATAGCTGCAACAACTCCTCATTGTGCAATTTTTTTGTCTCCTCTCAGGTTTGTTCTATGAAATACAGGAAAATGATATTCGGGTGGAGATGGCCTTCCATGAGGCTAACAAACTACTGAAGGCACAACTGGCCAAAGAGAAAAATATCGCTGAAGCTGCTGAAGAAGGAGGAAAAAAGCTACACTCTCTTTCTGCCACAGTTCTAAGACCTGTCACTTCTCCCCAGGAAGACACCCTACCAGGTAAGTCAGCAGTGTAGCCAGCAGCCAATCAGAGACTAGCGAGAAGGGCACTCAGATTTAATGTGGAGGGATGGTGTCCAGTGAAACACATGAGAGGAAAATTAGTGTTGGCTCTTTTGACCCAAGCAGTCAATCAAAGTGGGGGCACTGGGGATGTTCCAGTTGGAAGAAGAAATTGATGGAGTCTGGTATATTCTTTATTGTAATCTTGTTTATTTAAAAAGAATATGCAAAGTCCTGTTTCTCTGACTGCAGAAGGAACCAAGAACAAAAGGAGCAGCTTCTTAGCTTACCACCCCCAAGTCTACCAGCACCAGATCTGAAAGTTCTAGCTTTCTCTTTTAAGGGCATATCTACACTTGCAAAGTTACAGCACCACTCAGAGAGCGCAGAAGGGAAACCGCTGTTGTGTGTTCACACTGACAGCTGCCTAAGCAATAGCGTGTTCACACTTGCAGCACTATTCAGAGTGGTGCACTCTGGGCAGGTATCCCACAGAGCACCTCTTTCTCTTCTGCCACTAAGACTTGTGGGAAGGCGGAGGGGGTCACAGAGCATCCTGGGTCCAGTCCCAATGCCCCGTGATTCATTGCTTTGCATTCCATCAATCCCTGTGCTTCCGTCCGCATTTGGCGCCATCTTTCAACCGTTTGTGTACTGCGCGCCCTGCCTCTTTCAGGGTGCATGAATGGATCCCGAACTGCTGACCAGTATGCTGCTCGCTCTTACCAACATGTCATGGGTGGTAGTGGAGTTATTCCTTACACTCCTCTTGCCTTTGTAGTTTAACATGGATTTCGCCACATGTAGTAGCTACGACACAAGATTGCTTCTGGCATTCACAGAGGTGCCGACCACAGTGGAATGCCGCTTTTGGGCTCGGGAAACAAGCACTGAGTGGTGGGATCAAATTGTGATGCATCTGGGATAACGAGCAGTGGCTGCAGAACTTTCGCAGGAGGAAAGCCACATTCATGGGACTGTGTGATGAGCTCGCCCCAGCCCTGCGGCGCAAGGACACGAGAATGAGAGCTGCCCTGTCACTGGAGAAGTATGTGGTGATAGCACTGTGGAAGCTAGCTACTCCAGACTGCTACCGATCAGTCGCTAAGTAGTTTGGAGTGGGAAAGTCGACCATTGGAGTCGTGTTGATAGAAGTGTGCAGGACCATTAATCGCATCCTGCTCCGAAAGACTGTGACTCTGGGCAACGTGTGCGACATTGTGGATGGCTTTGCACAAATAGGCTTCCCTAATTGTGGCACGCACATTCCAATTCTGGCACCAGACCACCTAGCCACCGAGTACATTAATTGCCAGGGGTATTTCTCAATGGTTCTCCAGGCGCTTGTGAATCATTACAGACATTAACGCAGGCTGGTCCAGAAAGGTGCATGACGCACGCATCTTTCGGAACACTGGCCTGTTCAAGAAGCTGCAAGCAGGGACTTTCTTCCCGGACCAGAAGGCCACCATAGGGGAAGTCGAAAGCCCATTGTGATTCTGGGAGACCCCGCCTACCCCTTAATGCCATGGCTCATGAAGCCATACACGGGGCAATTTGACAGCAGCAAGGAGCAGTTCAACAACAGGCTGAGCAAGTGCAGAATGGAGTGTGCATTTGGCTGTTTAAAAGCCAACTGACGCTGCCTTGATGGGAAGCTGGACCTGGCCGATGACAATATTCCTATGCTTATAGCTGCATGCTGTACACTTCATAATATTTGTGAAGGAAAGGGTGAAAGTTTCACTCAGGGTTGGACCGCTGAGATCAGCGCCTGGAGGCTGAGTTTGGACAGCCAGAGACCAGGGCTATTAGAGGGGTGCACTGCGGGGCCATAAGGATCAGGGATGCCTTGAGGCAGCAATTTGAAGCTGAAAGCCACTAATATTTGTTGCTATGCACAGGAGTGCAGTGCTTGTAATGCTAGGAGGTGATTGTGATTGGTACAGACAATGCAATATGAAGGTTTAACATAATTGTCTGTTGCTTTGCAGGGCTCTGTTTGCTTTCAATTAATAGAATAAAGATTGCTTTCAAACCAACACAATTCTTTTATTAAAAAATAACAACCAGAGGACAGAGTCAAACAAAGAAACCATCAGCAGTGAGGGGGATGAGGGAAGGAAAGGTCACAGGAGGAGGTGGGATCCTGGAATGGCTAAAGATTTCTATATGTCCAGGGATCATATCCAGTATTCTCCTTTGGAGTACAATGCAGCGGGTACTGTACTTCAGCAGGGCCAAACTGCAGAGGGATGGGTGTTGAATGCAGTGGGTAGTGGGAGTCCGGAGTGCTGGACTGTGACGGGAGAGGAGTGGAATGCCGCGGGTATAGACTGGAGCCAGGAGGTAGATAAGAGCGTGTTGGCAGTGTCTGCAGGGAGCATGGGAAAGAGTTTTGTAACAGTGGCTTTAGGAGAGGGCGGGCGCGGAGCTGCTCGGTTTGCAGTGCTAGTATCGCCTGGAGAATGAGCCGCTCCGTGGCTTCCTTCTGGCTTGCTGCGTTCTCCTTTCAGTCCCCTTCTCGCTGTCCTGCCACTCCTTCAATTCCTGTTTCTCAGCGGTGGAACGCATCATAACATCATGCAGAAAGTCCTCAGTTCTTTGTGGCCACTTTCTAATTCTGCGTAGCCATTCAGCCGCCGATAACAAAGAGGGAGGCTGGGCTCCCAAGGTAAAATGCAACATTTTACAGAAGCAGTATTGTTTGCAACACACAGACAACAGTGATTCAGTGATTTAAAACACAGCCAGTACTCACACCTGTCACTAACTGGCTGACCCCAGGCAAGCACACATGAGCCACAAGACCCCCAAAATGGTGAGTAGCCACAGGGGCAGGGTAAATCACTCTTCCCGGACCCTGCTGTACACTGGGCACGTGTCTCTTGGGGAGAGCCGGTACTGTAGGGGAGCCTGATAATCATTTCTGTCCCCACATTTTCCACAGGATGTGATCGTTATGGAAGATATTTCACTGCAGAGGGTGAGCAGGGAATCAAGGGAGGGTCTTCTCCAAGACTGTGGCTTCTGCCCTGGCACTTATGCAGCTTGCCTGTGTGCAGCAATGGTGTCCCCCATCCCCCTCTGGTGATGGCACAGTGGCGCGGGAAAGTTACTGTTAATGGGGCAAGAAACAAAGCAACTCTGCCGAAGAACCTGCGGCAGCGGATTGTCCAGTATCTCCATGAGAGTTTCCTGGAGATCTCTGAGACAGATTCCTGTGAGGTGAGGGAGTCAATCAACAGCCTGTTCTGCAGCTCAGACTAGGCATGCAGTGGAAGACAAACCTGCTTTCTGCAACCCTCTTGCCCCCAACAACTCGCTTTAGTGAGTCCCAAAATCAAACCCACTCACCAGGGGCCTCCTCTCTTGTTTGCGTTTCGCCAACATCCAACAGCTGTGACTGGCTAGCCTCCTCTGGGGTAGAAAAGAGCTCCTGGCTGCATGCATCTCTGGCCTCCAAGTCTTCCTCTGCCTCTGGGTCCCCCTCCCCGTCCATATCCTTGTCCAAGATTTCCTCCTCCTGGCTCGGTCCACTCTTGACTGACCCGCGAGCCACCAAAGTATCCGCAGTGGTCTTTGCAGTGGAGGTGGGGTCACCGCCGAGTATCGCGACCAGCTCTTTGTAGAACCGGCAGCTCGTGGGCACAGCACTGGAGCGGCGGTTTGCCTCCCATGCCTTGTGGTAGGCGTTCCGCAACTCCTTCACTTTGACCCTGCACTGCAGTGTGTCCTGGTCACGGCCCCTTTCTGTCATGCATTGTGAAATCTGTCTGTAGGTATCATATTTCCTATGGCTGGAGTGAAGCTGGGACGGGACAGCCTCCTCTCCCCAAACGCTGCAGAGGTCCAGCAGCTCGGCATTGCTCCAAGCGGGGGATCACCTGATGCATGGAGCAGGCATGGCCACCTAGAAAGACGCGCTGAGACCACTGTGCGCATCACCAAGAAAACAGGAAGGGGACTTTCAAAATTCCAAAGGAATTTATGGGGTGGGGGGTGACGGTTGGTCACCTAAGGGCAGGGCAGTAGAGTTCAAACCGATGACAAGAGAAGTGAGAAGAGGCATTGTGGGACACCTCCCGGAGGCCGATCACAGCACTGTAATCGACCAGGGTGTGTGTGCTGGCACTGCAGTGCTGTAGTCCCGGCGCAGAAAACTCAACGCCTCTTGTTGGGGTGGTTTTTTTACAGCGCTGCAACTGCGCAATTTCTGCGCACTAAGTGGCTTGGCCGTGTGTACACAACTTCGGAGTAACAATGCAGAAAGCTGCTTTACTGTGCAGAAACTTGTCAGTGTAGACAGGGCCTTACTGATACTTCATTATAGCTTTGCAAGGTATTAATGTAACGAAAAATCCATTCCCAGTGATTTGCATCCAGGGCAGTATTTTCCCAGCAGACCTGGAACTGAGCTAGTTCTGCAATTTTCTGAGTTCTCTCGGGTACAGCATCTTGCTAAGAAGTGACCAGTTTATGGAGAACTTTTCATTGCACTTAATCCATTGTGGGGTTTAGTTTCAGATGAGGCTCCAGATGGCTCCCTGAAAGTACAGCCAGATTCTGTAGAGCCTGTTGTAACTATCCACCTGCCAGAAGATGACCCTGCAGTTAAACTGACCAAGAAGCTTTCTCCCACTCTCAATAAGAACAGGGAGACGTCCCAGAAAGGTTAGAAAGTGGGGTCCGTGGCTTAGAGTACCGGGGCAGAGGGTTGGGACTTCACAGCAACCAGTGGCAAAGATGTGGTGAGATTAAGTACAGATAATATTGGAGATAGTCAGTAAAAGCTAATTTACTTGCCGTTCAGTTCATCCAGATAGGGTACAAAGCAGCAGGGTTTGCTCTCCAACCCAGGTTAGGAATCTTCAGCAAAGTGGATTATCTTGTAAACGGTCCAGCCAGAGCCCCGCAATTAAACAGCGCCTGAACCAAGCCCCGCAAGCCTGAGTGAACTGTCACGGGCCAGCCCTGGGTTTTTAATTGTACTATAGATGCACCCTTTGTGACAATAGTGTAGCTTCCTTTTGCATCATTTATCAAAACTTAAGCACTTAAAAAATCAAAGAAATGACTAGTTAAGGTCAGCTGAGGCCTATCTGGCTCACATAATAAACAAATACTTGATTTGGTTTTGGATTATCACTGTTATTCTGAACCTCTGGTCTTTACAGCACCCATGAGCCTCTCTCTCTTGCTGTTATTTCAGTAATGAAGAAACCTAGTGGAGGAGCACTTGATCCATCACATGCGGTGGCTCCTGTCCCCATTTCTGGACTTTCACAGCCCTCCCACACAATCTTCATGGAGACCATACACTTCTTGATGGAGGTCAATGCTCTACAGGTCTGTGCAGCATGAACTGGGGAAGGAAGGTGGCATTAGGATTTTGAACTCATTTCAATGGGTGACATTTACTTCCCTGTGGTATTAAAATAGTGAGATCATGGCAGCTTCCAGTAGGATGTTCTTATGGGTTTAAAGAGTGGGCTATGCAGACTCAACTCATCGAATATCAGTCAAGTCAACATTACTGTCAAGTGCTGATAAGATATGGCTGTTTAGAGAATTCAGAACTGAAATGATCCTAAGATGCATCAAAATAACCTTAGCTAGGCAAAGTAATAGGAGTGTTCAAACCCACCACTGGCTTGTTGCAGGAAGAACAAGTAATCCAATTTTTGTCCATAACACGGCCTCTTTCAAGGATAGTTTTGAGAGGAAACACCTATTATTTTGATGCATCCTACAGACCAGGTGGTCACTTCTTGGATCAGAATAGCCATCCAGGCACTTCTGTGTGCATCTGAGTAACCTTTCACATGCATGTGGAGTAGGCCCTTCCAAAACAATGGCTCCCTGTGGGTTTCATCAGCTGGAACTCCCCCTGTGACCTTGGATTTCACAATAGCCAACATATGTTGCATTTAATCGTAGCGGTACAGAATAACTAAAAGAGTTGTGAAGAGGACTCCTGGCACATATATTGTTCCATAGACTTTCACCTGTCCACATCATTCTGATGTATAAGCATACACTTTTGACCTTAGTGCTCCTCTATCACTGATGCTCTGGGCAGTCTAGTTCCTCCTTTGATTACGGTCACTCACTACTTGTAGTATTTCTTCCCAGGTGATGCCAGCGCATTCACTATCTTCTGACACTGTCTTCTGCCGTTCTTCCTTTGCCTTCCTCATTTTCGCTTTCCTCTCTCAGGCACCCAGTTCAATGCTTTCTTATCATATTGCCTCATGCATTAAAACCATGCAATTTTAATATCCCAAAGGAGCAAAAAACACTTTCCAAACCAATATACAATAAAAACAGCAGCTCTAGGAAAGGGTGTGCAGTGGGAGGCCATGGAGGTACCTGGGAGACTCACTGCCCAGACCTCCTCCTCAGTCCCAGTGCCAACTTGTATGTGCCCCACATCCCCTAATCCACATTCTGTCTCTTACACATTCATCCTCCCTTCAAGTTAAAACCAGCAGCACCAGTATCAGTCTATTGGACAACCCTTGTCCATTAGACCAGAGACACTCTGAGCAACCACTGGGGGTTTGTCAGAGGAACCAGACATAACAGCACTCCAAGCTCCTCTTGTCTGGCAACTTGTCTTTCAGTTCTGTCCCCACTATCTCCTAGCCTGTATTGACAGGGACCTCCTCGAATGCCGTGACTTCCACATTGTGCTGTATGACGTTAACCTGACAGAGAAGGGATAGAAAATCTTCTGAGTGTTAACAGCAAACAAAGAAAACTAAAAGCAACTGAAACTAAAATTTCAAAGGAAAAAATGTATCTGTCCAGGGTTTGAACTGCTAATGAGACACCCTATCATTAAATCAGAGGGTGCCTTGAGGGAACATGTAAAGTCATCTTGAAACATTACCTGTGTGTTCCGAAATGTACAGTGCATGGTGAGCATTCAGATTGTCTGTCACAGAGGAAGCTGCCCGTTTTCCCTTTGCTCCATGCTGGGAGCAGAACAGTGGTTGGGATGTCCATGGCTGGGGTTAGTTTCATTACAATGCCCGTGTGTGGCTTTCTCTTTCAGTTTGTTCACAGGGCGCTAGCACATGAGCTACTCTGCCAGCAGGAAGGACCCAGCTGTGAGTATTACCTAGTGCTGGCACAAACACACTTGCTCAGGAAGGACTTCTCTAAGGCTGAAGAATGTCTGCGAGAGGCTATCCAGACTGACTACCTGGTAACTATGTTTTGTAGCGCTGTGCTGCCCTGAGCAGTCACCATGCTCTCTCAGAACACAATGAGCTTTGCAGAACAATACAGTCTGTCCCCTGCTATGTTCGTTCCAATGGGTCAGATCCTGAGGTCTTGACTCAATCTTTATTCAATCAAATTCCCATTACAGTCAGTAGGAGTTTGCCTAAGCAAGGATTACATGAAAGTTGAGTCAAGTATCAGGGTGTAGCCGTGTTAGTCTGTATCCCCCAAAACAACAAGGAGTCCGGTGGCACCTTAAAGACTAACAGATTTATTTGGGCATAAGCTTTTGTGGGTAAAAAAACCACTTCTTCGGATGCACCATAAAAGTTGATTAAGAACATCAGGATTTGGCCTGTTTCACTTCTCTCCCCCTTTATTTAGTTCATTATTTTGCATTCTAGTTGATCTTCTAAAGGCACCACAGCAGGGTGAAGACGCATATCTCTGTCTTTCTTTCCCCTCGGTGTATATGTTACTCTTGGGGGAATTCTGTGCCACTATGCAATGCAGAATTTTGCAGAAATTAACATTGTGCATGCAGAATTTCCTCTCCCCCACAGAAATGGGCTGCAGTGCTGCTGGCCGCAGAGCCCAGCTTGCACGTTGAAGGTGGGGGGGAGGGAAGGGGGGGAGCTAAAGGGTTCCTGACAGCTGCAGTTCCCAGCATGCCCTGTGGGAAGGAAAGGGCAGCACACAGCAAACGCCATGCAAGCCTGGGATTGAGCATCAGGCTGTTTGTGCCTCTGGATCCCTGTGCTCTGGGGGCCAGGTATCTAGGCCGGATGGGGGGGACGGACCACAGCTGGGCTCTGGTGGGGAGGGGGGCAGATATCTGGGCTAGGGGGAACCCATGTCTGGGCTGGGTGGAGAGGGGGTTCAGGTGTATTGGCTGAGGCCCCCTCCCCAGCTGGGCTGTGGAAGGGAGGGGTTGTGGGTGGCTGAGCTCTGTGGGGTGGGGGGAGAGAGAAAGGGGACAGAGAAACAGAAGTTGGGTTGTCATAGGGCTTTCTTTAACTCTCTACCCTGGGGGGAATTTTTGTGTGTGTTTGTATTGTTACAGACATACTTGCTGACAGGCATTTTGAAATAAATTACAAAAATAATTGAAACTGGCGTGATTATGCAGTGTTATTTTCACAAATAAAATTTGCAGAATTTTGCAGAATTTAAAATATTGTGTGCAGAATTTTTAATTTTTTGGTGCATGTCCCCAGGAGTAATATGTCTCTTTCTCCCTGTGTGAACACGTGCACTTCTCTATTTCATTCATTATATATATGAATGAAATAGAGAACTGCAGATATTCGGATGAAAGGGAGATGGATCTTTTGTGAATGTCAGGTTGAATGGAGCACGCAGACAGCAGCAGAACTAATATCGCTACATGTTTTTTAATATTTGTATTTGTCACGGATTAGGCCCCCATTGTGCTAGGTACAGTAGTTGTTGTGCAAGTACTCCTTGCTACAAACTCAAACTTGCTTGTATGTAAAATACGTATCTGTAAGCAAATAGCCTTCATCATCTCCCTTACTTCTGGGCTTAGATGCTAGCCAATTAATCTCTTGCCCACTTTGCCCTATCTGTCTCACTTTGTCTAACTACTGGGTTTGTTTACACAGAATCCAAATGTTTGGGCACAGAAAGGGCACCTGTGCTACCTGAGTGGAAATCTTAGTGAGGCAAAGGAATGCTATGAGCGAACCATCAGCTTTGTAACAGATGCTTCTGAGATGCATTTTGTTTACCTGCGATTGGGGTCCATCTATCTGAAAGAGAAAGAGGTGAGGAGCTGAACATGGGATCTAAGAATGGGAGATAAACCAATGCAGGGAAAGTAACTATTCTGGGTGAATAAGGTGAATTACAACTTTTATTTTCCTAGCTGCAGATCAGACAATACAATTAAGTCTTTTAATGAACTCAACTCTTTGGAGCAGAGATCTGTTTTACTTCTCATGGGGGGGAGGGATAGCTCAGTGGTTTGACCATTGGCCTGCTAAACCCAGGGCTGTCAGTTCAATCCTTGAGGGGGCCATTTAGGGATCTGGGGCAAAAATTGGGGATTGGTCCTGCTTTGAGCAGGGGGTTGGACTAGATGATCTCCTGAGGTCCCTTCCAACCCTGATATTCTATGATTCTTTGTGTGTACGTGCCTAGCGCCAATCCTGATCAGGATCTCCAGGTGCTGCTGTAATAATAACCCCAATAATTTTTCTAGTGCTAGATAAACATTTCTTATTAGCTTGTTAATCTGAGGCTCTCAGGGGCTATACAGGCAGAACTGCCTGCTATGGGAAATGTGAGTAGGTTCTTGGACACAACCAACAGCAGTTGGATGGTAGTGTCCCCTCCCATATGAGCCCTGTTGGAAATATGGTGGTTTTAGAGTGCCTGTGGAGGAAGAGCAGCCAGGGTGCAGAGTGAATGGTTACCTTAGAGAGAGCAACTTACTGATCTCTTCTCCTGGCAGTATGATAAGGCAAAGCGCACCTATATGCTGGCCTGTAAGAAGTCCTCATCCTGCCTGACCTGGCTGGGAGTAGGAATCGCTTGCTACAGGGTAAGAGAGTGAAAAGCATCCGTGCTTGTCCAGTCTTTAGATAATTGCATGGATCTTGGGAAGATGAGACTATGACTTGACTTTCCACTGTTCCCCTTTCCTTAGGTAAAAGCTTTTCACCCAAACTATCTGGGGGACCAGAGTTCTCTACAGCTGTTCTTAGGGTAAAGACCACATTGCAGTGAGTGCCATCATGGTTACAAGCATGAGACTCACTGATGCTAGAATGGAAAGTGTGTGAGAGAAAAATTACTCTAACCAGCTGTACAACAGACAATCACTGTATAGCAATTAACTCCTTCTGGGGCTAAAGTCTCTTTTCCCGGTGTGATGTCCTGCTTGGGGTACCCAGATCTGGGAGACACTGTCTTACCCCTCAGCCTCAGCAACTGAGAGCTTTGGTCTCTGACACTAGCTCATCTGCCTTCCCAGCAAACTCTCCAGGATTCTGCCAGTCCAACCTTTGCCTTGCAGGTAACAGTCAATGAACCCCAATTCCCGAGTTCCCCAGAAACATCTCTCTGAGATGTCCAGTCCTTCTCACTGGACACTCACAGAAGTTAAGTTTGCTGCCTCTAAAGAGACAGAACACACACCAGCCTGTTAGGTCACCTCAAGATTTACACTTTACTGTAATACACAGCATACTGAGATGGCTTTGAAATAAAACAAGAATAAGTTTATTAACAAGGAGAAGACATAAGTGTTAATAAATAAGAATAAAAGAAACAGGTATGATTACAATTGAAACCAAACACAGCACACTTTCAAGTGACTAAAACTTAATTTCACAAGTTACTATCTTTGTCTAAGCAAGTTAGACACCTGTAGTTAGTTTCCAGTGACTCTTGCCTTTCAGGCCAAACAAATCCAGCTTTCATAGGCTTGGAAGATGCTGAACACTAAGTCCCCTCAGTGATGGATAACCAAAATGGGATTTTGCTTGTCTTTATATCCCCTAAAGTTCATTGTCTCTGGAGCCAGGAAAGCTTCCTGAGGTGCGGATTCCATCCCCCATCATGATTGTTAAGCAGTTTCCTCCCCTTCTTGTTAGCTTGATGGCTTTATTTAGTTTAAATATATATATATTTGCATTGTCCTCTGCTTGTGATCAAGCTGGTGAGACAAATAAATACACATTCCTTTGTCTAGGGAAGGCTGGGCTTACGTGCTGCCTCCCAAACATATCTTAACATATTTCCAGCACACATCTATAACTTTTTGTATACATACATACATACACACACTATGCAATGATTTTGGGGACCAGCATGTTACCAGTTTGCATAAGATACCTTACGTAACACCTATTAGATACAGGTTATGACAACAATGTTTCGGGGCACTGAGTGTGTCAGGCCTGCTGTGAATTACAGTATGACATGCCCTCTACCAGTTGGTATTGAGGGCTCCCAGAGTCACACTCTGTACGTTGTCACATAGGCATGCAATCACTGTGCTGGACTTCATTCTAAATGAGCACCTACCTGTATGCAACCTAAGTGTCAACAGGAAGGATCCTTTTTCTTTTGGCTCACCTTGCTTTCTCCCTTGGAAGGAATGTACGGAAGTCAGCAGATTGGAAGGGCTACCAAGAATATTCCTTTCTTTATTAAAGATGTGAGGATTTTCAGAATAGTTTAATAAAGACAGAGACACAGGCCTGAGATTCCTGCAGACATAAAGAGTGTAGCATCTCCCAAGGGGCTGCTTTGCAAGGTTCCCTCATCTGAAGAAAGTGAATGGGAGGGTCAGGGTGACTCTACTTTCCTCCTCAACCATCGTAAGGGTTCCCCAGTAGTTTCCAAACTCTAGACACATGGAGGTGGAAGAGTGATTGTTGCTTTCTTCGGTGAGAATAGTCCATGGGTAATTTGTAAGAGGACAGGGCTCCATTACTGGCTGGCTAAATCAGTAATGAGGGGCTTGCCCTCCAGTCAGGAGAGCTGGAGAGTCCGACATTGCAGTTGTCTCACTCCCTCTGCTCTAAATTTGTTACACTGTGTCATTATTACTGTATAATTCAAAGGAGCCCAGAGTGAGGATCACTTCTGAAGGTTTTTGTCACACTGATTTCTTTAGCTGTTGTATACCAGGTGCGTGTTAAACTCTGGGCAATATTTCACCTGCTGTTTGGTTTTTGCTCTCATCTCTCCCTCTCTCTGTAAAGCTGAAAGAAATGGCGGAGGCAGAAGATGCCCTCTCTGAGGCCAATGCGCTGAATAACAACAAGGCCGAAGTGTGGGCATATCTAGCACTAGTCTGCATGCAAGTGAGTGTCCTATCTCAAGATCAAATGTGAGGAAACATGTTCTGCTTTATCTACATCAACATCTGTCTATATGTCTACAAGGTGCCTCATAGATTCCATTGGTAAATATAGATAGGTTTGGGGTTTGTTTTCTGGAAAAACAAAATGTGGAAGCATTTAAATGCCAAAAGAAACAATCTTCCCCTTTGTTTCTCATTACCCTTTCTCCTACTGAATACTGCAGAGCTGAGGTATTCCTGTCACCCAGCCTTGTTAAAATGTGTCTCTTGACAGTAGCTGAAACACCTGATTTTGCCCTGTCAAACAAGCTTCTCACTGACTACTGGTGTTTTTCAGGGAGGAAGGCAGTTGGAGGCAGAGCAGTCTTACAAATATGCATTGAAGGTTTGTATTTTTCTCATCCCTTCTAGTTTGGGGGAAAAAAGCAGGATGCAGAGGTCAGCTCATGGTCTGTCGTCAATTAAAAAGGAAGACATCTATTTTTCTCATCAGAGGGTTCTGAATATTCCTATGGTGAGACGTACTTGCCCTTTTTCAGGTGTGAATTATATTTGAAAACAAGATAATTAAAGGTGACTGAGGCCTCTCCTGTCAGCTGCTATCATCTTGCTGGCATGTGATATCAATTCTGATATCAGCAGTAGGAAAATATTTGGTACAATCACAAAGAGGCTATTTCTATTTCCTTTATAGTCTCTAAGTGGGATTAGTTGGTTGAATCCTCCTTCATGGCCCAGAGTATTCTAGGAAGATGTATCTTAGGTGCTTTAAGACTTGTTCATGTGTCCCTGTTTGAGCCTCTTCTTTTCCATACAGTTAGAGCTGAAGAATGAGGAATTGCTCCAGGAAATCCATGAGGTACAGCGAATGGTTGGCTTTGGTAATCCATCATTCTGAGCACTTCCTGTTCTCTGATCTACGGTCTCTTCTGTTCAGTCAGGGGATGGGTGAACATCATGGTCTTGGCTCTCATTCAGTAATGAAACATTCCAAACTTCCAAACTCCTGCTGCTATAGTGGATCATCAGGTGGTCTGGAGAAATTAAACCCCTCAATGGTACTGGGGGAAAGGGGGTACCCCTAGATAGAAGACCATGGGAATTAATTCCCCTTTTATGATGTATTGGTTATGTTCAGTTCCTTAATACATTCATCAGCCCAGTTCACATGCTTTATGAAAAATAACTCTCATGTATAAAATAAGAAATAAAATAGCTTAGAAGCAATTAACATGGGGTGAGACTCGGAAAATTAACTCTAAAAATGGTATCATGAGGTTACAAGTGGATAGTTTGTTGTTAATTTCTCAGATCCCATTCTCTTAGTTTAGAAGTAAAAATATTTTCCTCCTAACTGCCAGTTCTATAAACTCCATCTGAGATCCGAAAGTCAAACTGAGTTCTTTCAGGGTTACTCATCTTCACCAGTATTAAAGCTTCTGCAGTTGACATGTAGTTAACAGTTTGGTTGATAATGCATGAGCCAGAATGGATTCCAGCTCTCTCTCCCATAGTTGTGTTGTGTAAGCAGTGGCAGAAAATGTATAAAATAGTAAAAACTTCTTATTGTCGGTAAGCAGATATGACTTGAAATAATTACAGTGAGCAGATTTATTGAGTAAGAAGGTACCATTTTTACAGTCACTTTTCAGAGTAGAACCATATTTTAAGGGCCATTATCAGAAAGGTATCTTAGGAAGTGATTATAGTCAAAAAGTAAGTAAGTGAGTGGTTTTATTATAATACACTGACACCTGACCATTAGATAGCCAACCACCATCGTTTTCTGTTAGGGTGGGGTTGGTAAAAGAAAACTACTCCTAAACCAGCAGTTAACCACTGATATTTCCATCATTCAGAACTGAAGCCTGGTTTCATCAGGATTATACCTTTAAAAATTATTATACATCTTTTCCTTATTTGGAGTCTTGTTCTTATTGTAGCAGTTTTGGCAGCCATATGGAAGGGAGGGTAGGAGAGATTATAATGCTGTGTTAATTTTATTCCTAATAAAATTAAGTTTCTGTACTTGAAAAAATCTTTGTATGCTTCTTGTTTGTAAAGCCTCCAGCTTTGTCCTGATGGGCTTCTGTGCTCATATGCTACCTGCCTTTACCGATATATCACCAGCAGGTCTTAAATCAGCAAGAGGCTGTGCTTTTGTTTTAGGGCCTCCCCAAGGGTGGGATTCTATTTGCACCTGAAATTAATCTTAGTCCATTTTTTATGCATCTAAAAACACCAAAAACCTTTTCCCCAAAGAGTTTATGTGGGTGTTCAAAAAACAAAAGGACACAAGCCCCGTATGTATTATCTTTCCCTCCCATCCCCTTATAAAAAAATCTACTCTCTTGCTTGGGTTTGACTTTTAAAAGGGCTGTTTTTGATTAATTTCTTTGTACTATGTTGTACACCACTTACTGGTATGTTTTACAACCTAGAGGTTGAGATGGCACTTCATAAACAAACATTATTATTATTTGTATTGTTGTAATGGTTGGGGGCCAAGTCATGGACCAGGACCCCATTGTGCTAGGCACTGTACAAAACACAGAACAAAAAAGACAGTCCCTGCCCACAAAGCTTACAATTACTGATTTTTTTTTAATTATTTGAATTCTTGCTATCCTAAGATAGGCAGGACTTTTATACTATTTAATGTCTAAAATGATGATTTTCCATCCTTAGTCAGATTGATACTTCTCAAAAGAGACGTATGTGTGTTTCTTTTTCCCACTTATTTTTGTTTGATTTTTAAAACAGTTCAGTAATTATGAGAACTGCTTATGGTACCAGCACCATAAAAACACAGACCAATGTGTATTGAAGAAGAGTCCACCTCACCTAGAAAATTACCAAAGAAAGATACAAAATCAACACAAAAAACAGAGATGCTTTGTAAGTCAGCTGGTTGGGTGGTGTAGTTCACCTATCAAGCTGAAGAGGGCTTTGCAAACTACAACAGATGCAACAGTGATTGAAACTGCTGGAGGTTTGTCCTCCTGCATTGTTATCATTAATAAACATTTATGTAGTGCCATAATTCTGCCACAAAGAATTTTCCATCTAAATTAGCAAGTATAGACCATGAAGTTAGATAGTGGAAAGGGGGTTAAAGAAAGGAGAGATGAGGGTTAATTATTATACAAAAAGAACGAGGAGTACTTGTGGCACCTTCGAGACTAACAAATTTATTTGAGATTAAGCTTTCGTGGGTTAAAGCCCACTTCATCAGATGCATGCAGTGGAAAATACAGTAGAAAGATAGATAGATATACAGAGAACATGAAAAAATGGGGGTTGCCATTCCAACTCTAATGAGACTAGTCGATTAAGGTGGGCTATTATCGGCAGGAGGAAAAAAAACTTTTTTTTGTAGTGATAATCAGGATGGCCCATTTCAAACAGTTGACAAGAAGGTGTGAGTAACAGTAGGGGGGAAATTAGCATGAGTAAATAGTTTTTAGTCTGTGTAATGACTCATCCACTCCCAGTCTTTATTCAAGCCTAATTTAATGGTGTCCAGTTTGCAAACTAATTCCAGTTCTGCAGTTTCTCATTGGAGTCTGTTTCTGAAGTTTTTCTGTTGAATAATTGTGACTTTTAGGTCTGTAATTGAGTGTCCAGGGAGGTTGAAGCGTTCTCCGACTGGTTTTTGAATGTTATAATTCTTGACATCTGATTTGTGTCCATTTATTCTTTTGCATAGAGACTGTTCGGTTTGGCCAATGTACATGGCAGAGGGGCAATGCTGGCACATGATGGCATATATCACATTGGTAGATATGTGTGTGTGTGTGTGTGTATAATCTAATCTACATCTATCTATATATATATATATCTGATCCCCAATCAGTTGTCATTCTGGGGCAGCGCCCTGCCTCCCGAAAGCGTGCTGAAAGGAACCGAGGAGCTCGAAGCCTACTGTATTTTCCACTGCATGCATCTGATGAAGTGGGCTTTAGCCCATGAAAGCTTATGCTCAAATACATTTGTTAGTCTCTACGGTGCCACAAGTACTCCTCATTCATTTTGCTGATACAGACTAACATGGCTACCACTCTGAAATTATTATACAGCAAGTGAATCTCATAACTTCTGATGCTTTTAAGTAGAGACTGAGTGAGACAGGAGAAAGAGAAGAGTAGAGAGTACAGGAGTAGAGGTCTCTGGTAAAAAGTAAGGCAAATGCTATGTGTTTTGAGGAGGGAGGATGGCAAAGATGCTTGATACACAGGAAGACGGATACTGTATGGGGCAAGGCGGGAAACAATAGCAGGCAAGAGATGAAACATGGGCAGGGCGCAGAGCTGTGCAGAACCATAAGTGAAGATGATTTTGATCTTGACACAAAAAGAGACAGGAACTCGATGAAGGTACTCTGGGGGTGACATTACCAGAGAGGTGGGAAAGCAAGTATATTTGAGCTACTGAATGGCGGATAGATTGATGGGGAGAAAATCAGGGACACTGGAAAGGAGGAGATTAGTTATCCAGGCAAGATGCAACAACGGTGTGAACCAAGATTTTGGCAGCAGGGATAGAAAGGAAAAAGCAGATTTTAGAAATGTTAGTGTGAGAGGTTTGGCAAAAAGCTGGCTCTAAGGACAGAAGGAAAGGGAGGAGTGAAAGATAGGATGTGGTATAAGCAAGTGATCTGTTAGTTCTCTGAATCCTTTTGTGCCACTAATTGTCAGTGAAACATCAGCAGTCTGTTTCCCAGAAGAGCATACAACCTTCCCCACACAGCAGTATTAGCTATTGGACTAAAGATTTACTTCCTGTTTCCAACATTAACCCTATTTTGGAGGAGGATTGTTTTAATCTGCAGTGAATAGGCAGAATTGCCTGTTTAAATAATGGAGGAGTGAATCATGTTGGGAAATTGTAACACATTGAGAACAGAACTGTATTGCTAGGTCCCTACCAAATTCATGGCCCTGAAAAACACATCAGAGACCGTGAAATCTGGTCTTCCCTGGTGAAATCTGGTCTTGTGTGTCCTTTTACCCTATACTATGCAGATTTCACAGGGGAGACCATTGTTTCTCATATTGGGGGTCCTGACCCAAAAGGAAGTTGCAGCGGGATTGCAAGGTTATTTTAGGGGGGGTTGCAGTATTGCCACCATTACTTCTGCACTGCCTTCAGAGCTGGGTGGCGGGAGAGCAGCGGCTATTGTCCAGATGCCCAGCTCTGAAGGCAGCAACCCGCCAGCAGCAGCACAGAAATAAGCTTGGCAATACCATACTATGCCACCCTTATTGCTGCCTTCAGAACTGGGTGGCTGGAGAGTGGCAGCTGCTGAAGGCCTAACTCTGCAGATAGCAGCACAAAAGTAAAGGTGGCAATACCATACCATGTCATCCTTACTTTTGCGCTGCTGCTGGTGGCAGCTCTGCCTTGAGAGCTGGGCTCCCCGCCAGCAGCCACTGCTGCCCAACTCTGAAGGCAGTGCCACCACCAGCGGAAGCGCAGAAGTAAGGGTGGCAATACCGCAATCCCCCCCCTACAATAACCTTGCAACTCCTCCCCACAACAATACCTTTTTGGGTTAGGATCCCTACAATTACAACACCATGAAATTTCAGATTTAAATAGCTGAAATCATGAAATTTACAATTTTTAAAAGCCTGTGACCGTGAAATTGACCAAAGTGGACCTTGAATTTGGTAGGGCCCTATGTATTACTGATGATCACTTAACAGGCCAGCTGCACTACAAGAGCGATCCTGTGTACATGTGTTCTCTGATGAGAGGGATATACATGGGGCTTTTTTCTCCAAGAATCTATATTTTGCAGATTCTTGATTGAGCACTTTTGCTTTTGTCTCATTCTCTGATTAAATACACTTCAAAGTAGAAGGCAGTAGCACTTCTGTGTAAGAGCAGAGTGATCTGCGCTTCAGGACTATTAAATCTTCTGTGAGTAGCTAAAAAGTGTCTTGACGAATAGGTCTCATGTCCGCTATGTTGATGCTGGTGTGTGTCTCTGGGCAAGCCCTTAAACTCAGCTTCCCCTTGTGAGTGGTGTAGTGAAGCTTAATTCACTAAGTGCTTGGAGATCCTTGGATGGAAGGTATGTTGTTTTATTGTTATAGTGGTGTTCTGGTAGAAAATCCCTACATAATATTCCACCTGTCCCACGAGTTTTTCAGGGTTTGCAGGTGTTCCCTTGGCTCTGATGTAATGGGATGGTTCCTGAGTGTGGGACTTGGGACATACCCCAGTACCCACTGACATTTTTAAGCCCACATGCAGATAGCATTCTGTGCTACACCCCCAATTGCTTGGTGACATTCCCAGGCCCACCCTGAGGTGACCAGCCCGGGCCCACCAATGCCACCCTGTTGTTGCCACAGGCTGATGTGCTGCCAGACCATCCTAGGCACGATGCCCGCAGCCAAGTGTACAAGGATCCTTATGAAGGTGGCGAGCCTTGCAAAGGTGGGCGGGTACAGGGAGCTGGGGGACAAGGTGGGACCCGGACTGCCCAGTGAGGGGTGACACAGGGACTCTGTGCCGCCAGGCTGCCAGCTTGGGGGGAGGGGGGTTGGACCCTGCCAGGGAGGCGGTCACACCGCCAGCCAGAGCATCGGCATCCCCACCTGGAGTGCCCCAAGGCGGCCATGACACTTACCGTGGCAGAAGCGCAACAGTGGCCTTGGAGGGACCCACTCGCCTCCTAAGGGGCGCTCCGTGCGCGCCCGCCTGCAGGCTCGCGGCACATCGGTCACGTGGCTCATGGGTGCGTGCCGCGCTAGCCGAGTGAGCTCTATGGTTACCGGCGGGCCGGCTGGCGCGGGTTGGCGGGGCTGGCAGCAGCGGGGCGGTTGAGCCGCGGGCTGTAGCGGCAGGAGAGAGCGGGGGAGCAATGGCCAAAGGTACCCGGGGCTTCGCCGGGCGGGGCTGGGGCAGTGGGACCCGGTGGCGGGCCGAGGGGTAATGGACTCCCGGTGCGGGGAGGCGGGGCTGAGGGGCCAGGCCCCCGGGCGGGGAGTCCGAGGGAGCTGGGGGGTTCCTGTGGGGGGAGGCGGGGCTGAGGGGCCAGGCCCCCGGGCGGGGAGTCCGAGGGAGCTGGGGGGTTCCTGTGGGGGGAGGCGGGGCTGAGGGGCCAGGCCCCGGGCGAGGAGTCCGAGGGAGCTGGGGGGTTCCTGTGGGGGGAGGCGGGGCTGAGGGGCCAGGCCCCCGGGCGGGGAGTCCGAGGGAGCTGGGGGGTTCCTGTGGGGGGAGGCGGGGCTGAGAGGCCAGGCCTCCGGGTGGGGTGTCGGAGGGAGCTGGGGGGTTCTTGTGGGGGGAGGCGGGGCTGAGAGGCCAGGCCTCCGGGTGGGGTGTCGGAGGGATCCCTGGGGGGAGTCTGACTGGGGCCCAGTGGGGCGGAGCTGAGGGGTAGGACCTGGAGGAGGGGGCTCTGTGGAGCCATGCGGCTGGGGGCACCTGCTGGTGGGCAGGGATCTCTCTGACACAGGCCCGTCCCCCATCGCAGCCTTGTGCTAGAGCATGAGCGCCTGACAGGCCTTGGGAGCTGGTTATAAACACAGTGAAACTGACTAGTCTGCTCTCCATGTTCCACTGGAGGAAGGGGCAAAAGTCACACCAGCAGCATCACTAGTGGAAAGACCCCTGGCTGGAGGTCTGGGATTTACCTGCCCCCAGGGTATTACACTGGTCTTCTTAAAGGACTGCTTGGCATTGTTTTGTGCTGTGAGGTACCAGCTTCTGCATTTCAGAATAATTTCTGTCCTGGCCTCATGGAACAAATAGTGCATGTGCCAATAAAACAGGCTCAGAGGCCAGTACAGTCTGGCAAGTGTGCCAATGGATTGCTTTAACTCCCTGCTGTGTGCTGATGAATCAGTATAACTGGACACATTGATGGTCATCGATATCCTAGCATCTTCACTCTCTTCTGATTCTCTGCAGTGTGGCAGCATCCATATCTGAATGTCTTCAAGCACTTCAAAGTGGAGGAGTGGAAAAGATCAACTAAGGAGGGAGATGTGACAACATTTATGGTAACACATTGTATTCCTAATGTTTCCTGATTGGACCAGCTATACTGCAGAGAGACAGGCACTCTGTGATGCTGAGAGAGAGAGGGATTTCCCAGTCCCCCTGCTTTGTGATGTCAAAAAAAGAGGAAGATTCCAGATTCCCTTGCTCTGTGTCATCAAAAGAGAAAACAATGAAATCTTTCCATCCTGCCTCCTGCTTGTTGCAACAGAAGTGCCTAAAGAGGTCCAGAGAGCACTTGCTGGTGGTCCCCAGAGAACAATTGGTCAAATGGTGCTGGCTGTCATTTCTCACTTCTACATCACATTCAAGACAACTAAAAAATACATTACATCCCTAATGTTACCTTTCTATTTAGGCAATCACTGTAGTTGCCACAGGGGATGTAATGTAATCACAAATGGGAAGACAGGTGGTCATGGGGTAATGTCTCTGTTAAGATGTGGTCCACCCAGAAAATGTTTGAGAACCTCGATGTATGGCACCAGAACTTTCTACCCCTCATTCTCCAGAGCTTTATTAGACTAATCTTGTCATACACTTGACTTGGAGCCAGTGATGGAATGTGTAATTGCATGAGTCGAGTGAACAAGCAGTAAGACTTCCACAACTGGATCTCCTCTCTTACTTTACTGTAGGGCAGAACTTTGCATCAATGCATGTTCTCTTTTTTTAGGACAAGACATTGAAGGGAACAGTATATCGCATCCGTGGCTCCATTCCTGCCAGTAACTACATCCAGCTTCCCAAAACCAGCACACAGTCATTGGGGCTCACTGGTCATTACCTCTACCTGCTCTTCAAGCCCATGCCTGGCAAATGTTTTGTGGTGCACCTGGATGTTACCACGGAGGTATGTGAGAGAGTCTGTTGCATGGCCCTTGGTGTAACTGGTTTTCTAATATGAGTAGAGGAGTAGGGATTGAAATACTACTCTGAACATAGCTTGAACATAGAGCTTGAACATAGAGAACTGAACTGTGTCGCCTGAGTGTTCTAGAGCAAGATAATCATCTGCCATAAGTGTCCCATGCTGAAGTCCCATAGACTGCTATAGCAGCTGTTAAATGAAGTTAAAAGAGAGGATTGCTGCCTTTCTTGATCACCTTTGTGCCTCACTTCTTAGAGTTTGAGAGCTCCAGTCATTTCTCCCTTGGCTCTTAATTTACTTACTAGAAGGCTTGCCTCATTATTAGTGGTGATTGCCCTGAACCTCATATGATTCGCATTTTGATCTAACATCTGTGGACTCGAGGTAAAAATCTCAAACCCACTCTTCCATGACCTTACTGTGTGTTTTCTTCTCACTTCACTCTTCCCTGTTTAGGGCCACATTGTGTGGGGTAGACCATATAGAAGGCAAGCTGGCAGTAGTCCCTTAGCCTTGGTGGGTATCCAAGCTCGACAGAGTAGTGTCAACCAAGAAACTATATCCTCCGTTATCTGCAGCATTTCCCTAGTGGTCTACCAGGTGGATAACATTGTGTGTGTCTTTGTTCTCAGGATAGCCAGGTTGTCCGCATCTCTTTCTCCAACCTTTTTAAGGAGTTCAAGTCCACAGCCACTTGGCTTCAATTTCCCTTCATCTGTGGAGCAGCCAAAGGGTCGGTATATGAGTGCACAGCCAGAACTTCAAAGCAAGGTAAAGAAATAGTGTGAATAGTGTGGCTGGTCCCTCAGTGTGGGAATTAGCGCTATAGTAAAGAGAAAATAACGTATCGTACACCAGTATTACTATAGTCACATGTGACCTGAGCTTTGAAGTCATGGATTTAATCAATTAATTTTAGGGGACAACGAGGGGTGGATTATTAAATCCATGTTTCATTAAGTATTTTTAACACTAGACTTTACAGGGTTTTTTCATTTTACACAATGTAGAATTAACCTGTGGAACTCACTGGCTCAGGAGACTGAATTAAAAAAGGATTACACACGTTATGTGAATAACAGTAGCATCAGCAACTGCGCTAGCTAGAATAAAAATTACTAGGATGATCAAGCGACATAAACATCTCAGTCAACCACCAGTTGGCATCAGGAAGAAATTCCCTCAATGTATAGTAAGAAATAGTTATGCATTGTGGTTATTTGACACACAACTCAGAAATCTCAGGCATTGGCTGGCATTGGACACAAGATACCGGATTAGATGGGCTTTTAGTTTGTGATGGAAATTATGTTCCTAAAAGGATGGTCAGTTTGGACAAAAAAATTGACCTGTTTTGGAAGATGTTAAAATGTGAGGAATCGTAACTAGAGTCTAAATGTTCAGGAATGAAGGCCATGGGATCCATGCATAAAAATATTTGTGCAATTAATTGTCTTTATTCACATGCAGCTACCACGGTTTGTGCTGCAAATCAACATACGGACTCAAATGATCACTAGAAATCTAGCTATCCATTTTCCTAGTGTGGCAATTGTCTCTAAATGTGCATGTGCACAAGTGTGCACACACACATCAACCTCATGCCTCCCTTTCTGTAAGGATTTCAGTACGTGTGTAAAGCTGGGTTTCTGATATTTTTAAAGTAACATGTCAGTGTTTAATGCTGGTTTTGACACTGGTTTTTCTGATCCTCAGATTTGGTGGGTGTGGCCCCTGCCAATGTGCGCTGGACCTGCCTGATGCTTGACCTCCACTACATCCTCTCCATGTACCTGAATAGACGTTACAGCCATCTGAAGAGCATCAAACTCTGCTCCAACTTGTTGGTGAAAAACCTCTATACCAGTGACTTACTGTTTGAGCCAGGTAAGGAGTGAAGCTTTGTATGATATTTAAATCAGAGCTGGCTGCTAGGATGCGCTAGGCCTAATCCATTCTTACTGCTGCATTTCAAGACATAATTGCACCAGGACCATTTGGCCATGTCTGTTGCTGTCTGACACTGTTTTCAGCCAATAATAACAAGGCACTGTCAACAAAACCCTTACCTTAAAAACAACACTAATAATAATGACACTAATTTTCCCTTGTTTGGTGCCTTCAATCTGAGGATGTCAAAGGGCCTCATAACTTCTCCCATTCTGTAGCTGGAAAAACTGAGGGACAGAGAAAGATTAGGTGACTTGCCCAACATCACACATCAAATCAGTGGCAGACGAGAGAATGGACCCCAAATTTTCTGTGTCTCAGTCCTATCACTAGACCATCCTTTCCGAAAAGCTTCTTTTCCTTGTCACTCTGAAATCCAGATTTCCTCCAGTGTTTCTTTATCCAACTGCTCAGTGCAGCAGAGAAACTTCAGTCAAGACCTTTATTACTAACACATTATCCTTTGTTTGAAATCTGCCCAACTACAGCACATCACAAGAAAGGAATCTTACAGACATCGTAGTGGACCACTAAACAGGTCTCAAATGTGCTGTTGCACACGAAAAGCACTTTAGTTCCATAAAGTTGCATATGCATCAAATGAAAAAAGAAAACAGAAAAACTTAGATCACATAGAACTTCAAAAAGAATCACCAGCTGATCCACTTAGCAACCTGATATGATCATCAATATTAAGTTCCAAATCCTCTTGTAGAGCGTTTAAGCTACATTTTAAGGAAGAAAAAGATAATCTTTCATAACAAAGCTCTAAACTTCCAGGTCTTATTGGAAGCTGAGAGTTTCAAGGATATTCCCACAGAAAGGCTTATGCACTTGCTACAATAATCTTTGTTCTTTTTTCATGTTGTAGCCTTTCTTTTTCAGACTTACAGAAAACTCTGTTCTTAAAGTATTTGTTTGCACGTGGTCTGCTAAGAGTGCATGGTTCCAGCCACCTCTGTAAACATCTTCAGATGTTCTAGGAGTGCTTTATGTCCTTATCTGTCTACTTTTGTGCTTTTAGGGGTGATGTTCTCTGAGGCCCGACAAGCTAAGCTGGCATTTCATGGCATTTCCCCCATGCCACGAGAAATGGCATTTCCTGTGCCAAAGGGAGAGAACTGGCATGACCGCTATGACTATATCAGGTATGTTTACGAATTGCTGCTTTTCAAGGAGGAAACCTGGAGTGCTTTTTGATCTTCCTTAGTCTGATTATTTTGTGTACGTAACATACTTCGTCAAAACACTTCTGTCTGAGAATATGAAGGCTGCAGAATTATGCATGCAAAAGTAAGGAAATGCAATAGTTTGCATAAAACTGGGATTATAGCGGAAACACTGTGGCCACTTTAATGCTGTAGTTGTAATGATGGGGACCAAGGCACAACTCGCATCTTCAGCACTTAATTGTTGGCAACTAATATTTTGGGTAGGTAAAGGGCTGTTTAAGGTATCAACCATAGAAACTGCCAGTTCCTAATCAACAGGTCAGTAAGAACATACAGTTCACACGATACTTCTAATATCACCGCCATGCCCTGGAAATGATCCAAATTTCCCTCCTCTGTGGGGTTTGCTTGTATTGCTAACTTAACCGCACATGAACCTTTCTCCCAAGCTTGGTTATTCCTAGGGAGTGCTGTGGCCCTGCCCTTAGTTCTCTTTGCCTTAGAGGCTTGGTTTACATTGACTGCTAGTTTGTGGTCAGCATTACGTCAGTTAATGAATGTTCAGACACAGAAAAATGTCATAGTATAAATCAGACCAGAGAGAGACTCCAACCCTTATCCTGAGTTGGAGCTTATAGGACCCACCTATCCAGATGTCAGGTTGAGTCAGCCAAATAATTCTGTTTCTGTGTGAATGAAGCCTTTTAGCACCAACAGTAAGTCAGCAAAATAGAGCCCTGCATACCTGTGAAGGGTCCTAGAACCTGCCACCCGTTTATGAGGTGACTTTCCTCTGATCTTGTTGTTCAGGTTTCCCTCTGATGGATCCAAGCTGCCATATGACTCAATTCAAAAAGGCTGTTCCAATCCTGCAGAAGGTAGGGAGTCTGAAGTAAATGACCATAGGCTGTGATACCCATTTGGTGTCTGACTGAGCAATGTGCCAAGCTGGCTTCCAGATTATCTAGGTTATTGTCCTACTTAAAACAAAGTATGACATGGTACAAAGCCACCTGCACCATTTACTGCTGCTGTTAACCAAATAAAACTCAAAGTACAACTTCGGTACAGCATGGTGTAGAAGATCCATCCGTTCACTCATATGATCAATATGATAAGTTAGCAACTGTTGACTAGTCTTCCCTACATCAGTGTTCTGCTCCTAGCATATGCCATCAATCTGTTGCTGTGTCCTGTTAGAGATCACTCTTGCAGCAATAGGGGATTGGGTGATGAAGGTCCCCTTTTTGATATTCCCCTCCTGCCCTCATTAGAAACACTCAGCCCAAGGAGTGTGGAGCATCTACCAAGGATTAGGAAGAACTTGTGAAAGTTCTCCGGTTATTTTGTGGGTGGTAGCTCTCCCAGCTCAGGCTAATTGGCTTTCTGCAGGCTATGGGCTACCCAAATGAACTGGATAGTTTTGCAAGGGGAAAATCAGTGTGCATGGGCTGCTGAGAAACAAATGCAGGATCTCTAAAGTGCTGCTGAATTTTTAGAAGGTAACTGTAGTAAATACCTTAGTTGGCAAGTAAACTTCAATCGGCATCTTCAGGAAGCTGCTCCACAGAGCCCTTGTACAGCACAATGGTATAGCAAGCAGACCTGCAGTGATCCTTCTGGGAACTCTCCTCTTCTGCCCTGCTTCATCTACATCTTTGTCAGAGCCATGAGGATTCCCCGTCTGTTGCTTATCTGTTATGACATCTTGTTGCAGCCATTACCCTAGTCAAGGGATCTGATGGAGCTCCCACTGGAGTCCATTAACACCACTTCTTCAAGGGTAGAATGGTTGCTGTTGAGTGTCACAAAGCACTTCCTTCTCCCTGAGCACAGCATGCTGCCTTGGCAGCACATCCGATCCCTGTTGACACAGGGGCAAAAGGAACAGGATTTGAACTTGATCTCCCATGTGACTAGCATCAGGCCAGCCCCTTTGGGTTTTGTGCAGTGTGTGCCCAATAGATAATGTGTCCTTTGTTTTCCTCTGTTGCGACATGGCCTGTGTTTCCAAATTGTTCCTTGAGTTCTTTAAGGAAGGAATAAGTAGTAGAATGAAGTAGCTGTTCAGCTACATCATCTGCAGCTGTGTGATCAGCAGGAGGGGAAGCAGATTGTAGGAAAGAGCCAAACACTTTGCTGTTATAATCTAGGTGTTCAAGTGCTAGAAGACCCAATCCGTCATCTTCCACGGCCAGTGACGCTTACCAAAGCTGTCCGGGACCGAGTGTCACTCATCCAACAGATAACCAGTCCCAAGGATGTGAGTATGGCCTTAGGCTGTAAGTGTAGCTTCCTGTACCACCTCTAGCCAGAGGGTTTCCACATGTCCTGCTTTGTGTTTGGAATGTTTTGGGGTTTTGTAGTGGCTACTTTTTGTGTTCTATGGCCTGGGCTGTGCCCCGTCCTACAGTCAATAAACTCTGCAGTTTAATGACTTTTGGGGGTCAGTCTGTCAGTCTATCCAAGATGCTTATCTGGCCCCCATTACCGTAATATATGAACACCTCACAGTCTTTTAATGTAATTTTGCTCCTGACACCCCTGGGAGATAGGGAAGTGTTATTGTCTGCATTTTACAGATGGGGAACTGAGGCACTGAAGAATAGTGAAGTTCTCAGGGGCATGATGGATCTGTTTCTGGTGGGGTAGGATGGGGGAGGGAGAGTCTGTGTTTTAGATATTTTTGTTTGCTATCATACAGTGGAGAGAGAGAAGTTGCATTGTAAACCTAGTAAAAGCAGTGATTCTGCCATTCCAAATCAGAAAGTCACACAGAGCACTCTATTTTATTCTCCTGCATCACTTGGCATGCCTGAATGTTTTTGACATGTTGGATGTCTTGAGTATTAGGTGACTGAGTAAGAGTCAGTCAAAACGTAAAATTAATTTCTCCCTTTCTCTCCAATCACAGCAATCGTAGGGAGCTGTGGGGCAGGCCTGATCTGTTGTCATTTGTTTACTCTTTCTCAGATGCCTCGCTGGTCTCCCTTAGTTACAAAGAGCATCCCTGAGGTTCACTTAGCAACCTCTGGGCCTCTGGAAGAAGTGTACTCTGGAGATCAGGAGTTCAGCAGGGTAGAAGGACTACAAGCTGCTGGGGATTCCACTGTACCGTTACATGCAACAACTGATGGTGGTATTCATGTGTATGCTCACAGAATGGGTAATGTCGCCATCCATGCTGTTGGCATTAGCTCAGATGAGGTAAGTGAGAGAGCATCGCTGGACTCTGACAACCTGATCTTATTGGCTATCCTCTGTGTAGCTCCACATCCCCCTCTCTAACTTGTACAGAATCTTCTTAACTCTTCCCCCAAGTCTGCCCCTGTGATGGCTCTGAGAACGCATGATGCTGTCATTAGAAGAAAAGTGTGCCTTGCGCTGAACTCTACAGCCTAATGGCTCAGGCTTCCTTTTCCACTACTCCCATAAGTTCCTCACACCAGATCCTCAGCTGGTGTAAATTGTTGTCGCTCTGTTGACTTCAGTGTAACAATGCCAATTTACACCAGCCTCCATCTGTAAATATCTTCTCAAGGAAGAATTCAGGTAGAACAGATCAGTTGCCTTTCAGACCCACATGCTGCTGCCCTGTGCACTGGGATGCGGAAACATGATTATCCCAATTCTTGGGGCTTGACTGGTGGGTTAGAGAGCATTAGGCCAAGACTTCATATGGAAACAGAGCTCCTGAACCCAGACTTCTTGCTCAAACTCTTACTGACCATAGGAGAAGATATATAGAGGTAAGGGACTCCAATGTACTAGGAACAAACAAGTTAAACTGCAAGTTTGTTCCTGTAGGATGGGTCTGGAATGCTTGTTGCTGGTGCTCAATAACTTGGCAGAAAGAGCAACAGGAATACCCACTCCTGGTTGGAGCTGGCAGAGATGATTATTTTATACTAAGGGCAGTTGTGAGCCATCTTACCTGGAATTCTCTCTTGATCTTGTTTCTTTATTTCACGTATACGTTAAGCTTATCCAGGCAGAGCTAATGTGTTTTTTATAGAGATGATCATGCTATTAGCATTTCACAAATAACACCTATGTATTGATTTGCCCAGTCTGTGTACACAAAGATTACTGGACCAGAAGTGCTCTCCAGCAAGAAAGCATCTCCCTGCAGGGTAAGAAGAAAGATTCCCCCCTCTCCAACTTTACAGATGCTCCCTTGAATTTTCATGGCATTTGTATGTAACCATGGGGAAGACTTGGCTGCCCTCTTGGAAAGGTGATTCAGGTTAACCGAGTCATTCCATTGCTGAGATTATTCCATTTAGCACTATCCACTGTGTGCTTTGGTCCTGGAGGAGATGGAACTCCTGAAAACAAGACTTCAGTCGATTCCTGCTCTTACTTCCTTTTGGATTTGCTGTAATGATGATTTCCTACTGAATAAACTCCTCCCTTAATGTGAAGAAATTGAAGTAGAGAGACAGCCCTCTCACTTCAGGGAGAAACATGAAACCGGTCCAGAGGGACACAGATTAATGTGGGGCAGAGGGAACTTGGTAGATCACTGGGATGTAAGTTGCAGTTAGTGCTGATACAGTTTAGGGCTCACATGCTTTATTCACGCTGGTACTTTTGACAATATCTTCTTCTTTCAGAGACTCTTACCAGATCCAATCCTGAAGCTGAGGACAATTATTGGCTTTGGGGGTTGCAGCACCAAATGGGTCAGTAACGAAGAAGCTTTTCAGAATGTAGTTGCAATAGGGGGAGATTTTCAAAGGCACCGGGGGCAGTTAGGTGCCTAACTCCCATTGACTTTCATGCTTAACTCCCTTTGCCTTTGGAAATCACCCCACACTACCCGGTTTCTTTCGACTACAAATTTTTTGGGGTGAAAAGCTCATTTCCCGACATGGAATTTGCCCCAGTAAAATTCTGAAATTGTGTGCCCCATGCCAGATCTTCTTACAGATTCCAGACTGATTAATGTATCACACATCTAGAATTTCTTTGGAATCCAAAAATGCATTGGTGCCTTAGGCTGGTGTGTCAGTTTGTCCTCCAGTGGTATTGCCTTCGGATCCTTCCAACCGTCCTCTTAATGATCCATGTTACAGTTTAAAAAAAAAAATCCTGTTGGGTCATCTAGTCCATTTCCTGTGAACAAAGGATTGTCCCCTTCTTACATATTGCATATATGATGTTAAACATGACTGGGATGGAAGATCAGCTGAATTAATTGGGATGTACTATAAGCTGACCACTCAGTTTTCCTTTGATAGTTATAAATTTGCATCTGTGTTTGTGTGAAACAGCAATCATCTAGATAACATACACCTGCATATTTCACCAGATATCCAAATATTTCCAAGTGCCTTAATTCTATGCATGTCCATCTGTGTAAGCACAAGAGGGCTCTCCTCTCAGTTTGTAGACTGGGTCACATCTGTAGTATCCTCTCTTCTGCCCTGCTCTGATTCTTGCCTTTGACCTGCAGGCTCTGTGGACTAAGAACAGCTCTGCAGTGGTTTACCCCTGTCATGCTATTATAATAACCATGCAGATTGAAACTGGAGAGCAAAGGTTCTTCATTGGACATACAGATAAGGTAAAAGTGGATTTCTTTGCATGAACAGATATGACAACCCCCCAGAGAATATGCAACAACTGTAAATATCTGATGTGTGAGAGAATACAAAACTACTCCTATCGCAAGCATGGTTCATTCTAGGGAATTGTATCAGCTCACTGGCTGGGGGGAAGTTACAAGAACTCCAGCTCCTAGCAAGAGTCATTCTAAGGAACGATATTGGATCGACAACAGTGGGAGTTTCAGCTACTCCAGTGCTAGCCTCTCCCAGCAGCTGGGGGTTATTTTTGCTAACATGATGTTTCCTGCAGGTATCCGCATTGACATTTAATGGAAACAGCGCATTGCTGGCTTCTGCACAGATGGGTCACCTGAGCATGGTGCGGCTTTGGGATTTTCAGAAGGGGAAATGCCTATCCATGTTTAAAACCCATGTCCATTCAGTCTCATCCCTCAGGTACATTGCAGGCATGTTCTGGGCAGTGTGTGTTGGGGAGGAGTTGAGAGTGGGCTTTTAATTTTTCCCATTGAGATCCAGGCAGTGTGTAGGATACTTCATTTCACCCTGGGTTTTCTCCTCTTGTAGCCTTTCCTACAGTGGAGCTGTTCTCTGTGGCATTGGGAAAGATGGACATGGCAAAACAGTGAGTAATAAAGCTCTTGGGCTATTTGGGTTCCACTTACCCAACAACATGCATGACTTTGGACAAAAACAAGTGAAATAATTGTTTGTTTTTCTTCTGCACATAGAACCAATCATATGTCCTTTCCAAGACACAGTGGCTAAATGCTAGTTTCCTTAAATGTCCTTAGGCAATACCATTCATTGTAAATCACGTAAAATCGTCTTATCACCAAACTGGTTAGAAAATATTTGAATATTTACTTTCTTACTTGATATTTATACATCTGTGAACACACACCTTTGTGAATCACAAATTCTACTGAGTAAATCCTGGTTCTTGTAGCTAGTCACGACTTTTTGTTGGTGTGGAAGCCTGTTCATGCTGAATCTCAAGAACTTCCCTGCTTCACATTGTTTATTAACTAACTTCACAGTTAATGAATGGGTGGGACTGCCTTTAGAGCCTTTTTGGTTCCACTTACATCCTACTGGGGTCACTACAAGTGACACAAGGCATTTCCTTCTGAAGGTGCTGAGCACATTCCTCTACAGTTCTCCTAGCTCCTACTCTTACACACCTTTGCTGCTCTAGCACTCCTTGTAATTAGTTACACACTGGTTTCCATTCTTTCTCAGTTTGCAAGTACTGTATCTTAGTCCCACATTCAAGCCCTCTCCAGCCAACGCTGCAGGTAGGGAAACTGATTATCAGACAGGCTAGCCTATTAAAATGAAAATCACCAGGCTCTCTGGGATTGTCCTGAATCCTCCTTTCTGTGAGAGATTTTTCTCCACTCTGTTCACAGCAATGTGGGTAAAAGCCCCAGTGCACAGTACCAGCATCCTGGCAAATGGGAGCAGTATCTGCAGTTTCACCTGTTGTGAGAAGGCTAGCAATCTTCTCCATTGCTTCTATGGTCTAAGGCCTAAGGTGTTATGTTTTCAGCAGTTCTACTCTTGCTGTCCTGTCTCTGCAGATGGTGGTGGTGTGGAATACTGCTCAGGTGAACCAGGGCGGAGAGGTGGTTGTGCTGGCCAAAGCTCACACAGATGTGGACATCCAAACCTTGAAGATTGCTTTTTTTGATGACACCAGGTAATGTGCGAATTGGTGAATGTGAGAATAAGGTAAAATAACCTAGATCGGGGTGGGCAAACTACGGCTCGCGGGCCGGATCTGGCCCGCAAGCTGTTTTAAGCCGGCCTGCGAGCCACACCATGCGGCTCAGCCTCACTCCAGTGCTCCGGCTGGGGCGCTGGGTCAGGGGCCGCACCACGTGACTCGGCCCCGCCCTGGTGCTCCGGCTGGGGGCTCTGGGTCGGGGGCCACACCACACGGCTCCTGGAAGCCACAGCATGGCCCTGCTCCGACTCCTGCGTGCTCCAGTGGGAGCTCAGGGGGCAGTGCCAGTGAATGGGGCAGCGTGCAGAGCTGCCTGGCCGCGCCTCCGTGTAGGAGCCGGCGAAAGGACATGCCACTGCTTCCAGGAGCCTTGAGGTAAATGGCACTCGGAGCCTGCACCCCCTGAGCCTCTCCCCATGCCCCTACCCCACCCACGCTCCAAACCCCTAGCTTTCAGCCCAGAGCACACTCCTGCACCCCAAACCTCTCATCCCCAGCCCCACCCCAGAGTCCGCACCCCAACCCCAATTTTGTGAGCATTCATGGCCCGCCATACAATTTCTATATCCCCATGTGGCCCTCAGGCCAAAAAGTTTGCCCCCCTGGCCTAGATAAAGGCAGTGGTAGTCAACAGGTGGACCGTGGGCAAAATCCAGATGCCAGACACTTGAACGGACCCCAAAATCTTTTTATTTACTTATCATTATTGTTGTTATTTTTTGATTATTTTCTCTGGAGTCTGGACTTGACTATATCTTGATCAAGAAATTTGAGCCTTGACAAAAAATAATTGACTACCCCGGTATTAAGGCATTGCTGGGAGGAAGCTCACTGCATTGCTGGAATTCCAGTTTGCAGACAAAAGGTACTTTTGGAAGGAAGCTGCTGTTAGCCTTCCTTTTCTCTCCCCTGGTGTCAGTGTGTCCATTTCAGCTGCTTTCAGGGAGCAGGCCTTTTGTCAGTATAGAATGAGTCTTCCCTGGTTCCTTACTCAGCCTCTCGTGTAACAGGATGGTGTCGTGCGGCAGAGATAATGTGAGGCTGTGGCGAGTGCGGAGTGGAGCGCTGCGCTCGTGCCCAGTGAATTTGGGGGAGTACCATTCCTTGGAGTTCACCGACCTGGCCTTCGAGAAAGGGCATTCCGCTGAGCGGGAACCTGAGGACCGGACACTGTAAGGATGGAGCCACTTTTTCTTTCCTTAAATCACTTTCCTTAAGTTAATTTTTTAGGGACACTGTGATTCAGTCTGCCTCTGTTCCTCGGAGCTGTCTACACTAGCATGCTGAGCTTTCGATTAGTAAGCATAAGGAAAAGGTTGAACAGTCATTGTTTTGACTTGCTCATCCCTGTCCTTAACTTGAGCATTCTACAGTCCTTTGTCTGCATTCTCTCTGCAGAAACAAAGGTGTCATACAAAGCCAGCCTACCCTTTAGTCTCCTCCTTTCTAAGATTTCAGATCCTAAAAGAAGCTTACAATACCTTGTAGAGTTGCACAAGAAATCTGCCCATGGATTTGCTGTTAATGTTCATTTGGCAGTGGGAGGGGTGTGGTGTAATTACATTCCCCGTGACTTTTTTATACTTCAGCTTAATCACGCAACCAAGACTGCTGCCACCGGAGAGATATTACAAAAACAAAGAATTGCCAGGTCTGTTCATTTTCACCTTCCCTCTGTGGTCTGAGCCCTGTGGGTGTAGATTTGCCCAGTATTGCTTCATTTCTGGTTCATGGGTGTGCTGTGGGAAAAATCACTTTCCCCATATGTTTTATTCAGTGCTTTCGATCAAAGGCACTGTATACATAAATAAAATGTAATGTATTTAATCACAAACTAAACTATCTACCAATATTGTGAACAAAAAGTTCAAAACTCAGAAGTGAAAAAGCCTTCCCCAAAATCATGCATTCATCTTATTTGTACATTTTACATCCAGATCTCCTATATGGGGAAAATCTTTGCCTTTCCAGAACAATTTATCTGAAGCAATAATAATTTTCCTGAAATATTGCAATTTATTCCCCTCCAAAAGTTTAACAGTCACTTCCATTAAACATAAGCAAATGTGGCTTTGATTTCCAGGGCTCATTTCTGTGAAGCTTCTCTGGCTCCATTTATTTCAATTCAGTTCAGGATAGCAATTGTGCCAAACTTGCCTGGAACCCCGTTATTTCCCATAGGGTCATGACTTATGGTTACATCCATTTCTCAGTCTGAGCTAGTGAAAGAGTATTGGGCAAAAGTTGCCAGAGATCTTGTTTCTGCGAACTGATCCTAATCTCCTTCTGATACAGGTTAGTAATACTTCCATCTTTAGTCTCCAGCTGGTTTTGGGATGGATACCTGAGAGTCAGCAGTCCTCCTTACTGATTCTTGATGGAGGGGTCTGTGTCGTACAATAATAGAAATAATAATAATCCAGCATTTGTATATTTTCTTTTAAGGTTTGCTACACTTTAGGAAGCAGGTCTCTGCCTCTTTACTTCTATTTTTTCCTCCTAAATTAGAAAAGATGGGGGAAAAATATCTTTCTAATGATTCCTCCATAACAGGCTGGTAGAGTTTACTTTTTTTTATTCCTTCACAAAGGAAAAAATATGATCTCTTAGTAAGAAGTAGCAATATCCTGATTAAAATTTTCAGTTGTTTCCAGACTTCCGAGTCTGAAGTCTATAGTTTATATAGACATACAGGATAACTGAAGATCATTTTTGAGACTGACTAGGCACTTACAGACTCAAAGCTCACTAGTTTTGCTTTTTCCCTTATCTTTTATATTGGCTGAATTAACTCTTGAGATTTTTCTCTAAATTGCTCTTTCAAAGGGGAAAGGAAAAGAAGGATGGAGAGGTCTAACTCCATCTACCAGTTATAGATTCCCAAGTTAGCTCCTGCTGAAAATCAAATGTTTGAATCCTGTCATCCAGTCAAGCTATCATTCCATTACAAACTAGAATTGCTAAAGTTTTTAGACGAACAGCATATTTAAAGTTATTTCAAGGTTGTTTACAAAAGTGTGGTGTAAAGTTAACATTGAAACAAAATGCAGAATACAGTTCTTCTGCTAAATAATGTCTCTGAAGTTCCTATTGTGGTCATTAGTGTCTAATGGTGGTGTACTTTCCCTTTCAGCTTTGTTTGCAGCAGGAGCGGCCACATCTTGGAAATTGACTACAAGAATGTCACTATCAGAAATGCCCGGCGCCTCCTGCCTTCTCAGATTCAGCACTCTCACCGGCGGGAGAAGCAAACCTTCAACTCGGGTATGGGCTTTGGTGGGGGATGGATAGATGACCAAGAGGAAGTAGGACATGCTACATTATGAACTTTCACTAGAAAAGTTTTTGCTGAAATTTTGCTAAGTTTGAAGGAAGAGCCCTGTGAGGGAACACCAGACAGAAGCAAACCGAGGACCCAAGTTTCATAAGACTAGGTGCAAAATAGGCAGAATTGCAGGGGATCCTCTGTAGGCTGAGATAATCTGACATCACACTAGAAGTAAGGTTTTGGGGAGCACAGGTGGGGCTTCAGCCAGTTTCTTCTCCAGTGAAATCTCCTATGCATTGAAGGGGGAGAAAGCGAGACTATACGTAACCCAAATGTACCCTATTTTGGGGTTAGATTAGATGACCCTTGCAGTCGCTTCTAACCCTATGATTCTATTACCCATATACCCATTACCCATTAATTTACATAATCCCAACTATTGGGCTCAGTGCTGGAGTAACAGGATGTAATTCTCTGGCTGTGTTATACAGCAGGTCAGACTAAGTGATCTGATAGTCCCCCCTGGCCTTAATCTATGAATCTGAATTTGGGAGAAAGGATTGTAACTGTGTATAACTATTTAAAGATTATAATATATTGGGAAATGCTCTTTTTACTGGACAATAGAGTCACATTTTCAGAAGCAGTCTTTAAATGTGTGAGCGTTAGTTTTTGCACATATATTTTTTGAGTCCTAAAGATTTTTGCATATGCAAAATCTCATGTAGATACACAAGCTGTACGTATGTATGCAAACCGAGCAGTTGAGTATCTATATGATTTTTCATTCACATTCATATCTGAGGTTTTGCTCATGTAAAACATCATGCTCCAGAAAGTATATATGCAGAAGTATAGGTGTGCAGATTTGGAGGGCAGATGGAGGCCTTTGAAACTTTGTCCCTAGGGGCTGAATTAAAAACAATGAGTGTAAATAAATTCAGCTGGTAGGGAAAAGTTTTGCTTGTGAAGACAATAAGAATGGAGTGGCCTCATTAAATAATTAAGGTAAAATCTATTAGAGGGATTGAAGTTGAAATAAATAAAGCAAATTCTTTGAAAATAAAGCAATGCTCTGCCTAACACAGATGACTGGTTTCGATCAGATAAGTGGTGACAAACTTCCTACCAAAAATAATCCTACCAAAAAAAAACTTCCTACCAAAAAAAATGGCTAAGTACCATTTTAAGAAGAATTTTAGTGTTTTGATTGATGAATGTTTAGAATAAACACCCTTTTTAGTAACATAAAGCAATGTTTTAATCAGCCAAAAGGAATCCTGTGCCCAGTAGCATGTAAAAAGCTAAACATACAAAATGAAACAACTGGCCTGTTCTTTGAAAGATCTCAACAGTATTTAGAATTCTTTAATGCTACAGAAGTCAAAGTATTATGACTTTCAGCAAGTCTTGTATTGCTGATATGACATTAGTTAGAATTTGTTTTCAAGTGCTACTGCTACTCGTATTGTAAGACAGCTCATATCGCTTTATTTTATAGAATTATAGACATGTAGGGCCAGAAGGGACTTCAAGAGGTCATCAAGTCCAGCCCCTTGCACTGAGGCAGGGCCAAGTAAACCTAGGCCATCCCTTACAGGTGTTTATCTAGCCTGGTCTTAAAATCCTCCAAAAATGGTAATTCCACAACCTCCCTTAGAAGCTTTGTCCACAACTTAACTACCCTTATAGTTAGAAAGTTCTTCCTAATATCTAACCTAAATCTCCCTTGCTGCAGATTAAACCCATTTATTTTTGTCCTGCCTTCAGTGCACATAGAGGACAGTTGATCACCATTCTCTTTATAACAGCCCTGAACTTATTTAAAGACTGTTACCAGGTCCCCCCTCAGTCTTCTTTTCTCAAAACTAAATATGCCCAGTTTTTTTAACCTTTCCTCACTGGTGAGGTTTTCTAAACCTTTTATCATTTTTGTTGCTGTCCTCTGGGCTCTCTTCACTTTATCCACATCTTTCCTAAAGTGTGGCATCCAGAATTGGATAAAGTACTTGAGGTAAGGCCTCATCAGTCCCAAGTAGAGCGGGACAGTTACCTACCATGTCTTACATACGACACTCCTGTGACGCAGTTGCAAAAAAGGCTAATATCCTGTTAATATATCTCAGAATGATATTTGACTCTTTTGTAACTGCATCACATTGTTGACTCAAATTCAGTTTGTGATTCACTATAGTCTCCAGATCCTTTACAGCAGTACTACCACCTAGCCAGTTATTCCCCAGTTTGTATTAATGCATTTGATTTTCCCTTCCCACTTGTCTTTATGGACTTTCATCTTGTTGATTTCAGACCAATTCTCTAATTTGTCAAGGTCATTTTGAATTCTAATCCTGACCCTCCATATGCCTCCCAGCTTGTTGTCATCCGCATATGTTATAAGCATACTCTCCACTCTGTTATCCAAGCTGTTAATGAAAATATTGAACAATACCCGACCCAGGACTGGCCCCTTGAGGATCTCACTAGATGTGCCCTCCCAGTTTGACAGTGAACAATTGATACCTACTTTGAGTACAGTCTTTCAACCAGCTGTGCACCCACCTTGATAATAATTTCATCTAGACCACATTTGCCTAGTTTGCTTACGAGAATGTCACGTAGAACTGTGTCAAAAGCCTTAAGAAAATAAAGATATATCACATCTATTGTTTCCCCTCTATTTACTAGGCTAGTAACCCTGTCAAAGAAGGAAATTAGGTTGATTTAGCATGATTTGTTCTTGACAAATCCATGTTGTTATTCCATAACACTGTTATGCTCTAGGTGCTTATAAATTGTTTGTTTTATAATTTGTTCCAGTATCTTTCCATGTATCAAAGTTAGATTGACTGGTATATAATTCCCCAGGTGCTCTTTGACTTTGTTCCCCTTTTTAAAGATAAGTACTCATTGTTCCTTCTCCAGTCCTCTGGGACCTCATCCATCCTCCAGGAGTGTTTGAAGAGACTTGCTAATGGTTCTGAGATTGCTTCAACTAATTCCTTTAATACCTGGCCTAGGTATTTTATCAGGCTCTGCTGACTTGAGTACACCTAACTTAGCTAAATGTTCCTTAACCTGTTCTTTCCCTAGTTAATTTTAATCATGTCGAGTATCTGGTAATCATTAACCTTTTTAGGTTTCAGAGTAGCAGCCGTGTTAGTCTGTATTCGCAAAAAGAAAAGGAGTACTTGTGGCACCTTAGAGACTAACAAATTTATTTGAGCATAAGCTTTTGTGAGCTACAGCTCACTTCATCGGATGCATTCAGTGGAAAATACTGTGGAGAGATTTATATATATAGAGAACATGAAACAATGGGTGTTGCCATACACACTGTAACGAGAGTGATCTCTTAAGCTGAGCTATTACCAGCAGGAGAGGAGGGGGGAAAAACCTTTTGTAGTGATAATCAAAGTGGGCCATTTCCAGCAGTTGACAAGAACATCTGAGGAATAGTGGGGAGTGGAGGGGGGGAATAAACATGGGGAAATAGTTTTACTTTGTGTAATGACCCATCCACTCCCAGTCTCTATTCAAGCCTAAGTTAATTGTATCCAGTTTGCAAATTAATTCCAATTCAGCAGTGAAGACTGAAGCAAAATAGGCATTAAACATCTCAGCCTACTTCTTGTCGTCAATTATTAGCTCTCCTTCCCCGCTAAGCAGAGGACCTGCACTTTCCTTCATCTTTCTCTTGCTCCTAACATATTTATAGAACCTCTTCTTTTTTCCTTTTATGTCCCTTGCTAAGTGTAACTCAATTTGTGCCTTAGCCTTTCTGGTTAGTCCCTACATGCTAGTGCTGTTCTTTTGTACTCATGTTTCCACTTTTTGTAGGATTCCTTTTTAAGTTTTAGTTTATTAAATAGCCCCTGATGCAGCCAGATAGGTCTCCTACTATTGTTCCTATCTTTCCTTCAGTTTGGGATACTTTGCGATTGTGCCTTTAATACTGTCTCCTTGAGAAACTGCCAGCACTTGTGAACTCCTTTATCCCTTAGATTTTCTTCCCATGGAACCTTACCTACCACTTCTCTGAGTCTGTTAAAGTCTGCTTTTTTGAAGTTCATTTGTGATGGGTTTGGTCACAGAGACCCTGTTGGGACTGTCACCTGATGTGTTGAAATTACCCCTGAGCCCATTTTCCCTGCCAGCTTGGGACTCCAGAACTCTGCCTTGTTGAGCCAGACATGTTAGCCTGCTGCAATATAGACCCAGGTCTGAACCACACCCCCAAAGCTGCAGGCTTTAACTGAAAACCATTCAACAGGTTACCTATCTCCAGCACCCAGACACCTAGTTCCCAATGGGATCCAAACCCCAAATAAATCCGTTTTACTCTATATAAAGCTTATACAGGGTAAACTCGTAAATTGTCTGCCCTCTATAACACTGAAAGAGAGAGATGCACAGCTGTTTGCTCCCCAGGTATTACTCACTTACTCTGGGTTCATTAATAAACAAAAGTGATTTTATTAAGTATAAAAAGTAGGATTTAAGTGGTTTCAAGTAATAGCAGACAGAACAAAGTAAGTTACCAAGCAAAATAAAACAAAACACGCAAGTCTAAGCCTAATACATTAAGAAACTGAATACAGGTAAATCTCACTCTGAGATGTTCCAATAAGCTTCTTTCACAGACTAGACTCCTTCCTAGTCTGGGCCCAATCCTTTCCTTGTTAGTTCCAGCTCAGGTGGTAACAGGGGATTTCTCATGACTGGCAGCGTCCTTTGTTCTGTTCCACCCCCTTTTATAGCTTTGGCCCAAGGTGGGAATCTTTTGTCTCTCTTGCTCCCTACCCCTCCTTCTAAATGGAAAAGCACCAGGTTTAAGATGGATTCCAGTATCATGTGACATGGTCACATGTCCTGTGAGACCCCAGCCTTCATTCTTCCACGGCTGGCCCACACCTACACAGGAAGGTCTGCAAGTAAACATAGCAATTCACAACCAATTGTCATAGTCAGTGGGAGCCATCAAGATTCCAAGCCACCATTAATGGCCCACACTTTGCATAAGTACAATAGGACTAATAATACTTCATATTCCTAGCTTCAGGTACAAGAATGATACATTCATACAAATAGGTTGAACACACTCAGTAGATTATAAGCTTTGTAATGATACCTTACAAGAGACCTTTTGCATAAAGCATATTCCAGTTACATTATATTTACACTCATAGACATATTTCCATAAAACATATGGAGTGCAACATCACACCATTATCCTTATCCTGCTGCTCTCACTCCTTCCTGTATTTAGAATAATGAAAGCTATCATTTCATGGTCACTTTCATCCAAATTGCATTCTGCCTTCTGATTTGCAATCAGTTCCTCCCTCTTGGTCAGAAATCAAGTCTAAAATGGCTGTCACCCTGGTTACTTCCTCCACTTTCTGAAACAAGAAGTTGTCCCCAGTACATTCCATGAACTCACTGGAAATTGTGTTTTGATGTATTACTTTTCCAACAGATGTCTGGGTAGTTAAAGTCCCACATTAATTCCAGGGGTCTTGTGATTTAGATATTTCTGTTGTCTGTCCTAGAAATGCCTCATCCACCTTCTTTTTCTGATTTGGTGATCTCTAATAGACCCCACCACTACCATGATCCCTGCCATTTTCACTTTATAAGGCTTTAATATAATGTATATTAATTAAGCTTCCAAACCCCTTTTTGAGGAGGGTAGATATCATTCTCATTTTATATATGGGGAAACTGAGGCATAGAATTTAAGACTTGACCATGGTCACAAGTTGTATTAGGATCAGAGTTTCTGGCTCCCAGTGCTTTTGATTAGACTAGACTTCATTGATATAGTCGTACGCATTAGATGTCTTAGCCATTTCTTAACGCACACAGTCTCCTTTGCTACATTCCCATCCCCTTTCCCTCTCTCCTCTTTCTCTTTACTCTCTCTTGTTTCTCTCTACATAGATGAACCAATTTGAAAAGATAAAGGAAACACTTTTTCACACCATTAGCCTGTGACTCTCATTGCCACGATGTATTGTTAAGGTCAAGAGCATGGCAGTCTTTGAAAAGTGATTGGTCGTTTCTATGGATAACAAGAATACCCATATCAGAAGGGTAGCTGTGTTAGTCTGGATCTGTAAAAGCGGCAGAATCCTGTGGCACCTTATAGACTAACAGACATATTGGAGCATAATTTTCCACTACATGCATCTGACGAAGTAGGTATTCACCTACGAAAGCTTATGCTCCAATACGTTTATTAGTCTATAAGGTGCCACAGGACTCTTTGCCGCTTTTAAGGATACCCATAGTTATAATATTAATATTAAATATGAACAAGAGTTCTGGTTGTAATAAAAACCCTTCTGATTTGGGGCATGATCCGTCATCTAGCGATTGGAGGTTAGGAGGTGTTCAAAAAAGAAGTAGATAAATTCATGGAGGATAGGTCCATCAATGGCTATTAGCCATGATGGGCAGGGATGGTGTCCCTAGCCTCTCTTTGCTAGAGGCTGGGAGTGGACAGCAGGGGATGGATCACTTGGTGATTGCCTGTTCTGTTCATTCCCTCTGGGGTACCTGGCATTGGCCACAGTCGGAAGACGGGATACTGGGCAAGATGGACCTTTGGTCTGACCCAGTATGGATGTTCTTATTTTCCCTGGGGACAACTTATCCCATAACTGATACTGCAGGGTTTCTTGCACCTTCCTCTGAATTGCTCAGCATTGGACTAGATGGGTCATTGGTCTGATCCAGTCTGGTAATTTTTTGGTTCCTTACATTGTGCCAATTGGTAATGTTTGTCCTTTCAGGCCCTGGGATTGCTATAAACAGTATTAGCGTCTCCTCTACCTTCTGTGCCACAGCCTCAGAGGATGGCTACGTGCGGCTGTGGCCTCTGGATTTCTCGGCAATCTTCTTGGAGGCTGGTGAGTAAACCTTGGATCTCTCTCACTCATTCCTCACTCAGTTCTGCATTCATATCAACCTAGCCCTATGGGGCCAAAGCTTTCCTGGAGCAAAAAGGGAATGCAGCCTAGGGTTCCACTACACTGCTCTTCTGATCCATTCCCAAACCTGAGCTCTTGTGAAGAGCAACAGAAATTCATTCTTAGGCTTCTCTTGTGGTGCTCTCTCAGTGGGCTAGACCTTGGTGTGGAGTAACTGCCACCTCCTGCAGTGAAAAGTTAGACAAGTCTGTACAGAATGAATCTTGGGTTTTATCTCTTCAAGAGTTTTCCTTGTTCTTCTGGAATTCTAGAGAAAGACAGGAGTCTTCTGAGTAAGCTAAACATTAGTCCTTAACGCTTATTGCATATCTGTCCAATGAAAATCTATGGGAGAAGCACAGTAGTTCTTCATCCATCCTGGAATGAAATGCAGTGATACTGAAAAATAAAGACTTTTTAGAAATGACACTGGCTTGATTATGTGGCTAGACTAAAACCTGAGAACAGTTAGTCTCATAGCACTCAGGAAAGTACAGGACATAGAAATGAAAGTGCAGAAATAAAAGGGTGGTCACTTAGCTATAGTCTAGATGTACCACTTTTTTGCATCCTGGGATAATTTATTAACTGGTACATCTGTTTCCCCAGAGCATGAAGGTGCAGTGAGTTCTGTCAGCATCAGTCCAGATAGTCTCAAAGTTCTGTGCACCACCTCCACTGGGAACCTGGGTTACCTGGATATACAGTCCCGGGGCTACAATACCCTCATGCGCTCTCACACTGATTCTGTTCTGGCATTCTCTGTGGATGGGCTCCGGAAGCAGATGGCTACGGTGTCCCAGGATAACACCATCCGGATCTGGGACCTTGTGTCCATGCAGCAGGTAGCGTAAGCTCACTTTCTTGATCAAGATAGGGGTAGTAGAAGTCAAAACTCAGCTTTGCTGGCAGAGCTGTAAAAGGAAGTCTGCACAATCTTTGTTTATTCCAACTGACTGCAGCTGGTGCTAACAACATATCTCACTTTAAAATCACTTAAATCTACCTCCAACAACAACAGATCCCTCCAGAACTACTGCATGAAGTTCAAGATTTTTCTGTGTAGTTTGGCTTTAGCTCCAAAAGTCAAATATTTAAAATACCACTTGCTTTTCTTCCATCTACTAAATATTGTAGGTTAATGTTGGGCCATAATGGTGAGGTCTCTGTGGGTATGTGTACGCTGCAATAAAGCACTCATGGCTGGCCCATGTCAGCTGACCTAGGCTCAGGCTGTGGGACTGTAAAATTGCAGTATAAACGTTCAGGCTCAGACTGGAGCCCAGGCTCTGAGACCCAGCAAGGGGGGAAGGTCCCCGGGCCTGGGCTTCAGCCCAAGCCTGAATGTCTACAATGCAGTTTTATAGCTCCGCAGCCCAAAAGCCCTTTGAAGTCCATAGAAAGACTCCTACTGATTTCACTGAGCTTTGGATCAGGCCCCAAGGGGTTACACAGCTTCACTGTAATGATAGGCTTGTGACAGGGAATTGGGATATGGGGTTATCTCATTCTGCCACATACTGCTGCCAGGTTTTGCATATCCCCAAGTGGTGCTTCTGTGTGTCCCTTTCCCACAGCTATATGACTTCACTGCCTCAGATGAGATGCCATGTACTGTGGCCTTTCATCCTGCACAACAGATCTTTGCATGTGGGTTCAGCAGTGGAGTGGTGAGAACCTTCAGCCTGGCTGCCTCTGATCTACTAATGGAACACAAGTACGTTTGACAAATGGATATTGTATATTCACATGTACAAATCTAAATGGTGGGAGTCATGGCAGTGGTGTAAGTAAGATGTCCATCCTCGTGAGAGACATATCAGGAGCTAACATTAGTGTTGGGTCATAATGGAAGAGACATTCCTTAGAACTTAGCCCCTCATCAAGTGAGTTACAATGAGCTGGTTTTCAGAGAGGAAAAGCCTAGTGGGGTCATAGCTGTGGGGTGTGTCGTTTTGGGTTTGTTTTAAGAGTCAGGCTTGACTGGGACTCTCCATTGTGGAGGGAGGTGGCCAAGAATAGGGGAGGCAGATCAAGCTTGTTGGGGGTCAACCAGACAGGACGCACTTGAGAACATTTTTGTTGGGGAGTGGAGGATGATCAAAAGTGCATGTCAGTGTGTGGATATGCCATCCTGGAAGCTGTTGGCAGCAAGAGCACTGCACTTGTTGATTAGTCTCCCCCAGCACCCTTGGGAATAAAGACAATCAACCATCCTATACTACGGTAGGGGAAAAATAGGGTGGGCTTCTCACTGTCCCTGACACTGTTTCTGATCTCCTTCCTGATTCAGGGACCCCTCACTGCGCTTCACATCAGTCCGCTCTGCTTTTTTGCCCCACTGTCTCCCGTGTTTTCTGTGTTATGTAGGCAGCACCGTGGTGCAGTCACTGGTCTGACCTTCTCCCCAGATGGCAATTTGATGTTCAGTTCCTGCTCCCATGGGACTCTGGCTCTTTATAACTGTGCAGCCCAGAAGAGTCACGTCCTCAGAGTTCTGGGTAAGGGTTCTGCATCCCTCTTTCTGGTATTTTCTCCAGGGCTAACAGGCTCAAAATTCCATGAAGTAATTTTCAGAGGGCATCCTATGATCCTTTTGAGACAAAAAGAAAAGGAGTATTTGTGGCACCTTAGAGACTAACCAATTTATCTGAGCATAAGCTTTCGTGAGCTACAGCTCACTTCATCGGATGCACAAAGTGGAAAACACAGTGAGGATGTTTTTATACACACAGACCATGAAAAAATGGGTGTTAGAAAACCTTTTGAAGTGATAAACATCCGATGAAGTGAGCTGTAGCTCACAAAAGCTTATGCTCAGATAAATTGGTTAGTCTCTAAGGTGCCACAAGTACTCCTTTTCTTTTTGTGAATACAGACTAACACGGCTGCTACTCTGAAACCTTTTGGGACAAGTTAGCTGTATTTCTCTCATGCCTGTTAACACTGCTGTCACTGAGGGTCTGTTAACACTTCCATTGTAACTCTGGTTTCCAAAGGTTTGTAACTGGATTGATGTATTTTAACATTGCAGATAGGCTCAGATTGCATGTATATCCTCTTTCAGATTTAATGCACACTTATTTTTTTAAAAAAAGAGTGATGATAGAATTACAGTAGCACATAGAGGCCTCAACTGAGGTAGGGGGCCCCATTCTCTTAGGCACCATACAAACGGTGGGAGATGGCACCTGCCCCAAAGAGCCTCCAATCTAAACAGGCAAGACAGACAAAAGCTGGGAGTGAAAGCGGAGGCACAGAGAGAGGATGGGACTTGTACAGGGTCACACAACATGCCAGTGTGAGAACTGGGGATAGCGCCCACAGCTTCTTGACTCTGATCTGAAGCCAATGCCTTAGCCATATTGCCTCCCTTTTTTTCCTGCCCACTCCCAGAAATAACACATGGTCTTAAATCTAGTCTGGCCTTTTTCAGCAATAGGCTAAATATAGAGCAGTCATCTTGATTTTTATGATAAAAGACGATCTTTGAGTTCATCTACTAGCTAAAAATTACTTCACTGTACTGCAGTTTTTTGCAGCCACTTATCTTTATGGATTTAAGCTGTTTAAACCCTCGCTGAGATCCATGTGCAGTAACTGCTTGTCACAATCCCCTGCCTATGCTAAAAAAAAAAAAACTACAATAAAATCCAACTTCCTCCACTGATATTGCACTGTGGTACTGTGTGCCTCAAATATAATCCATTTGCTCAAATTGGAACCCCATTTCCAGGCCTCCCCAAATTTGGGGCTGTTCCAGATCTTGGTGTGAATGCTCTGATTCAGATCTGTCTTTAATGTGTGTATAATATCTGTTCAAGTCTGGCACCTTCCACAGCACAGATTGATCCTTAGCACCATGCTGGGGCACTGGTTCAGTGCTGATTCAGAGAGAGGAGCACCCCCTAAAACCTTAATAGCATGAATTTTATCTCAGCTGCAGTATATAATCAGTCATTCTCCCTTTAAGCTTTCTCTCCTTCCCATTTATCTCATTTACCCTGTGTTTTGTCATATCCAGCCAATGTGGTGTCCCAAGATGCTGAGCATGGTCCCAACACTTTGGCCGTTAGCGGGGATGGACGTTTCCTCGCCTTTGTGGGCCCCTCTAAGTACACTGTGACCGTTATGGACGCCCATTCTCTAGATGAGGTAACCAGAAGGAAGTTGCCTTGATCTAAAGGGAGAATAGAGTAGGAGGGAGGGCATTCCTAGCGTCACACACTGCAGAATGCTTTGCAGGAAAAGGAAAATAGATTTCTTCCCAGATGGTTAGAGAACTCCATAGACTCTACCAAATAGGATCTGACATAGCCCCTTTACGTGTCCTTCGCCATGTGGAAAATACTTGATGGTCCTGGGATGCGGTTTTGATTTCCTCCTTTTTGATGCTGCCGTGGGATGGAAACACCAAATCAGACTGTCTTCCTTCCACAATCACATGCAGCCCTTATGAAGCGAGAGGTGAAGTTGCTGAAAAGCAATAGGGAATCTTACAGCATCTGTACCTTTTTGAGGAAATGTCTTCTTGAGTAATGCACTCTTACAATGCCTGCCCAGAGCCACCACTTAATCAGGTAGCTTGAGAAGATTAAAGGGGAAAGAGAGTGAGGTACATTTTCCTCCTCCTCTAGCAGCCTCAGACAATAAAGCAGTGGGGAAAATGGTCTAAAAATATCCTCAGATTGTGTAGAAGTTCCTTAGGATTCCCTGCCATCTGGATGATTTCATGTGGAACTGTTCACTTCAGGAAGCTAGTGTTCAATAGCGTCTTGTTTCACAGCTACTGAGGATAGACGTCAGCATCCTGGACTTGGACAGCACCAACTTGGACTCTGCTCTGAGAATCTGCTTCGCTCCCATGCCTGTTGGTCACCTCTTGGTGTCCACTTCCTCCAACAAGGTCCTTGTTCTTGATGCCAAAACTGGCCGCTTGGTCCGAGAGGTAAGGAATTTGTGAAGCAAATGCTCTGTGGTCTCTGGGATATCATAGAATCATAGACTTTAAGGTCAGAAGGGACCATTATGATCATCTAGTCTGACCTCCTGCACAACGCAGGCCACGGAATATCACCCACTAACTCCTGTAACAAACCCCTAACTTATGTCTGAGCTATTGAAGTCCTCAAATTGTGGTTTAAAGACTTCAAGGTGCAGAGAATCCTCCAGCAAGTGACCTGTGCCCCACGCTTCAGAGGTAGGCGAAAAACCCCCAGGGCCTCTGCCAATCTGCCCTGGGGGAAAATTACTTCCCGACCCCAAATATGGCATTCAGCTAAACCCTGAGCATGTGGGCAAGACTCACCAGCCAGATACCAAGGAAAGCATTCTCTGCAGTAACTCGGATCCCACCCTATCTAACATCCCATCACAGGCCATATCTACCGCTAATAGTCAAAGATCAATTAATTGCCAAAATTAGGCTATCCCATCATATTATCTCCTCCATAAACTTATCAAGCTTTGTCTTAAAGCCAGATATGTCTTTTGCCCCCACTGCTTCCCTTGGAAGGCTGTTCCAGAACTTCACTCCTCTGATGATTAGAAACCTTGTCTAATATAAAGTCTAAACTTCCTGATGGCGAGTTTATATCCATTCGTTCTTGTGTCCATATTGGTACTGAGCTTAAATAATTCTTCTCCCTCCATGGTATTTATCCCTCTGATATATTTATAGATAGCAATCATATTTCCTCTCAGCCTTCTTTTAGTTAGGCTAAACAAGCCAAGCTCCTTGAGTCTCCTTTCATAAGGCAGGTTTTCCATTCCTCGGATCATCCTAGTAGCCCTTCTCTTTACCTGTTCCAGTTTGAATTCATCCTTCTTAAACATGGGAGACCAGAACTGCACACAGTATTCCAGATGAGGTCTCACCAGTGCCTTGTATAACGGTACTAACACCTCCTTATCTCAACTGAAAATACCTCACCTGATGCATCCCAAGACCACATTAGCTTTTTTCAAAGCCATATCACATTGGCGGCTCATAGTCATCCTGTGATCAACCAATACCCTGAGGTACTTCTCCTCCTCTGTTATTTCCAAGTAATGCGTCCCCAGTTTATAAGAGAAATTCTTGTTATTAATCCCTAAATGCATGACCTTGCACTTTTCACTATTAAATTTCATCCTATTACTATTACTCCAGTTTACAAGGTCATCCAGATCTTCTCTGTATGATATCCCTCAGCTTCCACACCTCTTGACAGTGAACACATGTGGACATGGGACTCCGTGATGAAGTCCTGGCAGTCACAGGCTTCTAAGAAAAACTGAGTCACCTGATGTACGTAGCTAATATGGTTATTCCCCAGATGAGGTTAAATCTGTTCTCTCCTGCTTTGCTCCCTCACACTCCTGTCACCCGGCTGAAGAGTACCACGTTTATCCAGATTCGGTGTGTCTAACAAACTTTGCAGTCTATGCATAGTTACGGAGTGATGTAGAATTGGAAGCAATCACAGACCTTCCATGTCTGGAACAGCTGGGCATCTTTGCCCCCTCTGTCCTACTGTTTGAAACTTTTTTTATCAGAAGAGGGCAAAAGTATTCCCTTGCATAAACCCCTTTTCCTCCCATTTCCAATTGGACACCTTATACAATCTGTCCTTATGTTTCTCTCTCTGATCAAGCTGGAAACAGCCGTTTCAGCTAGCAATGATGATGTCTTGTCTTATTCACAGGTGTCTCGTGTGCACAAGCTGTCCTGTTCTTCATTGGCACTGAGTGAGGATGCCAGGTACCTGCTGACGGCCGGTGACAGGGTTGTCAAAGTGTGGGACTATCAGATGAGGTTCGACATCAACTTTCAGGTACTGGACACAAGGGAAAAATCAGTGGCACCTTACATTTTTCCACTATGAATGCCACTTAGCTGTTCTGAGCAGAAAGCAATAGTGCAGCTAACCTCCTCCACGTGGGTTTGCCAATGGCCCTCAACCTTGATTTGTCCAGTACTGATCCATGGTTTCCCGTCATAACTGTGATAGTTTTGTCCAATGGGGCATGGATGGAGAACACCAAACTCATTTCACTTAATAATAATACTTAGTATTCTATAGCACTTTACCATCATTAAGTAATCCTAATCACACCACTATCCAGGACATAGATAGGTAGGCGTTACGCCTTTTACAGATGGAACAACAGAGAGCAGTGAAGTGGCTTGTTCAAGGTCACACAGGAGTTTGGCAGAGTCAGGATGAGGACTCAGGTTCTTCCAGTTTCCAATCCCATATTCAGTCCTCCAGACCATTGCAACCTCATTAAAGAATGACCCCAGAACTCAGCAGTGCAGGCCTGGTGTATGCACCCTCAGGAGGTACATAAGAGAACCTCTGTTAGGTAGTTTTGGACAGAATTCCCCCATACTGTATATCCAATATGGTACGATAACTATATAGAAAAATACTAAAGAGCCTTTTCTGGGAAGGCCCTTTACCACCTTTTCTGTGCTGAGGGGAACCATGAATGGTCCTGAGAACATGCAAAGGTGTAGCAGTTGAGCATTGGAAGTACAAGACATGCCCCTCCGCTCTTACTTTCTCCCAGGTATATATTGGCCACTCGGAGCCAGTGCGACAGGTGGCCTTCACCCCTGACCAACAGCACGTCATCAGCATTGGAGATGCCATCTTCCTTTGGGACTTCCTAGCTGTGTCCAGAGCAGAGTCACCCAAGGCTGAGTAAGGGCACTACAATCCTTCATCAAATCTCATTGGCTTGGGAACACTTTCCATGGTTCCCCTCTCTCTCCTGTTCTCACCCCCATTGTTGTAATTCTTGTCTCATTACCTTTCCAGCATTCATCCCTATGTTGAGTCCCTTGTGCCTCCGAGAGCTGGTGAGTTTGCCTCTTTCATTTTGTTGCACATTCAGACACATTTTTCCAAATCTGTTTTCAGGACACAGGAGAGCCTTGAATTGGTTATAAATGGGTTTTTACTCTTTGGCCAAGGATGCCAGGGCACTAAGAGCTAATTTCCTGTTAGTGCTAGGGATTAATCTTCAGTTTGAAATCTCCAACTGATTAGTGTTTCCCCTTGTCACAGAGACCACTGCTGGGGAGGGCAAGGGCAAAGTGTGTCAGCCATGGGCTAGCTGATAAACTTCTTCCTCATCTCTTCTATCTCTTACTCTTCTTCCTCCTCTGCTCTGTTACCTTAATTTCTCCTGCGTTTCTCTCTCTCCGCTGTCTCTTGCTTCTCACCTCTCCCTGTCTCCCTTTTCTCTTCTCCTGAGGACAAAAGGATAAGGCATCTGTAAATGACTTCATCTGGGTATGAGGAAGCTGGAGAGCTGAGCATATTGGTACTGTATTGCCATTGCCTCAGCCTGTCTTCAGAGGACATCAGAGGGAATTACCCAGTCCCCTTTTCTGTTCACAGAAACTAGCTCTGAGAAGCTAAAGGATTTTACATCCAGTGCCAATGAGATACCTCGCCAGTCAGCTCCTCTTCCATCTCTGGCCTCACCACCATGTCTGGACATCAGTTCTATCCACCAAGCAGGACGTGATGGTGAGAAGAGGAATCACCTGTAGAGAAGGGGAATTAAAGTTTCGTTGGGGAAAACTCCCTCTATAATTCAACAGTTGCCCTGGCACCTCTTCCCTCCACCTCCATTTCTTCCTGTAGGTTGAGATGAGCAGCTCTGCACCTTTCCTTCCCAGCCTAGTACTGTCTGGTAATTTTTGGTGCCACTTTTTCCCTTGCCCCCTGGTTCCATCTACTGAACTGCTGGCCAAGCATTTCCAGGAGTTCTGTGAATATCTCTGATCTCTGACCTTTGGTGAATGCCCAGATTCTCCCCACAGGCAACAGGAAAATCCTACTTTGTTTTATAACCTCTCTGTAATTGAAGGGTCAGCCACTCATAAAATAAACTCTGAGAAGCACAGAATAACTCTCCCCTCATTTCTACCAATGTTCCTTTGCAGATATTTTCTCTGAGTCAGATGAAGGGGAGGAAGCAGGTCTGAAAGGTAGCAGCAGAGAGGCTTCAGATGGAAACAAAGACCACTCGACCCTTGTCATGGAGGAACCAGTCGAGAATGAGGAAACTCTTGTTGTGAGGCCCAAAGTGAGTCAGGAGTGTTCGAGGTCTCCCAGTCACTCAGGAAATGGTAAATCAAGGGGTATTCTGGGCCTTTGAAGAGCTTCGCTCCTTTGGGGAACAAAAAGAGCATTCACCTGCAAGGCAGTGTGCTTCTAGTAATAAAATAAATGAGGGAAAATCCATGAAAATATAGACACAAGTGGAAAGTGTATGTTGCATTCTGTATGGTGTCTGTAGAAATACTAATGGCCTGCCATGGGTTTCTGGGAGGGATGTGATTTAAGCCACAAGATCAAATGCAGTATGCATTCCTAGAATTCCCAGGTGATATTTTCCTTCTTTTGGATATCATTTGCCGAAAAGAATAGAGTAAGGGAAATTTGTTTTGGTCTCTGTGACCATTTGTTGTTTCTCTGTCTCCCTCCCTGGTCCATCTCCATCTCTGCTGCTGCTGCTTCTAAGCACACAGGAGTCCTTTCCACCATGTAACCTGTCTCTGCTTTGAAGTTGTGCTTTCTGTTAAGGCTTTCAATGTGTCTATTAATAGAAATACAACCTCAACACTGCAGCACCTCATGGCTAGCTGCCAGAGGCATGAAGCTGCCAGTGCACAAAGCCTCAGGCAAGATCTGTGAGAGAGCTTCCGTTTAAAAGTAAGGCTTGTCTCACTATTAAGTCGTGGCTTTCTGTTTGCTTGGCTTGTCTCCTCAGGTACTGAGACCCATAGTGCACAGTGTGATAGTACTTTGAGTTTGTGGAGTATCTGTCACCCTGACAAAATGACAGAAATAGGTTATTGAATTATAGTCTGTTTTTACACCTGGTATGCTGGCATTTTCCAACCAGAGAGGAGATTGTGTAGGAAAATACGTATATGACCCTGCACCTGGTGCAGCCATTTGCACCTGGTGCAGCCATTTGCACCTGGGCAGAGTGGGTGTGAATGTTATATTCTGATTGGGTCATTTTACACCCCCTTTGTACTGGTATAAATGACTACACAAGGTGCAGGACAGTGGAGAATCCAGCCTGTGTGTGTGTCCATGTGTACACACCTCTTCAACATCCAGAAGGCTAATAAACCAGAACATTAACTGGCCTAGTTGCTCAAGATGCACCATTACCATGAGCAAAGTTAGGCTTATTTTATGTTTTGTGCTAGAACCTAGAAAGGAGACCAAGGGTCCTGAACCCCAGCACTATATCCGCCCAGATTCCTACAGGCACTTTACTCCTCGCTTCAAAGCATCCGTGCTCCCCAAGGTAAGAATTGCTGCAGTGCTAAGAGTCTGGCCAGATAAAGAGCAGGAAAGGTGGTTTTGGTTTGGTTCTTTCCTAATGTAGCTTCCTTTTTATACCTCCGGCAGTGCAAAGGATTTTGTGAAATGCACTCCCACGTTTTAGAAACCCTTAGCATTAGTCTCACTTTCTGTTATGACCACAGATGAGTTGACTATGATCTTTCCATAAGTGGTTTTGGGTCACTTATTTTTCTGTGCACATCTGTATATTCTTTGTTCAAAAGATACTGAGAGTGCAAGAGAAGTACTTAGAGTGCTTCAGAGAGTCTGTAGGCACGTGTTTGAGAGCAGATGCCTTTCCCAGTCTGCTGTACCAACACAATTCACACCTTGTAGAAAGTCCAAACTTACCCCTTCCTGGGAGTCAGCTTTATTGGCAAACAAATCAATGAGAACATAAATTTCAGCTCAATCCTTCTTCCCTGGTTTCGCAGCTCCTAGACTTCCTCCCTCGGGACTGCTCACTCACACTCTAGATCCCCTGTTCTGCAGAGAGCTACTCCCACCTCCCTTATCTCCAAGTGGGGTAAATAAGCATCCCTGTCAGTAAGTCAGCAGCATCCATTTAACCCTTTCCCAACAGCACTACCACCTACTCCCCAGGTGGGGTGTTTGGGGAAACCCTGCCAACCTGTTACAGGATGCTGGTGTATATATGTATCTGGAAGAGCATATATATCTAGTCTGGGTTTCACTTTTTGTATGTGTAACTACAGAAATGGGTGGGCATGTGTTTGACTGTTCAACTTTGTGTGTGTGTGTGTGTGTGTGTGTGGTAGTTCCTGTGCGACTATTTAGAATTGAACTGACATGGAGCATCCTGACAAACGTGGTCTTGAACCAGTGTCTGTTTTCCTTGCAGAGTGTCTTGTATCCCCCAGCTGGTAACGAGGGCCTGAAATTAAAGGCAGTCATTGGCTACAATGGGAATGGAAGGGGGAATATGGTCTGGAACCCAGACACAGGTACTCTAGGGCTTAGTCTTCAGGGAAGTGTGTGTGTGTGTGTATCCCAGCACTTCTGTAATGGTACATTAAATGTGCAAACGTTGCACAGTTAGACGAGTTAAATCAGGGGTTCTCAAACTGGGGGTTGGGACCCCTCAGGGGGTCGCAAGGTTATTACCTGGGGGATCGTGAGCTGTCAGCCTCCACCACAAACCCCGCTTTGCCTCCGGCATTTATAATGTTACATATACTAAAAAGTGTTTTTAATATATAAGGGGGTCGCACTCAGAGGCTTGCTATGTAAAAGGGGTCACCAGTACAAAAGTTTGAGAACTACTGAGTTAAATAGTCTTGTTGCCATCCACATGAGAGCTTCACTCTGCTGCAGTGAGTATATTTTGTACCATAGGGGACCCTTTTTATGTTGGAGCGATACATCAGCAATACAGGCATGTTGGAGAATCCTATTAGCAAAGTAATTTCCAGCTTTTAGTTGTTCATCTCACATGATGGCAGGGAAGAGAGCTTGTTGTTTTATAGGCCGTCTCACCTCTTTGTGTCAGCGCTGAAGATGCAGAAGAGCTTTTCTTTATCAAAGGGGGAGGAACAGAGATTTCTACCTCTGCCCATTCCCTGATTGGAAGGACACCCTATGGCCTGTAATGAAAAGGCAGTTAACTCTAAAGCACTCTAGACAGAAGAGTTAGTTTCACTTCTGTAATTATGCTGTGTAGGTTAGATGCAACAGTGTATGGGCCTGTACACAAGGCCTCCGTGCAGACCTCTCCTGATGTCATATCTCTCGTCTTCACACTGCACCTAGGTTTTTTTGCCTATACCTGTGGGTGCGTGATTGTGGTTGAAGACCTGCACTCAGGATCGCAGCAGCATTGGATTGGCCACCCTGAAGAGATCTCTACTTTAGCAGTCAGCCATGATGCCCAGGTATGAATGTCTCCTGTCCTCCTGGAGAAGCTTTGGTTTGGCTATATGTACTATTTGCCCTTGACTGGATGGACTTTGCTGAATGAGCTCCTATGTGTATCTGTTTCCTCTTCTGCCTGAGCTGCTTCTCTAGCCCACTGCATAGAGACTCTGGTTTTTGGAGTTAAAGCATGCATGTGCTAATCCTCATGCCACATCTGCAACTAGCTCTGGCACTTAATGCTGTGTGTATGTGGCCATGAAGCTTTCACTCTTCTCTTGTGTGTTTTTTCATCAGGTGCCTCCATCCTTATGAATCTGTAGAGCTTTCCTCTTGCCATCTGTATGAGTTCACTTCTGGTTTAATACATAGGGCTTGTTGACTCTCCTAGAACACCCATATAATTTTTTATTGAGTTCCCAATGGTGATATATTACTGTTTTGCCAGGTTCTCGCCTCTGCCTCTGGCCAGGGGAATGGAGACTCACGCTGTCAGATCCGGATCTGGAACGTACAGGATGGGACTTGCCAAAAAGTTATTTTCCATCACGAGACCCAAGTACAGGCCATGGCATACTCTCGTGACGATAGGCTCCTTGTTACACTAGGTTAGTCATCTGAACCTGTAAGCTATGAGCTTGTGTAGGATGTCTCCAGGACAGCCAGCTGGTATAAAGAGGTCACTGAGGGTATGGTATCCACAGGGTATTTAGGTGTAATGAGGTCACTTGGGGCATAGAGTTAGGATGTCAAGTTGCTGTTACACAGTCACCTGGCTCACTGGATGTCTACAGAATGCACACACGATGTGATAGGGTCATTTTTGGTGTCTCTTCTGTATAAGATCACTAGGTTGGTATAGGACTTGACATAAGGGAAGCTGGTAGTACATGTTTAAGCAAAGGGAGTTGAAGTTTAAGTTGTGTCTACGTTAAACTGGGGGGAATTCTGATTAATTTAATATGGAAATGTACAACATGTATATGAAATTAAAGTGATATCCTAAAGTTCTTACTGTCTTTCATGTCATATATAGGGGACTACAGTGACCGGACCCTCGCCCTGTGGAACACCCATACTTATGACCTAATGTCGTCCACCCATTTCTTAGAACCAGTTCACGAGGTGGCCTTTAACCCTCTTTTTGATGGTGAACTTGCCTGTGTAGGCAGGGGAGCAGTGGCTTTCTGGCTAATTGAGCAGCGGGGAGCTGACATCAGCCTCAAGGTACATAGAATCATAGAAGTGTAGGACTGGAAGGGACCTCAAGAGGTCATCTAGTCCAGTCCCCTGCACTCAAGGCAGGACTAAGTATTATCTAGACCATCTCTGACAGGTGTTTGTCCAACCTGCTCTTAAAAATCTCCAATGATGGAGATTCCACAGCCTCCCTAGGCTATTTGTTCCAGTGCTTAACCACCCTGACAGGAAGTTTTTCCCAATGTCCAACCTAAAACTCTCTTGCTGCAGTTTAACCCCATTGCTTCTTGTCTTATCCCCAGAACAGGACACAATACTCCAGCTGAGGCCTAATTAGCACAGAGTAGAGCGAAAGAATTACTTCTAGTGTCTTGCTTACAACACTCCTGCTAATAAATCCAAGAATTATGTTTGCTTTTTTTGCAACAGTGTTATGCTGTTGACTCATATTTAGGTTGTGACTCACTGTAACCCCCAGTACTCCTTCCTAAGTAGTCATTTCCCATTTTGTATGTGTACCACTGGTTGTTCCTTCCTAAATGGAGTACTTTGCATTTATCCTTATTGAATTTCATCCTATTTACTTCAGATCATTTCTCCAGTTTGTTCAGATCATTTTGAATTTTGATCTTATCCTCCAAAGCACTTGCAACCCCTCCCAGCTTGGTATCGTTCGCAGACTTTATAAGTGTACTCTCTACGCCATTATCTAAATCATTGATGAAGATATTGAAGAGAACTGGAGCCAGAACTGATCCCTGCAGGACCTCAATTTTGACTGTGAACCACTGATAACTACTCTCTGGGAACGGTTTTCCAGCCGGTTATGCCCCCACCTTATAGTAGCTCCATCTAGGCTTGTATTTCCCTAGTTTATTTATGAGAGGGTCATGCGAGACAGTATCAAAAGCCTTACTAAAGTCAAAATATACCACATCTTCTGCTTCCTCCCATCCACAAGGCTTGTTACCCTGTCAAAGAAAGCTATTACCACAAGGCTTGTTACCCTGTCAAAGAAAGCTATTAGGTTGGTTTGACATGATTTGTTCTTGACAAATCCATACTGACTGTTACTTATCACCCTATTATCTTCTAGGTGTTTGCAGATTGAACATCTGAACTTCTCCTTTCTATTTGTCAGACTTTGCCTTGTCTCCTTTTAAAGCCCACACAGTAATTGATATGAAAGGCTCTGCCATTTCTAGTCTGTGCCAGCGGGTGGGGGCGATTGGTTTCTCTTAGGCTATGTCTACACTACCACGGGATCAAGGCTCTGGCGATCGATGCACCAGGGGTCGATTTAATGGGTCGAGTGAAGACCCGCTTTATCGATGGCAGAGCACTCTCCAGTTGACCCCTGTACTCCATCCAGAATGAGAAGAGTAAGGTAAGTCGACAGGAGAGTGTCTCCTATCGATCCAGCGCGGTTAGACACTGCAGTAGGTTGACCTAAGATATATTGACTCCAGCTACGTTTTTCACGTAGCTGGAGTTGCATAACTTAGGTCGACTTACCATGGTAGTGTACACATAGCCTCAGTGATGCAACACCTACTGATGGTGACTGGTTTTCAGTTAATGCTAAAGTATTGGGTGAATTAACTTAATTTGGGGGTGGTTTTTAAAAATAAACTATCATGATCTCTCTGACCTTGCTGCTTTTTGTTATGTGGCAGGTTCATAGAGCTGCAATCCCTGATACGGTAGGACTGGTGGAACTGACATCTCTCTGCTACAGCACCAACTACCTTCTTTATAGTGGGACCAACACAGGACAGATCTGTGTGTGGGACACACAGACCAATCGCTGTTTCATGACTTGGGAGGCTGATGAGGGTGAGATTGGTAAGTACAGATGCTGCTGGCTTCTGACGGGATTGCGTCTTAAATTCCACAGAGACTTGAGAGGAAAGAAGAATCTTGGCCCTGCTGGACCCTGATTCCAGCTGTTTCTCAGTGCTTAATGCTAAGTCACTGGCAGATGCTAGAATGGATTGGAGCTAGATTCATGCCATATCTGGTGCAAGTATGCATGCATACTTCCTGTGCAATTGCTAAGAGGCCTGGGTTCAGCCTCCAAATTCTAGAAACCTCTGGATAGCAAACCAGAGGCCTTGGGTTCAGACCCCTGCTAGTATAGCCACTCCTCCTCCTCCCAAACATTTACCAGCGAACTTAGTTGGTAGAGTCTATCAATCCCTTTATAATGATCAACAAGTATGGGTATTAACGTTGCATTAAAGCATTTCCTTTCTGTTGTCCTAGGTGTGCTTCTGTGTTGTGGCAACAGGCTGGTCAGTGGCAGCAACACAAAGAGAATTCGACTGTGGTCAGTGGCAGCGGTGCAGGAGCTGAGGCTGAAAGGTTCCGATGCCAGGTGAGGTGGCTTGTGTATGCAGTGTCTAACTCATGTTTGCACAAACCTGAAGAGAGTGGTTTGTGCTGAGATACATAGCTACTCAGTCCACTCTCTGGACATACCTTCTCCTTCCTCTTGTACTCCCTGAACACAGTAGGTGGTATCTTTTCATTGGCAGAGGTAGGCTTTTGACTAGCCTATGCAATTGTTTCTCTTGTCCTTTAATTCTTAGCTCCTCCTCTAAATTCCTGTGACTCTTGGTTCATTGGGTCTGGATTCTCTTGGAATTCAAGGTGGAAATTTCTGGCTGTTCCTTTCTTATCCTTGTCCGAAGGAGTTGGGGTTTAGAACACCTACAATTCTTTTTGTGTATGTCTGTGACAAGCCCAAGTATCACATTTTTTGAACCAGACACAATTTGCATTTTCTTCATTGGCGTATTTTAGCATGTGCAGATAGGTATTTAATCCTGGGCAGGCTTAAAGAATGTTCCATCTCCTTACTGATCATGTCACTAGTGGTAGACATTCTTGGTACTAAAAATATTTGGGTTTACCTCACCTGATCTCTGTCTTGGTGATTTGTAAAACCTCTTTTAGCAGGAAAGAGAACTGAATTTGCTTATTCTGTCTTGGAAAATTGCATCCCTTGCTTCCCCTTTAACAACTGTGACTCCCTCTCTTCTCAGCAAAGTCTATCCCAGCACAATGTGGGGCCACCATCATCTTTCCTACAGGAGTTCAGCCTGTGGAGACTACAGATCTTAGCATGCAATACGCCATCCTGATCTGAGCAGCCTTCTGGTCTCCTTGGGATGTACTTCTGCTTTGTCTTAAGTTTTTATAAGGCACCTGTCACCATGGTATCTAAGCATCCTAAAGGCAAGCTCAGCTTGCAATATGCTATATTGTGTTCAAGTTAAGTGTGGTCTTCGAATGCACTATGAACTGCTAATGTATCCCTTAGCTGAGCCAAGCTTTGATGCCCCACTCTAACTCTGAAATTCCAAGGACAAGGAAATCTTCCCCGAATTCCTTTCCCCAGATTTCCTGTCAAGAATTGTAATTCCTGCAGAATAATTCCAGCTCACTACAGGAAGACCTGCTATTCAGTCAGTCTTTTGCCATGTAGTCATTTGTCCCAGCCTTACATAAAGCTGCTTATTTTACTGTTCCACTTACATGTTACGTTGAACAAGGCAATACTGAGGTAATGTGTCTGCTCTACAATTCAGAACCCTTGCATGTGCTTTTGTCTTGTTGGAAAGCTAAGTCAGCCTTAGTTGTCTTGTTAAACTAAACTATTTAGACAGCTAAGCCTTTTACAGCACAAGTATTTGATAAATATCTTTGTACATGTCAACTCTTCTCTTTTTCTAACTTTTTTTTTTTTTTACCTGTGGAATATATTGGATCAAATTAAGGAGGCATAGTGGGTGATCAAAATAATCCTTTTAGAGCTTCTTTCCTAATTCCCCCAGAAAGATGGTTACACTGTATGGTTAAGGTAGTCACTAGCTGCAGTTCTAATGAGCCCATCACTGTAGTATCTATGTAGTTAAAGATAACCATATTGTCCTTACGACACTCCCAGACAATTTTCCCATGAAGGTGGGATAATGGTTGTCTTCTACCAGCTTGAGGATGTAGCTAGTTATTTTGTATATTCCACTCTGGACTCCACTTTCCTCCAGGTCTAGCTCAGTCCTTTTGGAACACGAGATGACCCTGGATGGGACAATAGTTGGTGCAACCTTTGATGACTCTCTGGATATGGGAATTGTGGGCACCACTGCAGGAACACTGTGGTACATAAACTGGGCAGAGAGCACCAGCATCCGACTAATCAGCGGACATAAGAACAAGGTGAGAGGGATTGGAAGGGGTGTTCCTGTGCTGTAAGGAAGCACGTGTTCCAAGTGCCACCTGAGCCTGAGGTCCAACGCACTTTGAGGATGCTTACATCGCAGACGGGCTGGTTGGCCCTACTGAGAGAAATTGCACTGCTCGAGCCTTGACTAATACTGATAGGGCACTGGTGAAAGAGCTGTCACTGTAATCTAGGCAGTGTTGCCTAATGAATAGAGCACTGCACTGTGACTTGAGAGACTATTCCAGGCTCTGCCACTGGCCTGTTGAGCAAGTCACTTCACTTCTGTGCCTCAGTTTCCCCATCTGTAAAATGTGGATGGTGATACTGACCTCCTTTGTAAAGCACTGTGAGATCTATGGATGAAAAGTGCTATAGAAGAGCTAGGTAATATTATCTCCTCCAAGAGAGAAAGATGGTCTTGTGGCTAAAGCAGAGGACTTGAAAGCCAGGAAATCTGGGTTCTCTTTTCTGTTTTGCCACAGACCTCCTTTATGGCCTTGGTCAAGTCAGTTAACTGCTCTGTGTCTATCTCTTGTAGTAAAAAGAGGGAAATCCTGAGGCATCTCACAGAACCATTGGGGCTTAATTTATGTACAACATTGGGACCTTGGATAAAAGGCACTCTAGAAGTGCAGTGTTACTTATTAGCTAGACTTCTCAAATGGATAAAGTGGTCTTCTGTCCAGAATACTGGAAAATGTGTCTGACAGGTGTCAGTCTTGATGCTACATTGCACTACATTTGTGCCACTAAAAAGGGCTGGAAGAGAGGGTAACTAGATTGGTAATGGGATATGGAGACTTCCCTTCTGAGACCTTCATTATGGAACAAGCAGTCAGAACTTTGCTATTATGGTTCTAAATTTCCATTATAGCCCTCACTAATTTTAATTACCACCATCCCCCGGCATCCTTTTAAAAAAATCTTCCTTTCCTTTCTTCTGTGCTGTCTCCTACCAGAGGAGAACTTGATGGGGGCAGGAGAAGCTATGGGTAAGGAATAGGGGCAGATGTGCAACTTGCTTTGGCATTTGTGGAGTGTCAGTCCCCTTTGTTGCTGCAGGTGAATGAAGTGACCTTCAGCCCTGGTGAGTCTCACTGTGCCACATGTGGGGAGGATGGCAGTGTGAGGGTTTGGTCTCTGGCCAGCATGGAGCTGGTGGTACAGTTTCAAGTGCTGAATCAGGTAATCATTTAGAGTGTGTCAATGTCCTATGTTGTCTTGATAACAGCCACTATCTGTTGTGGATGAGATCTCTTTGTCTTCACTGAATGAACTAGAGTTGGGAGAAATATTTGTAACTGAAGGCTTTAGGTATGAAATCTATGTAGATTAGCAGCATTCTCATGTCTTCATTGTGTGGGAGTGGAGAAGTAACCCACACGCACCTCCTTGGAACATACTGCTCCTTCTTCCCATGTCTCTAATCTTGTTCCTTTGCAGAGCTGCCAGTGTCTGGCCTGGAGCCCTATCCCCATCTCCCGTGGTGGGGCTGAGGGTCAGCATGTTGTGGCAGGGTACAGCGATGGCACCATCCGTGTGTTCAGCATTTCAAGGACAGAGATGGAACTGAAAATGCACCCACACTCGGTTGCGCTGACTGCAATTGCCTACTCTGCAGATGGTGAGATCACATGCTGCTTTTCATAACCAATCCATTGGTGCTGCTTCAAGGAGCATAGTTTGGCCTTGCAGCTCCGTTTCTCTGTGCTTGGAGGAGACCGCTCTAACCTCCAGCCACTCCAAATACTGGTGACCCTCCCAAGGCCCCGGGCCAGATTCTAAGATGGAGAATAGAAGTCAATGAAACTATGCCAGTTCTCACCAGCTATATATCTGGCACCATGCCATGGTACAGTAGCTTTGGTACAGCTCAGGGACTTGGCACATAATGAAGCTTGCTTCTGCTCAAAACTCATGCTAGCTATTTTTCTGAAGCAGTGTTTTAAACTGAAGTAAATGTTCCTGTGTCTTTTCATCTCACTTCTCCTCTCTCACCCCCAGGACCAGATTGTTCCAGCTCCGGCATGCGCTCAGAAAGCTTGAGTCAGGCATTCCTGCAGGCTTCCCCTTTTTGTCTTTTCTCCATCTGCAGGAAGTTGATTAGCTCTCTCCTCTCCCCTATCTGCAGGAGAAATCATCTTGTCTGGAGGCAAGGATGGGCTAATGGCTGTCAGCAGCCCTCGGACTGGAATGACCATTCGTGTGCTCATTGACCACAAAGGATCCCCCATCACAGTCATCCAGTGCACAAGGAAACAGGTGAGGCCTGAGTCCAGCTGCTGTAGCACTCTTATGCTAGAGCAAGGTGTCCATTGTACTGTTAGTCCACAGCCATAGAAAGCTGCAGATACGGGGACAGATGAATTACTGAGCTGCTTCGTTTACTGTCCCTCTACATGATTTCCTTCTCTAGCCTATGCCACCTCCACTGAATCTTGTTTGGTTTGTTTTGGAGTATCTTCAACAGAGTAAAGTCAAGTATGACAGGGTGCAGTAGTAGCATGATGTACACAGAGTGGGTGGGTCCTCAGCTTCCCACCACCCAGGGGAGCTAAATGTCTAATCACCTGCTGCTGTTCCCTTGCTACCAAAAGTAGCACTTGAAGCTCCAAAGAACTTGAGGAGTTCTGCTGCAAGACCAGGAAGTATCCACCACTAACTGTGCCGATGGAGTGGGAGAGGGAATTTGGGACTTTTATATAAAGGAGACCATGACAGCGCTGGCTAGAGCCAGCACAGTGAAGTTAGACGCTACAGTCTCTTGCCACATACTCTCTGCCAGTGAACAGTCTGAAGCAACCCTGTTCCTTCAACCCTGAGCTTAGAGAAAATTATGCCACAAACTGCTGAGTTGTTTTGATGTGTACAGACATCTACCGAGTGCCAGTCTGAGGCACCAAGCCTGTTTCACCTGTGATAAAATAGACTTAAGCACTATTCTCCAGATGGGAAAAGCTTGCGCATTAATCCTCTGTCATTAATCGCCCACTCTCTAAGATTTTAGTGCAGATAAGCTTTTGCCCTGTGATAGCCTATTAGGCCACGTCTACACTACCCGCCAGATTGGTGGGTAGTGATAGATCTATCGGGGATTGATTTATTGCGTCTAGTGTAGACACGATAAATTGATCCCCGATCGCTCTGCTGTCGACTCCGGAACTCCACCAGGGCGAGAGGCGGAAGCGGAGTCGATGGGGGAGTGGCAGCCGTCGATCCCGCGCCGCGAGGACGTGGAGTAAGTGATTCTAAGTCGATCTAAGATACGTCAACTTCAGCTACGCTATTCTTGTAGCTGAAGTTGCATATCTTAGATCGATCCTCCCCCCGCCCCGCCCCCCAGTGTAGACCAGGCCTTAGTGTTCAGTTTTATTTGAAAGCTCTGCTGTGTTATTGCTTTATGTCTGTACAATCATAACTGTGCTTTTATATTCTGTAGTACCATGACTTTGGCGTTGAAGGTGGTGAACTCTGGTTGGCTGCAAGTTCAGATCGACGTGTCAGTGTCTGGGTCTCTGCCTGGCTGAAGGATAAATGTGAGCTCATCGATTGGCTAAGCTTCCCAGCTCCTGCAAGCCTGGAGGTAAGATTAAACCTTACTGACTATATAATATGTACATTCAGCATTACAGCCAAAGCCAGGAGTAGAGCAGATCCATCCAACACATGTGCACTATTACCTGTTTCTACTTGCGAAAGGTTTACCTAGGAACCGTTAACAATCAAGGTGTGTGTATATAAACAGAACAGTGTGGGGTTTTGAATCTTCCTTTAAGATGTAGATTTTCAATGTGAATGCAGCACTGCATAATTCCTGAGAGGGTATTTGCTTTGTAAGCATTTCAAGTCAAAACATTAAATTTGCAAATAGTTGGTACCTCTGTGCTATATAAAACACAGGGACAGGATTTTTCTGAGTATATGAACCAGGAGTCAGCAAGGTCGGTATACAAAGAGAGAACTAACTTGGCTGCTCAGAAATAGCATTAATGTTCTGATCGAGTAGCCTCATGGTTACATAGGTTACTGCAGTCCAGGTATATCCATTCCAAATCTGTCTTACGCACGGAACATCCCAAGTGTATGGCATTTCACAGAACACTTAGGCAGGGTCCCTGACCAGAACTTCTGCCCCAAATTAGATACAAGACCTAGAACAACAGTTGAGACATGAGACAGTGAGGAGATTGATGTAAGAAGGCTTTGGGAAAGAAGTGGGTTTTTGGGGGAAGAGGAGGATCCTTACTGCACAGGAAGTGGAGTGGTATGTGGAAGAATGTAAGTGGTAGGTAACTCTTCTGATGTGAAGCAGCGGCTCATCAGATTATCAAGTTTAAGCTTCATTAGTCTTAGATACCGCATTGGCAGATTCAGCAGTAAGTCTGGTGACGCCACTTCAAGTTTTTTCTGTTTGTCCTCAAATGTTAAAGAGGTAGTCGTACTCACTGTGCAGGCAATGGGCTGTCCAGCTGAGTTCTCACCACAATGAATTGGAATGAGTTTTACTGTTTCAACTAGATTGGCATCCAGTACCAGGGATTTGAACTTTTTGAAACTATTTTCACTCCCTGAGAAATTAACCACCCCATCAATATCCATGACTTACTCTAGTATTTTCTCCTAACAGTGTAAATGATGCTGAGTGGTATTTAGTATGTTAAATCCTGCTCATGTCATATGATCCTACTACAGTATACAGTGGAGACTCATGTTACGTGCCCAGGTCGATGTACATTTGTTCTTCATTCGTTAGCAGTGAGCACATCTGTGTTGTAGTGCAGCATAAGAACAGGGGAAAGTTCCTCCATAATATTAGCTGCATAGTGTCGTGGGTCACAAGCTTCTGCTACTGACAGATCCAAAGAAGAAATGCTGACACACCTAACCACTCTCCTTTCTTTTTCCCAGCATGCCTGGCCTTGCTGAAATAAGTGGGGAGAAGTTAGTGCTAATTCTGCTCCTTTTTTGTTTCCCTTCCTAGGCCCCTAGCAGTCTCCCTCCTAGCCTGGCGGCTTTCTGTCCATGGGACAATGGTGTTTTGGTGTACGTAGGCTTTGGGATGCAGAAGGAGATCCTCTTTTACAGCTTGCGCCAGAAACAGGTACACTGTGTCTTCCCTCTCCAATCTGCCATCATCAATGGGGCAAGTTCACGAGAGGAGTTACAAGTTGCTACAAACTCCTCTGTGCTGATATTGGAAAACTGTGTCATTCACCCTGGTCACTGAGTCCAGCTTTAGCTCATGGCGAGTGACACACAACAAAAATAATATAGAGGATAATGTGGTGCTCCTCTGCCATGGCTTTGGAAACCTAAAGGCCAAACAGATGTAGCATGGGAATGCTGCAGTGAAAGATAGCCATGATGCTTGAGTGTCAGTATTCTCTGTGGCACCCCAATATACAGAGCAGCACCCAGTGTAACTGATGTGGGCCAGCAGTCTAGCAGTTGAAATAGAATGAAACATGGTGCATGTGTGTGGTGGGGTTGGGGATGGTAGATTCTGCCTAACAGACAGCTAATGGTACAGCTTTTCACTCCCACAGACCTCTTTAAGTCTGACATGGGTCACCAGTGAATAGCTGGGAGTGCTGAGGCTCAAGGTAGAGCTGCATGCATGAAGCTTGCAAAGCACCTAACTGCTGCCACTGCTCTGCTTTTTGCTTTCATGAACATTAATATTCTCAGAGGTAACATCTTTTATTGGACCAGTTTCTGTTGGTGAAAGAGACAAGCTTGAAACTCTTAAGACTGCTCTGGAAATGAAGAGCTTGGCAACTTCCTGAGCTCAGAGGGGCTGAAGGATAAATGTGCAGCTGTCAGTGCTGGTGACCGTCTGTCAGCTGACCTCCAGCAGAGTATCAGTTAACGGCTCTATTCTGCTGCACATTCATTTTGAGGCGCTGGTGTCAGGGTTTCTCTTGCTTTCATGCAGGTAGTTGAGAAGATCCCCTTGTCACACTTTGCCACATCTTTGAGCCTGTCTCCAGCAGCACACTTCCTGGCTGTAGGCTTCAATGGTAAGTGTCCAGAGGACATGCTCAAGTCAAACACTGCCACACATGGATCCCCTCCTTCCTGGCATACTGTTAGCGGTGGCTGCACCAGGAACAACAGTTCACCTGTGATTCTGGGGGTGTCTTCCATTCCCCATCTCTGCATGAACAGCCAAGTCTTTCTTTCTTTGTTAGCAACCAAAAAAAAACCCCTTCTTTATGTGGAGGTACTGCCTGTGGGGTGCAGGGAGTTTCCTCCAGCTCCATGAGCAGGATGTGCTTTAATCAGGTAGAAAAAGGCATGAGATCTCATGGTTGAAAGCTGAAGTTAGACAAATTCAGACTAGAAATAAAGCACAATTTTGTTTTCAGTGCAGGTAATTAACCACTGGAACAACTTACCGAGGGATGTGGTGAATTCTCCATCTCTCTAAATCAAGACTGGGTGTCTTTGTGAAACAGATGCTCTAGCTCTGGTTCTCAAACTTCATTGCACTGCAACCCCCTTCTGACAACAAAAATTACTACATGACCCCAGGAGGCAGGACCCAAGCCTGACCCCCATTGCCCCAGGACGGGGGCCAAAGCCCAAGCACGAGCCCTACCGCCCAAAGCCAAAACGCTCCATCCCCAGCCAGGGAGCCTGTAACCTAAGCCCCGATGCCTAGGGCTGAAGCTCTCAGGCTTCGACTTTGGTACCTGGTGGTGGGACTTGGGTTTCAGCCCTGGGCTCAAGCAAGTCTAAGCCAGTCCTGGCAACCCCATTAAAATGAGGCCGTGACCCACTTTGGGGTCCCGACCCACAGTTTGAGAATGGCTGCTCTAGCACAAACAGAAGTTATAAGCTAGATGCAGGAATCACTGGCTGAGGTTTTCTGCCCTGTATTATGCAGGAAGTTGGGCTAGATGAGCATATTGGTTCCTTCTGGCTTTAAAATTTATGTAGCTATGTCCTCCTCCTTTTTGAGAACATTTCATTAAATTGTCTCCTTGTCTATAGGTTTGCCAGGAAAGCTCTAAATGACGCAGTATCTCTACGTGCATGTTCTGCAGCGTATGTTCTGTGGCATGACAGTCTGACACACAGCATGGCACTGCCATTGTCACACCCCCTCATACTGATTACCAGCCACTAATTGCCTGCTTGCTTCTGTTAGCAACTCTTCCACATCTCTCAGCTAATCAAGGAGCAGTTTCAGTGTGTGGGGGAAGGTTTCCTACAAACTCAGGGCAAGATGGTAATTATCAGTAAACAGCTAAACAGAATAAAACGGATGAAGGTGGGAGCTTTTGCTTTATCAGGGGGCTTCAGGCACAAAGAAACTGCCTTCAACTCTTAATCCCGCTGGCTCCCCCATCCCACCAGCATTGTTGTTTCTAGTGCAGAGCTATGGAACAAGAGGCACCCGTGTGTCTTTATGCACGTCCATGGGTGCAAGGAAAGTGACTCATCTCTGCAGTTCTTGAACCCTGAGTCATAGATTCATAGATACTAAGGTCAGAAGGGACCATTATGATCATCTAGTCCGACCTCCTGCACAATGCTGGCCACAGAATTTCACCCACCACTCCTGTGAAAAACCTCTCACCTATGTCTGAGCTATTGAAGTCCTCAAACTGTGGTTTAAAGACTTCAAGGAGCAGAGAATCCTCCAGCAATTGACCCATGCCCCATGCTACAGAGGAAGGCAAAAAACCTCCAGGGCCTCTTCCAATCTGCCCTGGAGGAAAATTCCTTCCCGACCCCAAATATGGTGATCAGCCAAACCCTGCGCATATGGGCAAGATTCACCAGCCAGATACCCAGGGGTATCCCAAGGGGGGAGATTTGTCCACGGAATTGTGAAAGAATCTCTTTCCCTTTCCCATCAAGGTGATTGATTCTAATCCTGGCCAGATCAGCAGTGACCTAAAGTCGTTATCATCTGATGTATGTTTGACCCCAGTGAAAGGAACTGGGTGGCTTGTGGGAGAGAAAAACTGTGTCCTGTCAGTTCCTCTCAGACAGGAGCACACAGCACAGTTGAGGTGTGACAGGGCAAGGCCAGATGGCTATAGAAAAGTAGTGGGAGATAGATATATTAGCTCCAGGCTAAACAAATCCCTGGTACCAGGATAAGTTAAATGGAAGCTGCTCCAGGTCAATTAAGACACCTGGGGCCAATTAAGAACTTTCCAGAAGGCAGGGAGAATGCTAGGTTGATTGGGATACCTGAAGCCAATCAGGGGCTGGCTGAAACTAGTTAAATGCCTCCCAGTCAGTTAGGTGGGTGTGCATGTCAGGAGCTGTGGGAGGAAGTTGCGCTGTTGGAGAGGCTGAGTAGTACACACCATATCACGCACAAGGAAGGAGGCCCTGAGGTAAGAGTGAAGTGGAGCTTGAGGAAGTGAGGGCTGCTGTGGGGGAAGTAGCCCAGGGAATTCTACATGTCATGTTTCTAAAAGGTCAGCTACCATAGCTGATACTATTAGGGTCCCTGGGCTGGAGCCGGGAGTAGAGGGTGGGCCTGGGCTCCCCCCCCACCTTTGCCCCCTGATTAATCACTGAGACTGGGAGACAACAGAGACTGTGCAAGGAAGGATAACTTCTCCTCACCTCCCTTGCTGGCTTATGATGAAAATGGCTCAGTAGACTGTGACCTTTGTCTCTAGAGAAAGAAGGGTTACGTGGAGGGTCACAGTGAGCCTCTGAGGCTAGCGAAATCTGCCAGGAAACGCGGGACCCACGGAGGCAAGGACAGATCTTTGTCACAGAGTTGGCTCTAGTTGCCAGCGAGGATGCCAGTCTCTAATGAATAAACATGGAGACTGAATTATCCTTACAGGTGGCCCCTCTCATCTTAGACGAGACGTGACCAGAAGCAGGGGATTGTTGTAAGAGAGGTTGTCCCTGTTCTGTGGATAGAGATATTTGATCTCCATTGCTGTTATGCCCTTCACAAAACGGAATGTACTTTACTTCTAAAACTGGAGAGGGCTGCAAGGGGACTCTGATATACCAAGTAGCATCCCAGAAGTGCTGGCCTTTCTATGTGGCAAAAGGAGTGGGTCGGTTTCTGAGTCTGGTATGTGGCTGTATTTGCTCCACAGAGCGTGTACTGAGGCTGATTGACTGCACGACAAGAACAGAACAAGACTTTGTGGGGCACGATGACTCCATTCACCTCTGCAGATTCACCCCTTCGGGCAAACGCCTCTTCACGGCTTCCTACAATGAAATCCTGGTGTGGGAGATAACGAGCACATGAACTGAGCTAGCTTGGCTCCTATCAGAGTTGAGAGAGGTTTTCTAAACAGCTGTTTTACTCCAGCATGAATTGAGGAAGATAATGTGAGAAGAGAAGCGTTTCTATCTGTCTCAGGCTGTTAGCAACTGAATAAATCTGATCCAGACCCTTTCAATCCTCAGTCACTGCTGGGTAGTAATCCCCTTTCAGAGTCTCTACCAGCCATTGTGTTCCAGTTCACAAGGCACAGCGCCCAAACTAACCAGAAATTGGGGTTGGACAGTATTTAATCATAAATCTAATTCTGCTTTAACAGGCAACCTGACTTACAGGATGTGAAAGGAATTTGGGGTCTTAGTGGGCAGTATCCAAATCAGAAAAGGCACCCCCACAGTTGGTACCTTCTTGGCAGTCTAAGCAGAGGCTGACAATTGAATGGGGGCAAGAAGACTGGATTCCCCTCTCCCCCACTAGAAGTGGTCCACCAGGTCAGGACTAAGGAACACTGTAGTGTCAGGGAAGGGAAGTTTTTCCTGCCACTGCCTGTGCTGTGTTCTGTGGTTAAACAGAGGACAATCTCCAGGGCTGTCAAACCAGGGTCTTTCACTCACATCTCTTGCAAAAGAAAACACCCCACACGCTCGCGAAAGACATGGCTGTACCTTGACCTCTTTCTGTTTTCATGCTCCTTTAGGGTTTTCATTCCTAGGCTCTCCATGGGGAAGAGTCTGGCCTGCCCACCTGATGCAGACACGTGGCATTTTTATTTGTAAATTATCAGGACCCAATGGCTCCGGGTGTCATTTTGTATGTAACATAGCATCGATTTTTATTGGGAAGAGTTTTGTATTGGTTTTTATAAGCTGTATAGTTCTTAAATAAAGGTGTTGGGTTGATTTTCTGTCTGGTTGGTTCACCCTAGTTTCTTTAATTGTCAGTAGCATTTCTAGTGGGATCTGTATGTGACAATGTAGAGCTTGTTTCAAAAAGGGTGCCCGTTCAGTCTGCCTGCAGATACGTCTTTCACACCACAGCAAGGAACTGAAATAGGAAGGACCCTTTCCCAGATTCAAATCTAATGAAGTAGAGCCTCTGTCATTCTCTCTCGCTGCTCCTTTGCAGCTGCAGTCTTGGATATTAAGTCTAAATTCTGTTGCTCTGTGTATTGACAGGAGGCATAAGTGTGTTACTTACCTGAAGAAATTAGTTGAATGAGCTATAATTTTGCATTACAATGCTGCTCTGTTTCACCGGAGTTAATAGAGAGTAACTTTATTGTCTCTGGATTTACACTGGTGTAACTGAGATCAGAATCTGGCCTGAAGTCTCCTGCTTTGGTGCAAGGCGTGTTTAGCTGGCTGAGCTGTTTTTAAATCATACAAGTGGTGACTGAGGAGCGTTGAGAACACTAGACAGTAATACTCTGCTTTGGAAGTGTTCCTCTTTAGTGGTCCACTGTGCTCTTCTCTGCACTTACTCACTTGGGCCAGATTCTGCAATGCAGCTCCAGAATTGGACCTCCTGGATCGTTACTGGATCAGTGATACTGGTCTTGCAGTATCTGAGGAGATCATCTTGCTGCTACAAACCATACATGCAGGACAAAAAATAGTACCAGCTTCAAACTTCTGCAGTATAATTCTGGAAACGGGGAGTTTTAGAGAGGCAGTGGGAGCACCAGCTAGGAGGTAGAAAGTGGCATGATGAGCACATCAAGGGACTGCTTTGGCACTTAAACACATCTAAGACAAATGGTGCCTGTCTGAAACTCCAGTTATATGATGAACCTGCTTGGTTTCAGGGGCGGAGCTACTGTCCTGCTTTGGGATATCGGGGTGGAAACTAGAAGGCTGTCTTCTAACTGCACAACATGGCATGTATGTCTTGGCATCTAATCTTAATCAATCAAGCTTAATGTTTCAGGCTGCATGTTGATCAACAGCTGTGATCAAGAGCACCCCTGCCACCTACCAGATTTAAGTAAGTACACAGGTAAGTGTATTTAGTGGGTGAATGTGGAGTTCGCACCCAATACTGGATGCTGTCAGAGATGGGATGTTCGAACAGAAGAACTGCTGGTTTGTTGCAGCATGGCAAACCTTAAGTACCTGAACAAGTGGCAACCATAGCTTTGCCATAACCTGGCAACAAGAAGGGACAATCTTCTGACACCATCATGAGCTGATGGATCAGGAGTATGTGTACTGGCAAAGGAAATATGGTGTTAAAATCAAGCAGCTATTCTAAGGGGCCAAGCTGCCCTACCAGGAAAACCTGCATTATCTCTTTGAGAGAGTACCACTCTGGTCTATGTGTGTAGGTGCTGCATGTTTTAACAGCAGAAATTCTAAAGTAGTTAAACAAATTGTGGGTGTGTACTCCTTTCTGCAGTTTTCCATTAGGTTGGACTGCAAACACTACAAAACAGGCATGTGGGACAAGTAGGTAGTAATGGGGTGGTGTGTAGGGGATGGTGAAGTTCATCAGATTGTGACTGCAAAACGAGCTCAAATTTTAGCAACTGTGCAACACTGAGAGGATTGCATTGGCAACTTCCCAGGGTTCTGAGAGTTGCCCTTAATTTGCATTGGTCCCATTATGCACTGAGTGCTTGACTGCAGTATCAGGATGTTTTAGCTTGCAATGTGCCATCCCTATCTGCATGCAGGAACCTGAGATTCCTATTATCTGCACCCAGGTGTTTTGGTTCAGAACAGAGCACTGTCTACTGAGAGCTGTATCTAGGGCCTACGACAGAAGCATGCTGGCCCTCTCGTCATTGTGGACCAGGTTGTGTATGAAAGAGGTGGTTGTATTGCCCAGGGTTTGAACTCAGGCTCAAGCCTAACCCTCCTTCCATCTCCACACAAATCTTGCTAACCCAGGGCTCAGACCCAAGGTCCCAGAGGGTGGAGGGTCTGGGTCTGAGTCAACCGCAGGGTTCAAGTTCAGGTCCTACTGTTTGGTAGTGTAAATGCAGCCCTAGTGGACTTGTGCTCTGGGAATCCACCCCTAGCATCCCACAGGCTGACTTTCTTTGTACTCTAGACAGCCAAGTTAGGTGGCAGTCAAATTTTCTGACCGTGCATCCTGAACAAGGGGCTAGAGTGCCCACATTTTGAGAGGGTGCTACGAAGTCTGGGATCAGGTGGCTGGAATCGGGCCCAGGTTAGGAGCCAGGTTCAACACTTCCTAACCTGGGGTTCTGTGTAGACGCTCAAGCCAGGGTCTGCCAACTGGAGTTCTCCTACCTGGCCTTTCCTTGCAGGGCAGCCAGACCTGTTGTGCCCTAAATACACCAACCCAGGCTAGGGCTAGTTGTAATTAACCAGGGGGCTATTCCCCCCAACGGCCCCTGGGTGTTGACTCGGGTGTCACCCCCTCCCCGAGAAGCGAGGGCTGGGGCACAGGGAGCCCTGCCCCATGGTACCCTTCTCCCACCGCCCAGGCTAACGTCACTGGCAGCCGGGGTCGGGCGCTATATAAGCACAGCCAAGCCCCGATCTCGCCCCCACCCCAGGAGGGCGGGGCAGCCTCCCCAAGTCGGTCCCTCGCTGTGCGCTGGGCGGGTAGGTGCGGCCGTGCCCCGACTCGCCGTACGGCGGCGCTGCCGGCCCCAGCCCGCACCGTGGCTCGGCCAGCGACGCTCGTGCCCCACGTCCCCGGCCCGCGTGCTCTGTGCCGAGGCGGGCAGGCCGGAAGTGGGGGCGGGACTCGGGAGGGCGGCAGGCTGAGGGGGAGGGGGCAGCGCCGCGGCCTGGCACCCCCGGCGCGGGAGAGGAGGAGGCGGCGGCGGCGGCGGCGATGAAGCGAGACGTGCGCATCCTCCTGGTGGGGGAGGGTAAGAGCCGGGCCCTGGCGGCCGGGGGGGAGGGGATCCCGGGGTACGCTGGGTAAAGGAGGGCAACTGAGGGGAGTGGGAGGGGCCTCGGCTCCCCCTGCAGGGTCAGCTTGGGTAAGGGGGACAGACCCCCCACAGAGAGATCAGCCCCCCCCCGGGGCACGCTGGGTAATGGGGGCAGACCCCCCCCCACGCAGAGAGATCAGCCCCCCCGGGGCACGCTGGGTAATGGGGGCAGACCCCCCACGCAAGAGACCCCCCCCCACGCTGGGTAATGGGGGCAGACCCCCTGCCTGCAGAGAGATCAGCCCCCCCGGGGCACGCTGGGTAATGGGGGCAGACCCCCCCCACGCAGAGAGATCAGCCCCCCCCCGGGGCACGCTGGGTAATGGGGGCAGACCCCCTGCCTGCAGAGAGATCAGCCCCCCCCGGGGCACGCTGGGTAATGGGGGCAGACCCCCTGCCTGCAGAGAGATCAGCCCCCCCCCCGGGGCACGCTGGGTAATGGGGGCAGACCCCCTGCCTGCAGAGAGATCAGCCCCCCCGGGGCACGCTGGGTAATGGGGGCAGACCCCCTGCCTGCAGAGAGATCAGCCCCCCCGGGGCACGCTGGGTAATGGGGGCAGACCCCCTGCCTGCAGAGAGATCAGCCCCCCCGGGGCACGCTGGGTAGTGGGGGCAGAACTCCCTGCAGAGAGATTGGGTAATGGAGAGTGAACCCTTCCCCCCTCGTGCAGAGAGATCAAATCCATGCAGGTCATACTGGGTGCAGGCAATCTCCTCTCCCTCCTCCTACTTCCTGCCAGGCAGGAGGCTGGAATTGAAGAAACGGTGGACTGGCAGGAGGAAAGAGACCCTCTCTCCTTGGACGGGGGGGAATTGGGTGACTGGGCTCAGGGCTGTTCCTAGCGAGCCCTTCTGCCCCTGTACCACACTCCACACACTGATGAACACTTCCCCTGAGAGTGGGATGTGGGAGTTGTCATCCCTGTTGGCCTGTTGGGGAAACTGAGGCAGAGGTAGGGGAGGGGCTCACCCAAGGTCATGCTGCTCATCAGCCCCAGAGCTGGGAGTGGAGCTTGGCTCTCCTGCACCCCAGGCCTGTGTTGTAACCACTAGACCATTCTGCCTACTTTGGCCTATATCTGGAAGGAATTAGCTGATAGAAATTAACTTACCATTGCCTTGTGAATTAGGGCAGAGGAGCCCAGCCTGCCAGGAGCAGAATTTTCTGTAAAATTAGCCCCAGTTATGAAACATAGCAACATCCAAAGTCCCTCCTGTTCCCTCCATGACTGCCAGGGTGTCTGGGATGTCCCATTGACCAGCCCCAAGGAGGGGGCTGCTGCTGTGCTGGGTCTGCATTGCTGAATTCAGTGGGAAAACACTTACAAATTTGGTAACCGGAAAAGTTGGGGGAGCAGATCCTGAGTTAGTGTAAACTGGCCTCATTTCATTGAAATCAGTGGTGTGACACAGACTTACGCTGACGAGGGATCTGGCCCTGGTTTTGCTTTTAACAGTAACTGACACCACATACACTGGATTTTCCATTAATGCTTAGATTACTTAATATGTCCCTTCCCTATCATAACGTGTGGCATGTTTGTGTTCAGCAGAGGTGCTTGAGCAGGGATCCCCCCGCGCTTTTAAAGATGGGAGGCTGGTGGTAGAACATGCTCTACAAGGCACATTTCTTTATGCGGTGTTGTGGAGGGTGGCTTTGGATGGAGTTGTTAGATTGCCCACCAGGACGGGGCAGGTTTTGCGCCACTGGCAGTTTGTATTTACTTTTGTCATGTGGGACAACAGCACTTAGAGCCCTGGACAGGTGCCCCCTTTTTATTGTTATACTGATCCAAAGAAAAGAAAGATCTCTAATGTGTGAAGTGGGGTGGATGGACATGACTTTAAGAACCTTACGTTCCCTGTTTGAAATGTACGTCCGGGGGGTTCCATTGGGTTTTGGCATTGCATTTCCCTTTTTTAGAAAGAGGGGCAAGGAGCAGGGGAAATAATCGCAGCACCTCAGCATTCTGCTTGTACATGTGCTCTTCACA